GCTGTGCTGGCTGTGCAGGCTGTGCAGGCTGTGCAGGCTGTGCAGGCTGTGCTGCCTGGGGCTGAGACTGCGGTGGAGGTTGAGGTTGAGGTTGAGGAGATGCTAGTCTTGGAGCATCCCATGTATTTGTCATTGGCTGTTGCTGAGGTGCAGCAGTGTTACTGTTGGCCCAATCGTTGTTTGCGCTCCAATTGGGTGCTGTGTTATTCGCTTGTGCAGGTGCTGGTGCTGGTGCTGGTGTCGGTGGCGGCATCGAAACCCCCAGACCAGCGTTATTACCTGCCGTAGGCATATTGTTGACGCTTCGAGCTGTCGGAACATTGTAGTTAAGGAAATGGTATACAGGAGCTGAGATCGCGGTTGGTTCTGCAATGCCGACGCTGGATCCGTCTGATCTCTCGGGAACCGGGGGAGGAGGTGGCACATCGCCGCCAAGTGCAGTCTTACGATTCCATGATTAGCACATGGGTTCAGAGGGGGTCGAGGATCAAACCGGCATACCTTTGCCCTAAGCAGCATGTCAATTATCTCATTTTTGTCCATCTCCTGTAGCTTTCTCTTCTCCTCATCTCCCGTGGGCTCATCTTCAATTTTGATACCAATCGCTCTCTCAATTTGTTCTACATCCCAAGTATCATCAGCCTCTGACCAGTACGTTAGATTCGACTGAGTATCACTGTCCGACCAGCAGTCTTCATCGGTTGGAGTGCCACAATCATGAAGATAGCCCCGCGTACACCAACTGCTGAAGCAGGCAGGATGTCTGCTTCGTCTAGGCTGCGGCACGAGGGGTTCTGAGGGCAGAAGGGAACTAGTCGACTCACCTTTGGTGCGATACTTAAAAATGAATCGCGCATAGGGTTCTTCAACTGTGTCCAGGTACTCGGGAGATCTTCGTTTATGCACATAATTGAATGCTGGTCCAGGTTTGACTTGATGTGTAGTTGGTATGTCTTCTGGCACATCATATGGAGGTTCTTCGCCCGCATCGGGTCGCAAATCCTCATCAATGAATTTATGGGGTTCACCATAGTATCGACCATGAGGCCCGTTCAAGGGTCTGAACTGTGCTGGCGTTGCTGCTGTACCATGCTGTGCGGTTGTGGGACTTGTTTGATTCGCCTGAGCTGTCGCAGGGGCAGTGTCCCATGGTTCTGGGGCTTGGGTGCACGTGTTGGCGTTGGTATTCCAGTCTTGGTTCTGAGTGTTATTTGCGTTCCAATCTTGGTTCTGTGTGCTATTTGCGTTGTTGTTCCAAGAGTCTTGAACTTGGTGGGTATAATTGGGGTTTTCATTCCAGGAAGAGTCAGGATTGTTCGCTTGACCCGTGTTGTTTGATGATTGATTCCAATCATTCGTCGGAGCTTCAGTTTGGGTAGCAGTAGTGTTCCAATTGTCCGTTTGCCCTCCACCGGTATCGTTGTTGTTCCAGCTCGAGTCACCAGCTTGAGCTTGATTGGTGTCGTTACCGCCACATCCTTGGCTGTTGTTGTCGTTTGGTTGACCACCAGCGTTGCCGGTGGTTTCTTGACCATCCAACTGGTTTGTTCCATCTTGCGTGGGGTCTTGAGATCCTGGTTTTGAAGGAGGCGGACCCCAAACACCACCGCCTGGATGGCTAGTGGTAGAGAGAGGTACCTGGGCGGCTGGACCAACTGGATAAGCAAATTGAGGATGTGGATATTGGTGAGAAGTTTGGTAGGGTGCCGCATAGTTTGGTGGCGTCAAGTAGCTTGAGCCCGGCACATGTTGTCCTTGCCAGTTTGGTTGACCGTACGGTAGATAACCCGCTGATGTGGACCAGCCGGAATAAGCAGGGGCGCCATAACCAATAGGCTGATAGCTAGGGATCGTACTTGGATAATTCGACATTGGAGGTGGATAGCTCGGATCTGGAGCTAGTGAGTAACCTCCAACTTGTCCATGTGAACTTAGCATTCCAGCATGAGCCAAGGAAGGGTTGGCATAATTATTATGCCCTGGAGCATGTCCTGGTACTTGGTGAGATTCAGTTTGCTGTGTCTGTCCGTGACTTTGTGGTTGTGGAGGATGCTCTTTTCCCTGTGATTGACCAGCATTTGCGCTGAAGCTTTGTGGACCATATGGTGGACCCGGTGCACCGTAACCAGAAGGCTGTTGTGGAAGTTGATCGTTGAAATGAACATGCCGCTGTGGACGTTGAGCGTTTGACTGATCCTGGGTGATGGCAGGCCCAGGTTGCCAAGGCTGGGAGAAGCCAGGAGGATAGGCGTAGCCAATATACGGCTGAGTTTGTGCTGGTGGCGGCTGGGTATGGGCATAACCACTCGATGGCCCAGGGGCTACTGGCAGTGGGTAAGGTGCATTCCAAGACCAAGCCTTTTGTTCTGCGGGCCCAGGTCCCTCGCCATCCAATCCAAATTGGTGGATATCCGCGGCACCATCGTTCATAAAACCAAGGAACAGGTCAGCCTCGGGTTCAGCCACTTGAGCGTTTTCAGTATCACTTGGTGGCGCAGGTTCTTCGGTCAGCGTCTCGCTGCTGCTTGGTTCCGAGGTCTGTAAAACAGAATCATCAACATCTGATGATGCGTTCAAACTAGGCTCGATATCTTCCTTTGATCGGCACCTCAGAACAAATACATCGATTGTCCCAAGAGCTTCAAAATGCTGGCGGTCCATGTTGGGAGGAACCTTGTCAAGAGGCACTGAGATTTACGTCCGTCAGTTTTGTTAACCAGAAACGGGTGGCTGAGGCAACTCACGGATGTTGTGCTTGTCAAAACGCCATTCTCTACCAAGATAGTGTCCATATCCAAGTGCTCTCTCCCTCTGACGCACTCTGAGATCAATTTCTGTCATGTTTTGAGGAACTCCTGGGTTTGGGCGCTGCAAGCCAAGACGGTTGCGATTACACTGATAATCGCCATCCATGAATATCAACATGGCCAGACCTTCTGCTATGTATTTCCTGGATCTCAGACGTACTGCGAACGGCTGAGGGTGTTCGGGTATGGCAATGTAGGTCTCCACCACGCCATCTCCGTAGGTAGTGCCATATTCAGGGAAGGGAGTTTGGGTATTACCCCACTCAACTTCACATCTCAGCTGCCTCAGAGTAGGCATTCTGGCATCAGTTTATTTTGTTCTCGGCCACGAAGTAGCTGTACACGTGAGCTTCGATGGCGGACTATGCCAATCTTCCTTGGACGGGGAAGATCATCCACGTAAGGGCCCTCAGCTGGTTGTTCTGGGATTTTGGCTGGACTTTGTAGTTGGAGGAGTTGTTGATCAGGCTCAGACTTTCAGACGTGTGGGTGGTAAGCAAGTAAAGACGTGGAGCACAATGACGGTTGGCTAATGTGATGGAACACCGGTATTCGCGATTGGGGCACAACAGAGAGTGTGCCCTGCTTGGTCGTACGCGGATGCTAATAAGAAAATGTTATGCAGCAGCACTTGTGAGTGGTTTGTGTCTTCGTTGGTCAGCTTCAAATGCAAGAGTATTAAATGCCGAAGAGTGTGGAGAGTACGCAGACAACCATTCTTCTGTGAATGCGGTGTCCTCGCTGCATTTCTGAATGGCTGAAGGAGAAAAGAAGCGGGATCTTATCTTGAGGTGCCAGAAGTGATGGGCAGGGAGGCGTAACAAGACAACTGCGGATTCGAGGTATTCAAAGGCCACTGCGAGTCAGGAGTGAGAAGTGCTTGATTAACACGCTGTTCTCTACTGGTATGTCACAGTCCCCACAGAACCTACAAGGACAGAGGAGTTATCAGTCTACCGTTGACAACCATTGTATTCTCTCCCAAGGTCAGATGTCGCCGCTCAATGTGCTGCTTTTGCTCTCAGAGTTCTGAACATTGATTGTCCATCGCGTTCTACGTGGCGATTTCGCCTAAAGTCATGCTCAAGTATCCCTTCGTACATGGGATCCTCTCATTTTTCCATGGAATCCTCTCATTTTTCCATGGACGTCGATGCCGACTTTTGGTCATGGCGTTTTGGGAATGCAATGAGGCAATGCGTGCTTTCCAAGCGCGGTGTGCTCCCCATAACTCTTTCCTTGGTCCTAGAAAGCTCGAAACAGTTTGCAGCCTCATATACATAGCAAGCTCACTACTTGCGGGAGAAGCTCTGCATGACGTGTTGATGGAGAATCATCCTATTCCTGCTGCTCGATGAATCACGAAAAGCTGCCATCCAGATTGCGATTCGCTTCCTTTAAGGAATGCAAAGCATCACACGAATATCTGCAGAGGATGGTTACATGGTCGAGAGATATGAGTGTGCTTGGTGCTAAAACAACCATCTCACCTTTTCAATGGAGTCGTGCTAATGATGTGCATGTTGAAGCCATTTCTGCACTCGCCGCGTCCTGCATCCTTGGGTGGATCTTCGCAGGTCATCAGGGCGGACTCGGAGTATGAAGGACACTTTCCAAACACATGAGATTTGGCAAGTACGTTGCTTCAGCTTGCACGCTCCTATGAGGACGTTGACGCAGTTTGAAACATTCAAGTTCGCTACCTGCAAATGTCGCGATCGTTCTAATCCAAAATAGGAATAGATCGAGCATATACCTACCTTTACACCTTGCAATACTCCGTGCTCGAGCAATATCCGGGCTGTGACGATCGAGGCTGGCCGCAACTTGAGACACATGATCAAAGCGGGCAAACCCGGCTTCCTGGGCCTCGGTTGGGCATCAAGAGCCTTCTATAGCCAGTACGGGAGAATGCGGACTGGATGCGGCTTGAGGATACGAGCGCCTGGTTTGGTCGAGGCTCGCTCCACGGCGCAATCCGATTTTACCTCGTTCGAGTGTACCAATCAGGCCTGATGGCACGACACTGCCGGCGCCTTGTGTGACCCGTGCGAACGAGATACAATCCACAATGAATATCCTTTGACAGCCGTCGCCGACATGGAAAAGGTCATCAAATCCACGCTTTGTCCCCAACCATCCACGGTTGGAGGCGGAACAATACCGCCAATACTCCCTTATAGGCTTTCTTATCTTTCGTTCCCGAGTATATCCATCTGGAAAGGAGACTGTGGTATTGCAACCTGTTAGTGCTCCTTCGTATGCTCAATGACGATCCGTCATGTGGACCATGGAGAAGCCTGGGAGACCGAACTATGGTCCATCTCAAACATTGCTGGTGACATGACTCATGGGCTTTACAAGGCTGTTTCCTGGTGCTGTGCTTTAGCGGTAGAGGGCCGTTGGCCAACCCGCCTTACTTCCGCTCATGGTGCCACAACGACCAATACAGTACAACGAAGCGACCAATTGTTCAGCAGTCTCCCATCTTTACCACCTGTTTACCCATGCTAGTGATAAAAAATACCCCTTTTAGCACATTCGGGGTCTTTTGGGATAGCACTATAACCATTGCATGGCCTCTCTGGCGCCTCAACGCCAATTAGAATCCAATATCTGTCTTCACATGTGAGACTATGTGCACCTTCCATGCTATGAGGTCATACTGGTCAGATCGTCGTTGCAGCTTCATCTTCTCATTATAAGTATCTATTGAAATACTCCTACATATTACTTATTATACTGACCTCATCTTGTGTTCAATTCAGACCACATCATTTGATTGCCCTCCCAAACGTGTACCACCACTCTTGTCCTTGGTATCGTGATTATCACTTATCTCTGATCAGAAATACGAAGGGTGCCTGTATTCCAGTCAGTGTAAAATACCAGTAGAAGCTCTTCGAGGAGTCGACAGATTGTTTTGGTTCTTGTCTTGAAGATGTCGCCCTCTTCATCTTCACCTCCTGGTGACTCGTTACCCGAGCCCCAAAGCTCCAGGAGCATTGCCATTCCTTCCAAGCACCCTCTCTCCTCTTCTTCTGAAGCTACGACACGGTGTGGCTGTCGCTGCGGGGGCTGTACATGCTCCCTGAGGACATGCTGCAACCCTGGCCACTCGGTTGCGGACTCCAACCGCGAAGCTTATGGAGGACAGGGTACAAATATTGGTGCTGCCTCCAACAACGTCTCCAATCTCAACGCGTCCTCCCTCGAAGCCCAGGGTCCTAAGATCACGATCGTGGCACCCCCCAGCCTCGAAATCCTCAGCAAGCTGAACGAATGCACACCGCGACAGCTGGCCGAGTCCCGAACCGAACAATATCTCGATGATGTCGATGACGACGCACCATGGCTACAGTTCCTCTCGCAGCCAAGCATGACCAGCGATGCACCCGAACTTTCCGGCATGTTCTTCGGCGCCCCTGACATGGAGGACGGCTCCATGGAAAACAACCCGGCCAGTCACGGTAGCGGCTCGATGCTGTCGTCGTACGTGTCAGGGTTGACATCACGAGGCGAGGCGGCGGGTGCAATTGTCCAACATGCTGGAGCAGCTTTGACAAATGCCTCTGGTCGGTCCAATTCCGGCAACCAACGCAATCTGTACCTACAGGTGCTTTGAGGAGTTGATAGCATTATGCCATCACTGGGTGGCTTTGAGCCGTTGATATGGGTCGGTAGAGGCTACCTGGACCGCACGCTTCTAGGACTCTGATATACATGCAATACCCGTTTGGATGAAGCAGCGACCAGTGAGCTCATACCACCTTGAGGTCGCAGAACACAAGATTTTGTCGGGATGATGGATGGATGGATCTGATTTTCTTGCTCTGCGCCTGTTCCAGCTGTGTTTCCTCTTCGTCCATGCAGAGGTCTTCTTCTACATGGCTTTTTTCTGGAGTCTCCATAGTTGTACCCTGTCCCAGTCTCGGTCAGCTTCGCTTGGGTTGATTTTTTCTTTTTCTTGTCAGCATGATGATCTTGTTGGTGTGTTGTACTCGTTGCGGCGTTTTCATGGCCTTGTTCTTGTCATGCTGTGTCGATTCATATGTACATTATTAGCTGACAGATAGCTAATTGATCCATTTTGAGAAGTACTTCGTTGGCTCCAGGGGCCGACAATAATACTTCTAATAACTGTTTTGCTCTCGCGTCGAGATCCGAAGCAACCAGCAAAAAAGCTGGCGGTTGGAGCGTCCGCCAAGACAAAATCTCCGAGCTCTTTTATAGGGAGGTTATAACCCCCTACTAACTAGTACTACTAGTATTATTGAGCACAAGCCACATACCTGCCATCTCTTGGAGCGCCGCTTTGTGAAGATTTCTGTTTGCTAGTTAGTATGTCCTCCACGACCTCTTCCAACCGCGACACCGCATCATCGCATATCTGATAGTGCACGACGAGGCGCCCACCCAGCATCTTCAGCCCATGCAGCTTCGAGACCTCCACAAACTCATCACGTGACACTCCAGCGTCTTCCAGGTCAAGCCACACCATATTTGTCTCAACAGGCCGACTCACTCTGCCACCTCTTTTCTCCCACATCTCCGCGATCCGTCTGGCTCTAACATGTGTCTCTCTCAGCTTGCCACCCTCGCCGTTCGGGCCATGCCCAAACACGTCGTCGACAGCTGCTCGAGCCGCAGCTGCAATGATGCCGGACATTCTGACCCCCCCACCAATTGATTTGCGCACCCACCTTGCATGCTTGGTGAATGCCTTTGAGCCGACAATGACACTCCCCATTGGTGCACCTAGCCCTTTTGAGAAGCACAAGCTGACGCTGTCGAAGCACTCGCAGAATTCGGGGATGCTGCCCGCACCTGCTGCGGTGACCTCCCAGAGCCGTGCGCCGTCCAGATGTAATCTGATATTATTTTCTCGCGCAAAAGCGGAGATCTTGCGCACTTCTGACAGTGGCATTATAGTCCCCGAGAGCGTGTTCTCGAGAGAGATTACTTTGGTAGGGCAGGAGTGGATATCATCGCTGATTATGACGTGTCTCTTGACATCTTGTAAAGTCAGATAAACGCCATTGGAGGGCATTATCCCCATGACCTGTGCGCCGGAAAGCGACGCCACCCCCCCGGCTTCAGAGTTCAAGATGTGCGCCCTTCTGTCGCATAGCACAGAGTGAGGGGGTTGCGTGAGGTGACAGCGCAGAGAAACTTGGTTGCCCATGGTGCCGGAGAGGACGAGGAGGGCAGATTCATGCGAAGTCAGGGCCGCCATGGATGATTCGAGAGATGTGGTGGTGGGGTCTTCGAGGAAGACATCGTCGAAGAGGGTAGTATTCTCGATCGCGGTGAGCATTGATGCGGTAGGCGTGGTGATTGTATCGCTTCGAAAGTCGTAGGCTGCGGGGCCGGGCTGCTGCCAGGCATTGCTTTTGCTTGTTGGAAAGAGGATGTCCGGGGAGGAGAGAGAGCCCATTGCGAAGAATAGTCTGCGTCCGGTTGGTTTCCGGAATGAGAGGTAAGGCTTACAAACTGTCGATAGAAATTCTCTGACCGTGGGAGCTGTTGTTGAATATGGTGGCGTATACTGAAGCCGAACCATATATGGCTGGAAGAATTTGCTGGGTGACATGGAATGAAAACCAAATCGATCTCACAGCGGATTGGCAGTGACTGGCAGTCGGCGATTGGCGGTCGATTGGCGGTCGATTTCCGATAAGAGATTTCTTGGCGCAGGGTAACAAATTGAAGCTTGTAAAAGCTTAGCGTAGCGCGTCCGACGTGGCACTCCCTTCGCGTCCGCCAACACTGGAATCTATCCTCGAATCATATTACCCGCACATCAGCCATGACGATCCCCAAAATTGACATATGCTGCAGCAAATGCCATGTTGTATTATGCTCTTCCAGCAACGAATGGAAAAGGTTGGAGGATGTCTCGCTCATCACACCGGTACAGAAAACATGGCTCCAAACAATCACGATAGCAAAAGCTCAGGGCTTCTTGCCGCTCGAGCCAGTGCCAGCAGATTTGCACAATGACATAGTTTCCGAAGCAACATGCGCCAAATGTGGAAGCGTTCTCGGTCAAGGATTCGGAGATGTTTTCCATGAGGATCCTATAGTGAATAGGTGTGTTGCATCCGATGCCCTTCTCTCAGCACAGCTGACACCTCAATAGCGAACAAATCTATTTTGTCGACTCAGCTGTTATTCTCAAGAACTCGGACACTCCCGAAGAGGTGTCCCCAATTGTCACCGAGAACGTCCGAAAGGACATGTTACGAGCTGCAAGATCCTCCTCACAAGATCGTGTTATCCACGACCAGACTCCAACAGTCAGCAGTCCCGTCCAGACCCCCTGTCAAGAACAGTCGCAGACATTGCCTGCGGGTCAAGAAGTGGAAAAAGTGCTGAGCCGCTTTACACAACAAGACATGGGGATCAAGAAGCTCTCCCGAGATCTCGAATCGCTGCAAAATCGGATGCTCGCATTGGAGAAGTCTATGACCGATATCCGCACGTATTCGCGGGCGGCCTCCATAGATGGTCCAAAAAGCGGACGAGATATGTTCATCGATAATTTCGAGGCTATGTTTGATGCACTGAAGGATGCTCGGTCTGCGGCTATCACTATAGAAGGGCTGAGATCGGAAAACGAGCAGTTAAAGCAGAGACTAAGCTATTCCGCCGCACCTACAATTAGCGAGACTCAAAATGAACCATCCGAAAGTGTGGTCGAGACGGCTTCAGACATACCGATTACTGGTGCTCTAGAGCCTGTAAAGGAAAAGAGGTCTTACATACGACGGAAACCTCTCGCGTCACGCAAGTCAACCACAAGGGCAGCACCAGGATCGTTGGGCCCGGAGTCGGGCTTCGCTTCTAATCACGATGAAGACGATGCATCTTATATTGATAGTCTTACGGCTCTCAACCAAATTAGCGCGGCTATGGCTCCTGCTCTTTCTACAAGCCAAGCACAGAGTGGAGCGTCCAATCAGCACTTTAGCAATCATCTTGGCGAGGAGTCGGCAAGCCTTCTGTCAAACGCAAATTATATCCCGGCTATTGGAGAGAATATACTGACGACCCAGCCTAGGAAGCGCCGTAGGACAGGCGACATGCTACCGAATCGGGAGGATCTTAAAAGTTATGCCACGAAGACGAGAGGGGCAACGCATGCAGCCGACCTATCTTCCGACAGTGGCTCCAGATATCAATCTCGGGAACCATTACAAATCAAAGCTGAGTCTTCAACCTCGCAAGAAACAGGACTTCGTCCTTCAATAGCCACACAACTACAGAACGCAGCAGATTCGTTCAACATAGCAAGCACTGACAAAATGATGATCGACCCCGCGCTCCGTTCGACAGGAGCCCCAGCCAATCCAAATCCGCCCGCCCTAGCTGTCTTATCATCAATTGAAAATCCACCCGCTCAGAGACAACCTATGCACCCAGCGCCGCAGGCAAGAACTGTGGGTGGGCCACAGCATGAGAGTGACCAGGAAAGACGCATCAGGGAGTACAAGGCTAGAGATGCTTTACGGAAACGAAAGGCGCGGGCAGCATCAACGGGCAAGAAGAAGATTGTTGGGGAGGAGAGGTTCAAGCAAGAGGAGAAGATCCGAGCACGGGACAAAATGGTTCGCGAGTTAATGGAGAGGGAGGAGATGTTAGAGAACGATAGTGACTTATAGACTGGAAGCATTGTTGATTTACTGGCGAGCTGAGCAAAGGGAGATGTGAATTCTGCACAGCATGTAGTGATGAGCGCAGCCAATAATAATAACATGCAGAAAGAAAGAAAGAGTCTGTTCTATTTGTTACTTTTGGATATCAATTGATACATAATTTCAAGTGATGCGAATTGCCTGTTCTGCTCTGAATGATGATAGGTCTATCCCTCAGGGAAGACCTAGAAAGATTGCAAAAACAGTCATAATTAGCCCAACCGAGAGTCGAACTCGGGACTTTCGCATCACTTGTGAGGCAAGCCATACAAAACCATGAAAACGGTTGAGTATAAGAACGACACGCTAACCACTGCGTCACTGGGCTTTTAAGCATCATTGTGTTGATTATAAAAATATAATAATTTAATCACAAAGCGAACACTAAAGCCAATTCTGACATCTCTGGTCCATGACAACAGCTGTTAATACCTGCCAGGATCTCACGTGAACTGACACGACTAATTTGACATTTCTCTGACCTCTGAGGCATAAGCTTTTATATATGAAACTATTAGTACTGTAGTGTTAAACTGACAGGCTACAGGAGTGGGGACTACGTTAGCTCCATCTTTGACTTTGTCCCAACCTCCGAGATCCAAAAGAAAATCACAACAGTGGACAGCCAAAGATGGAGAGGTGGACACGGGAGAACAGGCCTAACTCTATCCATCAGTGTTGCAGCCCAGATTTGGAGAAGAACATTAGTTGGCACGGTGCCCAGCTGATGCCTCTTTCAGCCGACAGTTTATCCTGCTCTGCAAGCTATGCTGAACATGATCTTTAGCAAGGGACATGCTCCTTACAAGACGACTTGTCTTGTTCACACCTCCAACATGTTATATCGGCCTAGCACGCATGGCAAGCTGTGGCCAACAGCAAATTGATGTCGATGGTCCCAGGTCCTGACTTGAAGCACATGGGGCACTCACCCCTTGAATCAGCCTTCTAGACCTTCAGCAGTGCCTTTCTCGTGACAGCAGCACCACTAGGAATGACGAACGGGCGAGGTCGTTTTATGATCGAATCACTATACCACGCAATGATCCTAAAAGACACCATCTCCTGCCACAGTGCTTTGGACATCCTGCCTCAGCCTTTGCCTCCTTCTGATCTCCCTAGTGACCTCCATACGCGGATGCCTGGCAAGCAAGAAGAGACAAAGCTCGGCCAGTAACATGTATTGCAAGATTGCACCACTGTTGTTATTCCTACTAGAGGCGTTCCAGGCTGTTTGGAATGCAACATTCTCACGCACATATTTGTTATGATAATTCTACTCCCATTCCCTTGGCAATGTTGATGGCCTTTTATCTTCTTTCCTCTCTCCCCTGTTTCTTCCACCGTTCTTGAATATCAAATACAGCCATTCTTTCACAACTTTATACTTTGCACCGCTTTGAAACCTAGCGACGTGCAGTATTCGTTTCAGTCACTCGTTTTCCAATGTCGCCTTCGCCCACCATGGGGCTGTCACTATCATGGCTTTTTACCTACCTGAGCGCTGTCGTCTATCTGGTCAGTGCTCAGAATCTCACACACACAGTCGCCGTTCTACCCGATGGTCATATCTGCCCTACACCGTATTTGACTACTGTCTCCATCGTCCCAGTCTACGTTAGCACCTACATTCCAGGCCCTACACAGATCGAGATCTTCGGCGATGGCAACACGGTCATCTTCAATGGCCCTACAACTATAATTACGAGCACGATCATTACTACCACCATCTATCCCACCGCGACTGTGACCACTGGCCCATCGATTACAGGACCTCCCAATGGGGGTGGAATGAGTTCAGGAGGGTCTTTCTCGGGCTCTTCTATGACATCCATCCCAGGGTCTTCCTCCCTAAGCCCTGGATCAAGTTCCGGCCCTGCATCTACATCTGGAAGTGGAAGTGGATCCCGATCCACATCATCCACTTCGTTGTTATCTGGAACTTCCAGTAGCGGGCAGCCGCCCGTGACATCTCCATCAGCAACACCAACCACATCCAGCACCACGTTCTCATACTCCGAACCTACTGCTACTCTAGGTCAAGGACTTCCTACTGGTGTTTTCACATCGCTGCCCGAAGGCCAAGGTCCTGTTCTTCTTGGATTTGCTGGTCGCATTCCGAACAGAGTCCGCCGTCAAGCCTCGGCTAGTCCTACGGCCACTGCAACCGGCTATATTCAGGAAGACGGTGACGCAGCCCCTGGCTGCGGTTACGCTGCACGGTGGAGTATTGAAGGCGGTATGTTGATGTCTGATAATGCTACGGTCGGGAAGGCTAGAGGCGCACTGTACGCTGCGATCAAACCAAGCGAGACTCCAATGGAAGTAAACACCACCTTCTACTTTACCAATGGCATTCTGGGATGGAACACAACGGACGTTGGACCGGCGAGCTTTTACTCCTGTGGCGGCGATGCCTATGCTGGTTTCCCGGCCGCGCCCTTCAGCAATTGCTCGGCCATTACCATTGGTGGCGTAGACGCTGACGTTTGCCCTGTGGATATTTCGGATATGGAGCCGCCATCGTCCACGAGCTCAACCGTTCAGAGCTCGATCGGTGCATCGGCCAGCAGCAATCCTAGTCCTCCTGTCACGTCGTCGAGTGCATCGGCCAGCACCAATCCTAGTACTCCTGTCACGTCGTCGAGTGCATCGAGTATCCGAAGCTCAACTGGCATGGGCACGAGTTCTATGTCGTCCTTGACTTCATCAGGTGTTAGAAGCTCTTCTCAAGGTACGTCCGGAAGTTCCTTGTCGTCTAGCCCCTCCTCTTCACGAACATCTTCTGTTGTTGCAACGTCCTCTTCGGCATCAGCATCTTCCTCAACCAGTCCGGTGTCATCTTCGCAGCCAACGTCGACTACAAGAACAACAAGCACTGTTTCCCCTACTTCAGTGACCAGTTCCGGGGTTGTAAGCAGCTCTTCTCTTTCGTCTGCAAGTCCATCGTCACAGGCGAACAGTCCACCGGGAACGTCTTCATCCTCTACTACAGCCAGTGGCCCTTCTTCGCAGACTGCATCCCCAGCGTCCACTACGTCGTCGCAGAGTTTGTCCTCAAGTCGATCATCGTCTGCACCAGAAAGTCCTTCATTGCAAACGACGTCCTCTTCAGGATCCTCCTCCACATCGGGATTGTCATCCTCTATGAGTTCCTCGTCCACACCGGTCAGCTTTGCATCTCAAACGAGTACTTTAGTACCTTCGTCTCAGAGCTCATCGTCTCAAAGCGGATCAAGCTCTACAGCTTTGCAAACAACAACACCTCAAGTCTCGTCAAGTACGGGTTCCGCTGCGACAACAAGTGGCACTTCCTATCCGTCTCCGACAGTGGCTCTCTGCTCCGGTAACCCGCCAGCCTACAACTATGAAGCAGTGACCTATGGGCAGAACTATGAAGTCGAGTGCAACCGAAACATTGCTGGGCAAGACATTGGGCTCCCGCCAGGGTTTCGCAAGAGAGCTGCAAATTCTCTTGAGGAATGCATGTCTGCTTGCAATCTGTGGAACCAGCAATATGGAAGCATTTATTGTGTTGCTGTTACCTTTGCGAATGGCTGTTTCCCGAAATCAAGCGTGACTACCATTAGCGATGAAGCAGGCGCTGAAGCCGCTCGAGTCCTCTATTCTGCTTATCCCTCGATAACGGACAGGCCGTCCAGTACAACAACTGCCATGTCGACCCTTGCGTCGAGCACTTCATCCTCAAGTCCTCCGTCCCCAACAAGCACTTCTTTCCAGATGACCTCGGAGTCTACTCCATCGTCGTCTAGTTCAAGTGGGACGTTCAGTTCTAACAGTGCGTCGTCAGCTCCGCCTTCCTCAACCAGCAGTTCTTTTCAAGCCACCTTGTCGTCCAGTACCATAGTTTCATCGAGCTCTGCGGCCCCAATCAGTTCGACGTCTTCTTCCTCTCTGCCCACACTGAGCACGCTAGGCTCGAGCTCGTCTTCTGTGTTCTCAAGTGTGGCAACGTTAAGTGTGACTTCTGTGGCCATTTCATCGTTGGCTAGCTCTTCCACAACGTCCAGCTTTCTACCGGCGTCCAGCTCTCCACTGACGTTGAGCTCTTTACCGACGTTGAGCTCCTCCTTAATAACGTCGAGCTCAATGACATTGAGCTCTTCCCCAATGTCAAGCTCTTCACCAACGTTAAGCTCCTCAATGACGTCAAGCTCTTCACCAACGTCGAGCTCCTCAATGACGTCGAGCTCTTTACCAACGTTGAGCTCTTCCCTAACGACGTCAAGCTCCTCAATAACGTCGAGCTCTTCCTTAATGATGTCGAGCTCTTCACTGACGTCGAGCTCCTCCCTAATGACGCCAAGCTCTTCCCTGACGACGTCGAGCTCTTCCATAGCGGCGTCGAGCTCTTCTTCTGGCTCTAGCTCAACTTCGGTCGTTGTATCTACAACTTCCGGTCTTACAAGCTCACCCACAACAACATCTGCTTTCACAACTCCTACAGTCTCTTCAAGTTCAACCATCACCTCATCTCTGTCCAGCTTTTCTTCCAGTTCAAGCTTCACGACATCAACGTCTAGTATCTTTAGCACTTCTTCCAGTCTAACCAGCTTAGTGACCTCTACCCTCTCATCGTCAAGTCCTATAAGCTCAATAGTGACTGGTTCTACCTCCACCAGCTCTACCTCCACTGGACCTACCTTTACTAGTCCTGCATCCACCAGCTCTATCTTTACTAGCTCTGCACCTACCAGCTCTGCATCTACTGGTTCTACCTCTACTGGTCCCACCTCTCCTAGTTCTGCATCCGCCAGCTCTACCTCCGTCAGTCCTACCTCCACTGGTTCTGCATCCGCCAGCTCTACCTCCATCAGTCCTACCTCCACTGGCTCTGCATCCACTGGCTCTGTCTCCAGCGGTCCTACCTCAACCAGCTCTGTCTCCAGCGGTCCTACCTCTACTGGTTCTGCATCTACTGGCTCTGCATCCACCGGTTCTGCATCCACTGGTCCTGCATCCGCCAGCTCTGTATCTAGTGGTTCTATTTCCACCGGTTCTACATCTGCTAGCCCTTCATCGTCTAGTTCTGCAAGCTCAAGCATATCGACGTCAAGTCTCCCGTCACCCAGCTCTACAAGTTCATTTACTTCAACCTCTTTAACCTCAAGCATCAGCTCTTCGTCATTTAGCCCAGCCACATCTTCGGTTACATCTTCGAGCTCATCTACTAACATACTCTCAGGATCCAGCAGTACGTCAAGCAGTACGTCAAGCAGCACATCTAGCAGTGTATCGAGCAGCATGTCTAGCAGTGCATCTAACATGTCAACATTAACATCAAGTCTTGCAAGCAGCTCCGCATCACAATCAACTACCTTGACTACCACGTCCACTTCGTCCTCAAGCAGCTCTTTGCCCGTGACAACCACCGCCACCAGCACCAGCAGCAGTTCTTCTTCCTCCTCAAGCAGCCCTATGCCAGTGACCACTACTACCAGCACCACCAGCTCTTCTTCTCCATCGTCCTCAAGCAGCAGCTCTAGCAGCTCTTTGCCTGTCACGACGACGACGATGACCACAACGACAACAACGAGCAGCTCATCGACTGTCAGTACTGACACCATCGGCGGAGCCGTGGCTACAAGAGCTTTATGTGCTGGATACACATTGCCTCCGGTCCCTTCGAGCACACCTACACTTGGAGCGTATAATTACCAAGTAATCAGAGTGTCCAACTCCTTATTTGAAGTCACATGCTATTCCAATCTCGGTGGAAATGCACTCGACGAAGTTACTGGTATCACTAGTCTGGAAGGTTGCGCGGCCTCTTGCGCTGCGTGGAATGAAGCACTTCCTGGTAGAACCGACCCATGCGTTGGAGCCACATTCGCTGGGAGCAGCTGCTACAGGAAGAAGTCTTATGGCCTCGCGAATTTCGACCAAGGAACCAAAGCCGTCAGACTGATCAATGCTGGCTATGGATACCCTGCTATCAACGACCAGATGTATCCCATCCCCAACATTGCCTCGTCTACGATCTGTGCCGGACCTTCTAGTACAGCATATGCCTACCAGACCGTCGTACCTCAGAGGACTTTTCAGAACGTCAACCAATGGACAGGCAATCTAAAGTACGAAGTCGAGTGCCAGAGACAGATAACTGGTACACTCTCAACAGGCGTGTACCTTACCAGTTTCCTATCTGGAAACTCGTTCAATTCATATGAGGACTGCCTCCGGTATTGCCAATACTCCAACGAGAACTCCGACGGCAGTTGCCGTGGTTTCAATTATGATCCTTCGTCAGGCACAATTTGCAACCTGTACAGTACTGTCTCCAGTGTTAGTGCACAGGTTGGAGTCAGTGGTGGCAGGTGGTTTGGCGGCGGCTACAGCAATGCCACAGATCGACCGGCTGGATTTGTAAGCGTAAATCAGCAGTGATCACACAATACAGTCTTTGTGGCGTTTCTACCTGCACAGCGCGCTGCCGATCGATCTCTGGGGATCGGGGGCCCCTTTCCCGAGGAACAAGAAGGTGATAGCTCTTCAAGGAGATCACGCGACGGAGGGTAATTGAGGAGTACTGCTGGGAAGAGACGGTCTGCTTGGCACATTCACTGGATTCATATCGCGTGTTCTTCGTTTCGTGACTTCCATTTAGTCCGGTGTGACGCAGGTAATGTCAGTACTAGCGCCTAGGACTGTATTACATGTCCTCACTATTGACTGCTTGAGCTAGTCTGTATTTAGAAATTTTAATTCAGGGTTGGTGTAATGCGGACCGTCATTGAGAGATGGAGAGATTTCTGACCTTGATCCAAGGCTGTTGGATCTCTACCAACACGTCAGCTCCGGGGGCACATTAAAGCATCTGTCTATCATATACGCCGCCTATTGCATTCTTTTCTCTCCATTGCCCCCTTAGAGCACATAGCATATAATTTCTGTTACCTCACAATTCTCATTTCGCCTTTGAGGTCCAGGGTAATCATGATACGACGCTTCCTCTTACCAACGCCTGTGAAAACCACTAACACAAGTATCATGCTTAAGCTGGGAATGTATGACAAGCAGTATTCCAAGGCAGCTCAGGCGTACTGACGCACTCTCCGACGGTACGGCCAAGGTCCATGGTCGGTTGTACTTGGCATTCGGGGGTTCCGATGGTCTAACCCGCCTGGGTAGAAGGGAGACCATGGACACACGGAACGGTGTAGCAAAGTGCCCGTCATGTCGTTTGTTCAGAAGGCATCCAGTTTTGTTGAGAATCAGACCGCTCAAACCATGCGTAGTTTAACTTGCTGGTTCTGGTCGGCGAGCTCGATGTGTTAGTCAGCCTAAATTCAGCATTTCCTCGCATCCCGGCTCAGCCCTTGCAGTGAGAAAGAGAAGCTCGTGTCTGGCCTGATTGGCAAAATCCTTGCAGCAGAGGCGGCGGCATGTATATCGACAAGAAAATTAGAGTGAACCTGAAAGGTGCGTAGAAACCGACGAGACCCTAGCTTGAGAAAGCATGCTCTTGTAGACGGGATTTGGCGAGGAGAAGATGGCTTACAAAGTGCCGGCCAAAGCCGACAGTGCTGGCTGGTGGTTGATCTGGACAATGATTCGCTGGGAAATGGCTGATTACTACGATGTTTTTATGTCACCAAGAACACCCAAGGTGGTGAAGGCACTATTACTATTTGTTAGACATACGTAGTAGATCTCCAGGATAGGGGGTCACTATTGTGTGGCATTTCAGGGGCGGCTCCCTATTACGATGCACGATTAAGTAATATTAAAGCTCAACTAGAGCGCCACTAGCTGCTCTAATTTTAGCGTATGTTGAAGACTTGAGCAAGCCATCTGTCCGTAGTACAACCTCGTGGGTATGCCTGTGAATCCTCCGTAGTTTTGTGCTCCACCCCTTTCTCTCCAAGGGCCGCAGTCTTTTGGTCCAACACCAGTTTACTAATAACGTACCCAACTGTCATATGCACTACTACAGTACTAGGCAGAAGTATCCATAGCTCAGCGCTTGTATCTCTGCCAGGAAACAGACAAACGAACCGGCTAATCCGTGAGCAGTTAAGCGGTACTGCTGTGGCCAGTAATTAATGAATATCGTCCAAGAAAAATCTAGACATCAATGTGGCGCTGTATCAGAACTAGCTGCTACTAGTACTGAGCTATAGGTACTTCTGCCTGGTACCGTAGTACACCCTCAAATGCATCACATTACTTGACGTCTTAGGTCTTAGAGCATATTTCTATTATTCGAACGTTGCTGGTCCTGTTCTGAAGATAGAATTGAAAGAAAAATGTCCTGGAAGCAATACATCAAAGGTCACCGCCCTCAGATGAATATTCGTTAAAGGAGAGCGAGCTGAAATTCGTAGCTTGTGGTTTGGTAGGAAGGGAGATATGGACCCTAAAAATCCTGCATATGGGGTGGTGGTGCATATGACAGCTGGGTAGGTTAAGCTAAAATTCTAAGACATTTTCGGGCTAGCTAATATGTGACTGAAGTTCTACGAGGCCATTTATGAGAACCCTTGGAAAAGCGTGACATGAACCATTACATCATGTGCAATGTTGAGGCTCACACATGATCCTCGGTCTTCTGCATTCAGCCGTCACGCCAGGGCGGCTTTTAAGGGGCCCCTAGAACCCCTTCCGGGCAGAGCGATGGCACAGCCTGCATCTCATTCTCCCTGAAAAGTCGTTCAAGCGAATGGATTAAAGCATCCGGAAGCCACAGTGGCAATTATGAATGGTGATGGTGCTGTACACAGTACTCAACCACTTAGGAGGCTGTGATGAAATCACTTGGCTAACGCTAGCAGACTTGCATCTCAAAGCAGGTCACAAACATGGCTGCAGCCGCCGCGAAACCCATGATGAGGATCTTGGAGAGCTGGCTGACAGCTTCCAAAAGAGTGGTACGTAGTAGATCGAGAGATGAAAGTCTGCCAGAGACTTACTACGGGGGGAGGAAATAGTACCCATAGCTCAGCACTAACTAGTATCTTTGCTAGAAACGCGCCAGAAATGAGACAGCTAAGCTTTTGATGGTTAAGCGGTACTTACTGGTGCGGCCAATAAGTGTGGACAATCACCTGAGAAGCTTCTAGACATCATGTGGCTAGCGCTGTACCCAACTAGTTACTACTAGCGCCGAGCTATGGATGCCTTCCCCCCGTGGGCCCGTAGTATGAGTAGAATGTACGATAATCCTTTCTGGAAAGGGGTCCGCCAACCTCTGAAAAGGTACCAGAAAGTGCAATCGGCAACGAAACCTAAAATTCAAGGTTCCAGATATATTTGGCCGGTACTAGAATCTCAGAACGACTCCCCAGACCCAAAGCAGCATTTCATCATGGAAAAGTAAGAAAGGTGAAGAACAAGTCAAGTGATGACCTACCACGTATGGGTTCTATAAGTTTGCCACTTGACATAGACAGCTCCTCTTACCCGAGACCAAGACATGCGCAAGACGGCATTAGCGGCCGGCGGACCGGTTTAGTAAGTGGTCCACTTAGGAAAGTTCCGTCAGTACTACGGTAGGATGCATAATAAATGTCAGCGCGGCCCTGGTAAAATTGTTATTAATGACCTTCATACAGATACCCCTGTCGCCCTACGAATGCCGTATCCCTTTGGAAAGAGTTATTCAACGCGTCAACGCGCTCAGTGAGCTACGGGAGGCTTTAACAGCTGCCTGGAACGCTGTGCCTGCGGCCTATCTCTCGAGCTGCTCAAATCAATGCTAGTAAGGTGTCAGGGAGTGATCAATGCCAGTGGAATGCACACTCGATACGGAGTAGAATAGCTAGTCCTAATCGAGTGATTTTGTGGCGTTCTATCTTGGCGTTACAAGCTGTTACTAGGACGCGCTTACATTTATTTTGCCTCCTCACCGTAGTATGTTCTTGAAATGAGAAGTCTGGCTTGCTAGTTGCTAGTATCAAGATGCAACCTGTTTTGTTCCTGGTGACCAGGCATGTGGAAGCCAGCCTAACGATGCGTTGTAGGAAGATTGTTCTGTTGTTGGAGAAAGACCTTGAGGAAAGCGACCTAGTGAGATGAAAGAGCGAAGAAGGATACTCATCTTGACTTTTGAAACCTACCAATTTCATGTTAACCCACCGCACATAGCCATTTTTATCCGCCTTTCCAAGAAAATACTGCACCTACAGTCATCGACGTCAACGAACTGGGTCACATAATACTGTTGAGTCATTCGATCAATCACTGGATCATGATTCTCAACAGAGCATGGCTTTAACAAATACAGCCCAAGTGGCTCTTCGACGGTCCTACGCAGCTGACCACATCAGGCTACGCCACAGTTGACCCAATGTCAGAGCATGGCAAGTTCCAGGCTCGTCTAGCACATATAATAGAAGGTTGGTTACCATAGCTCGATCGTAGCTTAACTAAGAGCACAACTATTTCTACACATTCTTGCGGTAAGTCTTTTCAATATGCTAGGATCACCTCTTTATCCTGCCGCTTGTCTCTGCTTTGCTCTTCAAACCTATGCTAGAACTGTTTCCTACGACTGGCGTCTCCACTGGGTGTCCGTTAACCCAGATGGCGAACTTCTCAGACCGGCAATTGGCATAAACGGCCAGTGGCCTAACCCGGCGATTGAAGCAGAGGTGGGCGATCGCATTGTCATAAACCTACATAACCAGCTTGGAAACGAGACAGCAAGCCTCCACTTCCATGGAATCTACCAAGAAGGATCCAATGGTATGGACGGCTCACCTACTGCGACACAGTGCGAGATACCGCCCGGTGTATCCTTCACATACGATTTCGTGGTTCGTTTCTGAATCATTGTCGAGGTTGGAAGATGATCTAACCAGCTGCAAGGTCAATCAACCAGGATCCTATTGGTATCACTCACATTCATCCGGGCAGTTGGCCGACGGCCTTCGAGGCCCCCTTATCATCAAGGACCCAAAATCACCTTATGCCGGAAATTACAGCGAAGAGCTTATCGTGACTATCAGCGACTGGTATCACGACGAGGCGCCTTCGCTAATTCCTTACTACCTCTCCTCTGTCCAGAACCCGTCTGGAGCAGAGCCAATCCCTAACTCGTCGCTTATCAATGAAGCCCAAGACATCAAGCTTGCAGTCAAGCCAAACACGAACTACCTTATTCGGATTATCAGCATGGCCGCCTTCGCGCAGGCATATGTTCATTTTGACCAGCATGAGATGACTATAATTGCCATTGATGGTATCTATGTCCGACCAAGAACAGTCTCAACGGTGCATGTTGTAACTGCTCAGAGATACGATGTGTTGCTTACGACGAAAAGTGACAAGGAAAGGAATTACGCATTCTTTTCGAACCTGGACCAGGCCAAGTTCCAGAGTATTCCAGGATACCTTCGTCCTAACGCTACCGGATATCTCGTGTATGATGCATCAAAACCTGTCCCACCAGAGGCCCCTACCGTCGGCCGCTACGATATCATTGACGACTTCACTCTCATACCCTGCGACGGCCAGCCCCTACTTTCGGGGCCTCCAGACGCTTCGATTGTGCTAAATGTTGGTTTTTTTGAAAGAGATGGACAAAACAGGTATGTGCCCTGGTAAAGTCTTCTTGTGCAGACTGACACCCTGTCTCTAGGGCAGGCTTCAATAATATCACCTACATAGGACAAAAAGTGCCGTCCTTGTACACAGCATTGACCACAGGCAGTGATGCCGAAGACCCGCGTGTGTATGGTGTGAACGCAAACGCTAAGGTCGTTAAGCAAGGTGATCTGGTTGAAGTGGTCATCAACAATTTTGACCGTAGTGGTCATCCCATGCATCTACATGGCCACGCTCCACAGATTGTCGCACGAGCTGCGGGAGTCTTCTTACAGAACGGCACACTTTCCGCAAAGGGTTATACTGGCGACATTGGAACATTGCCTAAGGTACCCATGCGGCGAGATACTTGGGGAATGGCTCCCGGAGGCTATACCGTCATTCGATATCGAGCAGACAACCCTGGCGTATGGCTGCTTCATTGCCATATGGAATGGCATGTCGCAGCAGGTTTGAGCATGACCATCGTTGAAGCACCTCTCCAGCTTCAGCAATCGCAGCGCATCAATCCGGCCATGGAGGATATATGCAAGTCGCAAGGTCTAGCGACTGCGGGCAATGCAGCAGGGAATACTGAAGACCATTTCGACTTGTCAGGTGCAAATACGATAGTAGAACCGAATCACCGCGGGTAAGTGACTTACATCGCATTCGAATTCTTTCCACCAAGCTAACTCCTTTCTAGGGCGTTGGTCGATGAAGACTATAACAATTAGTACCCTGCATGGAGTCATTGGTGAAAAGCATTAAAGCATGATATTTTTCCGACTATGTTGAGTTGCCTTTATGTACAAAACCCAATCCGGTGATCATTGTTTGGCTGGTGGATTTCTTGCGATCATCTACAGGTTAAAATTGGCGTTCTGCAATTGAAGACGATGGTATGCACAATGAGTTGTGACTCTCTTGCGTTCTGTCACTTCAGCACTCCCGCCTCTCTTCAAGACAGTCTAACTACTTTCACTGTTCTTTTCCCTTTTCTCTTCGTACTTGTCTTCCTATGCTCTGCGACTCTTTAGAGTCAATTCAAGTCATCTTCAATAACACACAGCTCCAATGTAATTTGTGCAGATTCAATTCCCATCTGCGGCCTATCGTTCTATACCAGCCTGCTGCATATTATTTGTAATACACTCACATTCATTTATCAACTCGACATCTCGCTTGAGCTTTTGCTTTCCTTATGATGTACATATACAAATGTGTCCTTCTGAATCTCTCCTGTATATACTGATTCTACTCCACATTTTAGTTCGAGATCAACTCTTGCTTTCAACACCAAAAGTCGTCATCCAACCGCCTATGTTGGGATTTGTTCACCACAGGATGAACCCCCTTGGAGCGAGTGAGAACTTCGATAAATGCACTCTTACACGGAAACAGTTATCCGGAAGCCGCGCATCCCGTTGGGCACTCTGAGGTCTTTCAACATTGCTGGGTTTTGGAATGCGTTACGAGTCCAGAATGGCCAAAGAGATATACAAGCTTATCGCTCAACTCGGTTTTTCTCCTTGTCGATGCCGGATGAGTGTATGTAGTTTTGTTACACAAATAAACGGCCGAATTTGTCGAACATCAATGCCCATGATTTTGCGGATTGAATGGCAAAGTGGCACCGTCGAGGGCCTCGATGGAGGGTGTTCTCCTGGTCGCTTTCGTCTCTCATCTCGTGAGTACAAAAAGAGGGGTTTGGCTTCACTGGGAAGTAGATGAGTGACCTGAAAATAAGAGAAGAAGACTGTGGTGGAGACCTGAAGACGCCTAAACCAGAAGTTCCTTCTTTGATACACAACAACTGCATATCATCCAAAAGCAGATGGCCAATCCGAAAGAACAAATCAAACGGCAGAGATTGCGTTACGGTTCGCGATAGCGAGCGAGCCAAAGGCGAAATGGTTAGACCTGATTCCAAACATCCAGGCTATCCTAAACACCTCAACCTTATATATAAGGCGATAGCTGTTCCATGTCATGAGGCCAGATCATCCAAGCGAACGGGTCGATTGGCATATTGATGACCTGGAGACGGAATAAGAAGCGACGGAACAAAAAGCGAAATGATACGAGGGCGTATCAGTCTTCAAGGGAACACCCCCCCTTGTCACGTGCGTTACGTTAGCTCCACATGGCGCTCCTCTTAGATTAGCTCTCGTTGCTAATGGCATAGGCAATGGTGACCGAAACATCACCAAGAGCCAAACGAATCAGACCAGGACAGGCCAGAGGGCCAAGACACATCCTGGGAGGACGGATACTTTCAGTTCCAAGAGGCAAACGAAAGTGAAGGGCAAAATAGGTTGACGAAACGCTACAACAAGTCGGATTCGGACTTTTCTCGACTAGTGAGTCAGCGACATGCCGAAAATGCCAGAAAACGTTCCAGTCAAAAAACAAGTTGCACACCCATCTGCGGGAGGCATGTATGAGTAAGGGCAAAAGGGTCGGAAAGGCAAACGAAACGTCTGGGCGATCAGACGATACAGCAGCAGCAAGAGCTAATCTAAGAGCTAACGCCAAGCGAGCTAACGGAACATGGACGTGACAAAAGGAACCCACAAAGAACTACCAGATCAGACTTGGCAATGTGGAATATGAGATAAGACATCCACTGAGGGATCCGTGGGCGGCAATAGGACGTCTCAAGGCAAACTTTTTAGTTGGCATGGGCATATTGGGTCCCGAATCAACTGACCTGATACTGTCTCAATCCGTCATGATAATTAATCGGAACATGTCAAGGCATCCGGATACCGCTCGATACGAAGGCAAGAGAAGGCCAAACGTATCAAGCGAGTAGTGCTGGCAAAGGAACAAACCGTAATACCCGCACGATCCATGATGATGACTCCAATCCGTTCTCGTATCAATCCACATCGAACTCGTATCTTCGCAACACTGCCGCCGAGGCCCGAAAATAATGAGGAAGATAATGTAACGGAGAAGCCAAGCCAAGCCAGAAAGAAAGAAAGAACAGACTTTCCTTCCCGCCGAGGCATGATCATGTCGTCATTGTATATCGACGGTGCAGTTGTAATACGATGGGGTGCAAAGGTATTCCCCGGAGGGGTAAATGATAGCACATGGACCTGGATGGAAAACCGATGACGTGAGCCAGTGTGTCCATCTGGATCAAATCGAGTCAATAGCAGTAGTAAACCAAATCAAATCCTTGGCAGATATACCAAATCCTGTCAAATAAATCAAATCAAATTGGTCAAGTGGAGGTCTTGGCAGAAACGTCTCTTGGTACTATTTGGAATATTCAGGGTCATTTCTAATGGAAAAAATTCTTTCTTGGCGGACTCTTCTTGTGAGATGAAAATCCTTCAGTCCCTCTTAACAAAACATTACTTATTAACATGTGAATCGATTTGCCAAACGAGTCAAATCAAATCAAATTCGACCTTTGGGATTAGATAGGTAAATTAAGTGGGGGTCATGGTTTGGTATATTTGAATCGATGGATACACTGACATGCACTGGAAGGCAAGACAAAACCTATCGATAGCGAGCCGTAGAAAGCAATCGGCTCTTGCAAACGTGTCAGCCCAGTGGAGATACGATTCCAAAATGACACAGCCTTAGAAATGGGATCCAAGAGAATGCGTTTTCCTGCCATCGCGAAAGGGGGTATATCGGTACCTGGGTTACCAGCATAAACCCCCCGGCCCTCCCCCCCGCCGAGAACGACATTTATGCTGGGAAAGCAAAAGATTTTCGGTAGTCCCGCTGGAAAGAATCGATCCCGTCACCTGCTCTGTATCACATTCAGAATCGACGCCGTGCCAGACTCGATTGATCAGCGAGTGCATCAGTGAGGTTTTCTTTAGCATGTGCGATACCAATGTCTGTATCGTTTCTTCTTCCTTTCCCTTTTCTGGAAGAGGACTTGGGCATCCAGGGGAATTGAAGAAGTGGGTGGTGCATGCCAAGAAAAACGGATGAGCTGTCCAGGTTGGGACTTTGTGCATGGGGTATGTCAGCAGCATGGGTAGTCTTTGTAACTCTTGTCTCCAAAGCTATGGCGTAGACGATGAGAACTTCCTCGCCTGGGTTCCACAGGTAGGATTTGGCTTGCCTTGGCTCCAGGGGGGTTTTGTTTGGGAGATTTTATGGAGGAATTGCAGGTGTGGAGATCTGCTCGGTTGAAGGCATTTGGCCAGTTCATCTGTAAAGGCGGTCCGGTCTGGGCCGGCGAGGGAGATGGCGCGCTGGGATTTGTGCGATATATGTGGAGGGCGTGATGGGAAGTTTTCGAATATGAGCGCAGCCAAATGTGCTGATCTGAGTCAGGAAGTGTTGGGTGGAAGAGCTCGATTCCCAGGCCACGGAACCGTTGACCTGGTAGAGCAGAGATGATGCTTCTTTGTGCCACAGCGGACAGACACAGAGCCTTTGAGGCCCGTCACAGTCAGGAGCAAGGCATGCCTTGGGCGTGTGAAGGTCTTTATCGTGGCTATCATAGCCTTGCATAAACCTTCAGCGCTCTGTTGAGGTTTGTGGTTGTTCAGGCCATTCTCGAGAAATATGCCATGTGTCGATTTTGGGCGCCAAAGGAAGCAAGGACGGTGGGTTTACTATTAGTTTTTCAAGGACGTAGATGTGACTCCTCCTGACGTCAAAGCCATGTAAAGAGAGCGGTTTGTGAAGCTGTGATTGGTAGGAAGGGCAACGGAGCACAGGCTGGACGCGATTCATGTTGCGATAGCCTGATATTCGTATGATGATTATGGTCTAGATACTAGTATGAGAGGCTCATGCATGATAACATATCACAATCGCCAGAAGAGATTTGCACGCTATGCCTAGACCCAGAGATGTGACCGACACAATAATTGTAATGCTAATCCTAATGCTGTAATTTTCTTTGCTCCTATAATGGGTATTGTGCACGGTAGGACACTGGGAAAGCCAAGCACGTGGCATTAGATAGAACATATCTATGGGTTGTCTTCGTTTGTATGTGAACATGTGTAAAGCACAAGAATGTAGTGTGCACCAACATTAAGCAATATCAGGTGCTTTCAAGTCTGCCGCTGGGAGAAGTCTGGCAGGACTGCCGGTTTCTTCATGGCACCCCTAGGAGGATTTACTCCCGTGGATCTGAATTGTAGGCGTCTCCAAGTAGAGCAGAAAAAGAACTGATCATCTCAGCTGGGCTGGTATCTGAGAAGCTAAATGAAATGACGAATTTGAGGATGCGGCCAGATGGCCGCGGATGTGCTTCGTTGAAGGTACTAGGATCGTTGATTTGCCATTTGTTTTCCACTCGAGTAGGATGCGACAACTCCAGGAGAATCGGGCGCCAGGACAGAATCCGCGATTTGCTTATCTTGCAGAAAACAAAGCATATGTACACGTTTCAGACATGGGGCTGCCGTCCGGATGTTTTAGTTGTGCCAAAACGAAGTTGCTGGTCGGACTGGTGCTATGCTCCCCCTGTCGACCAGGGAGCCTCCGAACAGCATGTGGCTCGAAATGACCACCAATTAGATCGTCCAGGTCGCTCCACATGTTGGAAAGGGCGAAGAAGTAAGCTCCTCAGCGAGGGTAGCTTCAGAAGTCGGGTGATTGGCTGCTCGTGACTGGGGATCTGGAACATCATCTATCTTGATCTTTCATCCGCAATTCTGGCGGAGGCCCATGTGCATACTGTCGGCAGACCTCGCTCCCGAGGATGATGCGGTGTCTGTATGGGTAGTTCCTTTTAAGCTAATACGCAACTCAGCCCATTCCGATGGGATTCTTCCAGGCTTTCTTGACTACTTTGCCTTCGATATCAACGGCAACCAAGCAGTACCCGTTTCGAGTCTCCTGGAAGCGGAGAGCGGTAGGAAAATTTTTGAATTTTTCATGGTCTTGAATGGCCAGTGTGCCTCCACCAAGCGGCACGGGGTTAAGGGCTGACAGCCCACCACCCTCTTCGGCGACCATAGGCATGATTACAATTCTGGCCTGATGTTTGCCTAGGCGTTCTACCAGGGCGATAATTCCGACACAAGGACAAACCGCTCCAGCGAGGATTGACCCTGACTTTCTGAGTTGCACAAGATCATGAACCAGCCTTTCGTGCACGCGGACTTGTGCTGAGCCTATTGGTGAGACGAAGGACCATTCTCCTTTGTGAACAACCCTCTCGAGTGAGGGCAGAGTTGTACAAAGGACGTAGGGATGGGACAGGGAAGATTCGAAGAGGGATGTCGACGAGATTCCTCCGCTAGTCATGTCCTAGAACAACGGAAAGGTATCAGCTAGAGGAGCGAAAGAGAAACTACCCGGAGTAGACATACCGTCGTGATGTCCTTCTTCAGAATAAACGGTGCCCCGTCTGGACGAGCATTATTTGACAGACGCCAGACCAAGATCCGATTGTTGTTAGTAGCGCAAACAAGCCTTTTCCCGTCAGGGCTGAATGCTAGTGTTTTCAACAAATCCATAGTCAACGGGTTGGGTTTGGGCCGAGTGAAAGAGACAGGCTGCCTTGTTAGAGTAGCAATCTCATTATTTCCATGAATGCAATACATCTTAATGCTGCCGGAGTGGGCTCCTTCCTGTCTTACCCATCCCCCAACGGCAATCCAGGTGCGATCGTCCGTTTCATGAATGGTGATGAGGTTGTTTGGATTCCATTGATGACGATCCGCCTCCATACCGAATGTATCCAGATCTATCATCTGTCCGTCATATCGGAAGATGCGTATAGACTTTACCCTAGACTCTTCCACCAGAAGCACAACAAACCTTTCTGATAGGGCGGCGGCAGCATATTTAAGTTCAGAAGCAGCATGTCGAAAAACTGGTTGCATTCCAGGCTGTTCACCCAGGTTGCTCAGGGAATAGATCAAGACCATCTTCTCGTTTAAGAAATAGGCGTGTGAGCATTCTGTGGAAAGTCCAGCTGCCGAAAAACGAATTCTGTGGAATGCTGAACCACGGGGGAGCGGGACACTGAACTTCTGAGCCTCCGAGGTAATTCCACTTGTTGGGACGTTTCTTTCGATCCAATCAAGACGGTCCATCACCTGTCTCGAGGAGGAAGACTCGGTGATGGAAATGCTGGTACTATCTCCAAGACATTCCAATACCATAGTCATTTCGTCCCGGAGCTGCTTCTGGAGCTCAGGCCCTGATCTTTGCCCGGCCTCCGTGAGAACAAGCTGAGATTGCAGGGATCGTGAGGAAGGGTTGGCTAAGAGGACTTCCAGCTAGCAGAACCGGTCCGTCAACAAATGTCGGAGGGTACGCCGTAAGATGAATTACTTACCGCTTTCCACCGAAAGTTAGCTACTCTGCTCCTTGCGACGATCAACCTCATCCTCTCTTCAAAGCCAGCCGGGTATCGCTCAGGATCAGTGATGCTAGCCAACTGTGTCGCACAGTCCAATATTCCATAAAAGTAGTTATATCTGTCCAGACTGGCGGGTCCCCGGTCCAAAACCGCTGACAATTGCTCACGAAACTTTGATGGACGACGAAGATCTGCTTCGAAACATCCATTGTCCTCTGAGTTCAGAACCCGTAGCACTTGCTCCAGAGCAACATCCGCAGCGGCTCTGGAGCATTTCAATGCTTTTGTATGTAGATCATCATTACTTTTATGGCTTTCCACTGATTGGGCACCGATGCGTGAGTAGAACTCGAGTGCTACTGCAATCCTGGTGAGGCCTTGCATTTTGAAGAGATCGTGATACCGGTTGTCTGATGGCTCTGCGTGTCGAGTAGAGTCCAGCAGTCGGGTAAAATTCCCGTAAAGATCTTTAACAGCATTGTTCATGTTACCAATTCCGAAGCCCTGGCAATAATCAGTTCCACATCCAAGTTGAGGGAGCTCGAAGGATATTCCTACCAGGGCAATATTGACTGCGACCACGCCCAGCTGCATCAGGTCGCCTGCAACTTCAAGGGCGTCCTTGATCCTGGGCCTTGCTTTGACGAATTGCTGGGCTGCTACCAGAGAAAGTAGATATGAGCATTGCGCTCTACGAAATGCCTCTTGCGTAGCCCCAGTCTGCTCTTCCGGTAGCCAAACCAGATCTTGATATAGCTGGTTTATTTGCTCCTGCCATCTCGCATGAGAATCTGCCTGGTGGGCAGTCACTCCGCGAAGGTGTAGCCATGCCACAACAGAGAGTAAAGCCCGCAATTGTAGCTCTCTTAGGACGTGGGAGGATGCATTGACATATTTCACCCCACAAGAGGACAGCTGCTCCGCGAGTTGGCTGATCACTGGTATGTCGAGCGCGCTCCTGAAGATAAACCTTGAACTTTCAGAGTTTTCGACTTCGTGGCAGAGACATTCGTGGTTTATGAGAAGAGTTATTTCGTCCAGTGTCTGGGTGTCGTAGACGTGATCTTTGATGGCGAGCAACAATTCTTCGGCAACGCGTTTCCTCGCGCTTGTCGCTGGCGCTTCGGGCTTACCGACCATCCAACTTTCATACCAAAATGAAGGTCTTTGAAGGGAGCCCATCCCAAAGGAAGCATGGATGAGTATTATACTGATGAACAGTGCAGTTACTGGTCAGCCTCTGGCAGCTCGACGATCATGTCACAGAGCCTGCCTTGCCATGCGCTCGCAGGCTGGATAACACCCTACATATGAACCGCCAGCCTAATCTCGAGACGCAAGGCTGTAGGATGCTGCCAAGTGATGCGTCACAATTCAAGGGCTATGCCACCATCATGCATGATCTGTTGACAGGAACATCACTAACGTGCCCGGGTGGGGTGAGACGAGGCTGCCAGGAGCAGCCCCGGAGACTGCCTTGCAGTGCCGTCAGTGGTAATAGAATTTGGTTTAGAAGATGCGTTGAAGTAACCTTCTTCTCCCAAACTCTTTTCCTTTCTTCCCCTCCCCACCAAACACCCAGGTCTTCGCTGGCATATCACAGGATGTCTATTGTAGAAAGCAATTCAAAGGGTTTTAACAGTCCATTCGAAGTGCGGTCGTACCAAGGTGGCAGTGATCATCAAAGCATTGACAGCAGGAGCACCACCAATCACAATGGCACCAGGAGTCACCTCGCTCGTCGGCTCTTCGACAACGATCGGCTCGACAGAAAGCTCAAACGGCATCATATCACCTGTGAGTCTATCGAATTTGCGCTTGAGATTGCCTGTGCTAATACACACGGCAACAGCAATTGCATTTAGCGGCACGATTGGCATAGGGCTTTTTGTCACTTCTGGACAGATCATATCTATATCAGGGTCTGGAGGCTGTGTGATCTCATTCGTAGTTGCAGGGCTCATTGTCATCGCCGTTATGCGTACATTGGCCGAGATGGTGTCTGTCAGACCACTATCGGGCGCCTTGATTGACTTTCCGCATACCTTTGTGGACCCTGCTTTGGGCTTTGCCGTGGGAATAATGTACTGGTGAGTACCACTACAGATCGACGTGTTTGGAATGAACTGACACCATCTAGTCTTGCTCAATGCCTAAGTATGGCAGCACTCACATCAGCTGCAGCTAGGATTGCGGACAACTTTTTGCCGGATGGTCGCACGCTAGCGAACGAGCAAAAGGCAGGAATTATCACGGGGTTGCTGATCATTACACTCCTGTCTAACGCCTGCGGCGTCCAGGTAGAAAGCTCAGATCCACCGCTACGGACAAAGCTGACATCTTCCAGCTCTATGGACGGTTGGAGCGTGTGGTCAAGTGGTTGAAATACTTCATTATCATTGGGGTATGTGTACTAATGATCATTATTAATGTTGGTGGTGAGTATAATATTCTACTCAGGATACGCTACAGGCGGTCTACTGATACCATACTTGCAGTTGGTGGTAAATCTTTTGGGACAACGAGTAAGTGGAACACTATCGGCCCATGACCGAACTCGACTCATGATACCAGATTACACCCAGCATGCGATGGCGCCTTCCCTTCGGTGGGCTGGCTTCAACAGTACAGCAGATGCAGAAGAGAAGAGCAGCGAGTTTGGGATCCAGGGCCACACAGGTAGATTCCTTGGAGTCTGGTACAGTGATGCTATATTTCAAGGGAGGGTCTCGTGACAGCTAACACATTCGCTTATAGGACATCTACCACCCTTGCGATTTTCGCCTGTATGGGTGGGGATTTGGTCATTGTTACTGCCGGTGAAGCCGAAGCTCCCCGACGTGACCTCGCCCCTTCAGCTCGATTCATGTACCTTGTTCCTATTAGTTGTTATATTTTCGGATCATTCCTGGTGGGTTTCAATATAAACTTCATGGACGCGAAGTTATTCCATCCATTCGCCTCGTGGAACTACACAACTTCGCATTCGCCATTTATCATTGCGGTCGGCTATACCTCGATCAGAGTTCTTCCTGCTCTGTTAAAGGCTTGCTTCCTCTTCTCAGCATATACAGCTGCGTGAGCTCCCAGACTCTGCACGTGGACCGGACCAGTTGCTGACCTTGAGATCGCCAGGAACACTGGTCTTTTTGCGTCAAGCCGTACTCTTTTTGCAATTGCTCAATTGTATGGTAACGACTTTATCAAGCGCACCATAGGGACGACCAATTCTGGACATACCCCGATAGCTGCAATTATATGCTGCTCAAGTTTCGGTCTCCTTGCATTTCTCGGTCTTGCAGATGGAACTTACAACCAGGTAGGAGATTTCTGTTGTGCACAGACCACATGAGAGTATAACTGACATTATCTGCAGCCTATTCTCTCACTTTCTTCGTTCTTCGTAAGCACTTTGGCTTGTGTCTACATAAGCGAATGCATTGCATTTCTTCGATTCAAAAAAGGGTGAGTGGATTGCATCATTGTTGTCTTTCGTTGCATCTTTTGGTCTAATAACAGTATAGTCTCACGACGTTAGATGAGAAAGACGTCTTCTCCCGTGACGAAGAGCTCTACCGCAAGAGACATTACCGAGCTCACTGGCAACCTCTTTGTGCAATTTTTGGCCTAGCAGGTTGTTTGCTGGTAGTCATGTTCAGTGGATGGCCAGCAATATATCTTCTCAAGAACTATGATGCAGTGAAACCGGATCAATCCATTAAGCCTCAGCTCATGCTAATAGGTGATTTGCTTGGAGCTTATCTTGGGGTATGTTTCCTGCACTATTCTCATGCCACTCTTACCATGAGGTGCCCGCCTGTCGTGCTAATCACGTTCGCAGCCCCTCCTCTTCCTCTCACTTTTTATCATCTACAAATTCGTATATGGAACAGAGTTCCGCTCACTTAGCGATTTTGAAGATGCCTACTTCCTGCCGAATTTCGATCAGGAACCTCTGGCAAAGCGGCCACATGGGTTCAAAGCATGGATCAAAGAGATTTGGAGCTTTGTAAAATGATGTGGTCTCACTTGTCATGACATGGGCACATTCATCTCTGACCTGGACTGGCGAGTGTACTTGACAAACATTGTCTGGCAAGCAGGAGTTGATCTTCATTGGACAGGTGTACAAGCAATGCAAACATCCCGTAGAGCCGGCGTCTAACTGTCATGTGTAGATGGAGAAAGTACACAGCTCCAGTACGTGCAGAGTAAGGACCCTGTCACAAATACTGCAGAGCGGTGTCACTCAACGTAGCCGAAGCGGGTTGCTTAGACTCCTCCTTTAGGAAGAAACCATGTCGGCTCTACATTGCACTGCACACTTTCATTCAAGGCCCATAGGCCCGCTGCAAGGCTCTTTCCCGAAAGCCGCACACCCCCTTCACGAAGAGGTCCGTCCTACCCTACAGTAGCTTAGAGCCACCAAGTGACTATGCCATGCTACTAGTTAGTACGGAGTACTTGCCGATCAATGGGCAATTTTAATTTTCTCCAAGTGAAAGCCACACCAATGACTACCTTGCCCGTTATCGAGAAGAAGCCTCATTATAGGATCGGAGAGATAAAAGGACTTGGGGCCGCTAGGTAGGTTCTCTTGGTGGGGGGCTTGCTCTGCAAGGCTGACCAGGCATCATGCTGAATGTGATGGTGACTACTCGCAAGTTTTCCGGTTGGATGTCTTAGAAGCCACATCTAGACCACTGCATGTCTAGAACGAGGCGTTTTTCATGAGGATAGAATCCAGATCTGGATCTAGATGCAAAGGGGTTTCGCTAATCTCAGACTACTAATAACTTAGTTACTTGTAGGGTGGTTCGACTAGATTTTGAGCGAGGCGACTGCGCACGCAAGACGAATTCGTGGGATGGGGATAATGGGCAAAAGAGCATGAGTGAATTGGTGATGGGGGTTGGATGTTGTTTGTTATGGCATAATCATTAAAACAACTGATTTGATTACGTAGGGAGCGGTCGGAGAAAAAGGATGCATCAATCACGCCGCCAAAGGGACAATGCTAATGGCTTTCGAACCACCTAGTGCTTGGTTGATATATCCTTCCAGACAGCTCTAATCAGAGCGGCCGGCTAAGTTTGCCTACAATGAGCAATGGTATTGGGTGTAAACGATCGCGGGGTAAACTGTTTGTTCATGGGATGGAGGGGTGTGACAGATATAATGAGACATGAAGTGGGGGTTTACTCCACATAACCAGAGCGGATGAGTGGGGTAGTATCTCAGTGATAGTGATAATGTCAGGGGTCGTAGTCTCGGCGGTGGGGAAAAGAAAACCGAAATTTGCAGCATCAGTTGCAGGGGCGGCCAAGGTATCTATCTACTCTCTCACACACAAGCCACTTTGAAACAGCTTTTTGGTCTCGAAGACGGGTCCGCGCCTTGTGTCGTCAGATTGTTTTAAGTTGTGCATACTCCAGCCTCAATCAAGCGGAGTTTGCAAAATATGAGACGTCCGAGTCTTTCAGATGCAAGAGGTAAGTAAACAGATTCAATTACTCGATACGGCAAGTCATCATGGCGGACTAATCTTCCTCAATCAGACGCGAAGGACGTCGCCGCTTCGATCGTGCCGGAGTATGCTCAATCATGGGACCCCGTGGTCGAAAGGAGGGTGGTGCGCAAGATAGACATGATTCTCATGCCGTTCATGTGGATCGGCTACGGGCTGGTTTACTATGATAAAGTATGCTACCTCCCTAGGACCGCTTAGATAATGTATCAGTTTGATATGATGTTCATGTGTATATGTTTTCTACCAAGCTAACCGCACCATCAACCCAGGCCATCCTCGGCGGCGCCGCCGTCTTCGGCATGACGAGCGACCTCTCCCTCCGGACCATCACCTCCCCACCCTCCCTCAACCCGCCGGTCATCTCCACCACGCGCCTCTCCTGGGCAACGTCGCTCTTCTACTTCGGCATGCTCGCCGGTCTCTACCCGCTCACCTACCTCTTCCAACGCTTCTCGCTCGGCCGCGTCCTCTGCGTCATCGTCGTAGCCTGGGGCGGCATCGCCATGCTAACCGCCGCCGTCACCAGCTACCGCGGCCTGTTCGCCCAGCGCTTCTTCCTCGGCTTCACCGAGAGCATCATGCCGACCGCCTTCATGGTGGTGGTGAGCGGCTACTACACCCAGGCCGAGCAGACGATGAGGCAGAGCTGGTGGTACTCCGCCACGGGCGGGTGGACGGTGATTGGCGCGGCGTTGAATTACGCATTTGCAAACATCACCGGCGGAGCGTTGACGAGGTGGCAGTACCTGTATCTGCTTGCCGGCGCCATCACGGTGCTGTTCGGCGTGTGCTGTTTCTGGTTGCCGAATTCGCCGGCCAGTGCGTGGTGGTTTGATGACGAGGAGAAGGTTGTGGCGATTGAGAGGTTGAGGATGGGCCAGATGGGGGTCAGGTGCCAGAAGCTGAAGTGGGGCCAGATACTCGAAGCGGTGCTGGATCCGAAGTGTTGGATTCTCGGGGTTATGATGGGCGCCGCGTATACGGTGAACGGTGCAGTTACTGGGTTTGGACCGCTTATCGTTTCTACTTTTGGCTATACTGCGTTCGAGGCTCTGCTGTGGCAGATGCCGCTGGGAGCTGTCTGCTTTGTGTCGATACTTCTTACCGGGTATTTGAGCTTGAAGGTGCCCAATATTCGCTTGATTATGCTGATGACATGCTGTCTGCCGGTCATTGCCGGTTGTGCGATGATATGGAAGAGCACTTGGTCTCACCATGCTGCTACGCCTATCGCTGGCTACACGGTCATCGGCTTCTTTGCGCCCGTGACAAGTTTGACTGTGAGTACCGGTATGGCTAATGTGGCTGGGGCTACCAAGAAGAGCTACATGGCAGCGAATATTTTCGTTTTCTACTGTGTTGGCAATGTACGCTGTTTTAAGTCTACCAAGAGTAGAAGAACATGCTGATCAGGTACACAGATTGTGGGTCCTCAGCTTGTCAAGTCCCAGACCTTGCAACGTCACTATCCTGAGCTGTGGCTTGGTATCATAATCAGGTGAGCGCAGATCCCCTCCTCACAGTTCGCGACACGAGGACTGATCATCAATGGTAGCTATTGCCTTGTGATCGTGCTGGCTGTCACGTTGATGTTCATCCTTCGGCGTGAAAACATGCGAAGAGAGCGAATGCAACTTGACGAAAAGGAGGCGGAAAAGACCGCCTTCGAGGATTTGACGGATAAGGAGAATCCACATTTCCGATATGTATATTGACGTTCACATGATGACCATCTTCTTCAGTGCGAGAAACAGGTCCCAATCCGTGCCATATGTTCGATGTGCCTAACAGATGCCGTGATAACACCATCTTTCATACAGCCCTCCCTCTTGGAGTCACAAATCCGCTGTCTGTGCGGATAGCCATGTCAGTAAGCTGATTGCAAGATAATGACCTGGAAATCGACCTTGCCCAACGGGAACTGGTCAAATAATGTACACTCTCAATCACTCTCATCCTCCACGTCATCAACACCTCTCAACCAAGCACCTCTTGCGTCCACTGCTTCCTTTCGAACATCCCGTTTCGGGTCATCGAGCACTTTCATCAAGCCTTGCAGAACCTCTCTCTTAAGGGGAAGCAGCGGGTTGGTCCGCGAGCCGGATCCCTTGATACGACCAGGCATTAGAAACAAACAACGCACCGCCAATTGTCGCGCCTTTGGTGTATCTGGTTCAGATTCCTTGTAAGATCCTGACTTTGGGATTGAAGCCGTCTTCACAAGACGCCTCACCAGCGATGGGATGTGTCCACTTTCCTCTAGGGCCGAGGGGCTTCTTGCAGTCACAACCGCTAGCGTTTCGAGTGTTGCAATCTTCACTCTTTGGTCAGATAGATCGAGAGACTGAAGCAACAACGGAAGCAGTGTTGGCAGTTCTGGGACTACAATATCTGAAGGTATCGAGGCAATGACGCCGCTCAATGCAGTCAGATAATTCTCTTTCTCGTCACCTTGCGAGGACGATTTGAATCCAGCTGAGATCAAGGGGGCCAGTGTTTGGAACACCTTCTGCGGAGCCAAGAGACGTATTTGCGCTCCGTTGGTCTTCGACAGCACAGCGTCTGGAGCCAGAAGCCCGCCGAAGCTTGAAGCAGCGAATTTATTGACAGGTAAAGGGTGTTTAGATGAATCTAAAAGTGACAACAAATCTCTAAGAATCGCATTGGTATCGGGCGACAGTCGTAATATCAAGGCCTTCGAGAGCATAAAGATTGTTCGCACAATCCTTGAAATGCTTTGCTCTGAATCAGCCTGTCCATGATCGAGCTGTCCGCCACGAGCCAATCGCACTTTATTGTAGAAAGTGGTTAGCCAGCTTGTCGCAATGTCCAATGCCGAAGAAGGAAGATGTTTGTTGATGTAGAGGGCAAGCTGGCGTGATATCGCAAGGAACGCCACCGGCTCGATATCCGTATCTATGAGTGCAAGCAGGGAAGACAAAGTGACAGATATTTTTGCTGCTTCTAAGAGGGGCGCTTGGAGATCTCGTGGTATGGCTGCCAACAGCCATGTAGAAAGAATCCAGATGCTCTGGAGTGTGCTGCCGTTCGGAGCGCTAGATAGTCGTTCTAGACCTGATTGCAACGAGAACAAATCATACACATTTGCACTGGCAGTGACCTTTTTATCAAGTGATGCGTTCCTGACAATAAGGTTGCTGACCCTGCCTAGTACTTCCAGCACAGTGACATTATTCAGAGCCGTCAGGTTGTTTGACGCGGCAGCTGCCGTCGTAGCTCTTGAAACCAAACCAACCACAACACGATCATAATAACCTTCGAGGTTAGGATCATTTTGGAGACCTCTCCTCTCCATGATAAATAGCAGCGTTGACAATAGCGCACCAGTATACTTCGGTGAATCGACATTGTGGGTGTTCAATAGGACGTCGAGCTTGTTCAGGAGCCTCCTGACCAGGGTGTCAAAAACGTCCTTTTCGACGCTGACCTCGGCAAGCCCTTCCAAAGTGGTGTGGTAATCACCCCTAGCTTCTGCTTCCGAATCCGTGTCAGGTAATTGCGCCATGAAAGCTGGAAAAGTGATGTCCATGATTAGTCGAGATTTGTGTTTTGAGATCTCTGCTAGGCTTTGCATAGCAGTCTTTTTGAGATCATCGCGACTGTACGATTCTTCCCGGAGAATCACTTCATTCATGTGTTGGATAACCATGCCAATCTCGTTGTCTTGTAGTAAGTCAGAAATCAAAGCAAGTTTTTGCAAGCCCTGAGCTGCTGCAACACGGAATGACACTTCTTCTTTCACAGTACTCATCAGAGCTTGGCTGTAGATCTCCAGAAGGCTCTCGGAAAATGCCTCCAGAGGATTCTCTGAGTTTGCAAGAGCACGTTTCGAAGACCAGGTGCCGAACACCTCAATCGCGGAATCGAACAATTGGCCGAATACCTGAAGTAGTGCACGATGCTTTGCAACCTCTGAGCTGGACTGATATATCGTTGTTATCGGCGCGGCGACAGCCTTTGTTACGAGATTGAAGGACTCCGGGCTAGCAGATGATACAGACTTAAGGATGTCACCAGAAGCCTTGGCTTGTCTCTGTGCTGGTTCCTGCAAATGCTCGATACATTCTTTGGTGATAGGACGAAGATACTGTGCTAAAGGTGAGGCTGTTGAAGAGGTTTGAGTGCTTGTGGCGAGGCATGCGGCAATGGCTCGGAGAACTAGCAATGTCTCCTCGGCCAATTCCGGCTCTTGGGCACTTAGTACCTCGAATTTCAATGAATCCCAGAGAGTGATTGAGTACAGAGACATCGTGCTTGCATCGTATGCTTGCGCGCAGGCGAGAAGGGTCCTCAGAACATCTTTCTGCACTCATGTCAGCATCGGCAACTGTACATGTGGAAGAGCCATACTTTGACCACTAGAGAAGTTGAATCAAGCTTATCTAAAAGGTTAGGAATTGCGTATGGAGCCAAATGCTTCGTGGATGCAATGCAATCCCGTAGCCGATCTTTTAGATCTTGTGCAGTTATGCCATAAGGATCATTTGGAGGAGGTCGGAAGGTGATAGGGAAGTAGGCATATACTGAGTCAAATAACATCTCTGCATGATTTGAGATGTTCCATTCCAGCACGAGAACACGGCACATGGAGAAAACGAGCATCAAATTCCGGGGGTCTTTTTCGCCGTTAACGAGATCTGTTATACCAACTAATGACTCATCTCCCATCTTTTGCAACGCTGCATGAAATCAACACGAATTCGCAGAAAAAAGTAGGGAGTGACCAACCTCTACGATGATTAGCCATGAGCTCATTCAAAAGGTGGAAAACCTGATGCCGCCTTGACTGTGGCCTGTTGTGAAGATCATGAAAACGATCGAAGATTCTAAGCATTCAGTCAGATGCTCCCTTATGAGGAGTAGAAATCGGTTATCAGGAAGTACACAGCACGCACTCACGCTCTCATTACGGCCTGCGCCATTTCGTTGGTGAATCTGTCTAAGCTTTGTAATTTTGTGAGCCCCTCGATTGCTCCGCCATCTTCTATTCGATCACAAAAGAATTGACAAAGCACGTCGATCTGCTGGCGTGTAAGAACCTTGGGCGGCAATGCTGAGAGTACTGCAGTGAGGTACGATACTGCTCGGCCGCGAATTCTTGAGTCTTCATCATTTATGTATTCCCCAAGAGACTGTACGACATCCAAGAGAGTATTTTCTCGTGATTGCAATTCTAGAGACATGTGAGCAGATGGAGATTTCACAGAGAAGAGTCTCCACACGCACTCTGAGCGGTTCTTTCTGCGATATGAAATGCCTCTGCCTTTTCATGTTCAATGCAGAGCAGATAGTCGCGCACATCTGAAACAGCCATAACCGAACTAGGTAGCTTCTGCTAGAAGAACTTGGATAGGTCTGCACAGAACCAACACAGAGACGATAGAGGTGCAGTGGTCAAAATGACACATTTGCCGGCCAGACACTACCTTTGTATATCCTGGGCACGCACATAGGATTGCAAATTCCAACCATCTATCAAGAATGTATATCCTAGAACAAGTTGACAGAAGTGGATCACACAGTCGATTCTGCACTTCAACCGTGAGAGCGTCGGCCTGTTATCCTGGGCCCTTGATGTGCCGTGCCCAGGGTTTACGAGAGGCGAGATTTCATGGAATGCGCTGTTCTGTGTAATATACTTGGGCGTCGCTTTGGTCGCTTTGGTCGCTTTGGTCGCTTTGGTCGCTTTGGTCGCTTTGGTCTTTGGCTGTTAGAAGAGTTTGGTCTCGCTTCTATGATATGCGTCAAACCCTCCTATCATGTGTGTCATCGCCAGAAATTGATCGCCAAGCAATATTTTTCCATGTAAGCTAATTTAGCTTACAATCTCCCTACTAACTAAAATTTGCGGCCAGCAAAGTTGCAATCTACTCCAGGTAAACGAACATTTTCCTCAAAGTCTTCCCACATCTCGACCTGAACCATTCACAGCGCGATCACTAGCACAATGTGAGTGCACCCAGCTGTAACGAGACATACTTTAGCTGACCATTCCCAAGGTTTCAATTACGACGCACCGCTTTCCGTCTCCTCACATCCCAACCCAAGTCATTCCTCTCCAAGCCTCGCTCCTTTGCTACAACCACCTATTCAGTATTTAGATACTCTAGTAAGCCAGCATCAATTGCCTTTCAGCGAAGATGGGCGTCCAGTGAAGCCGAAGCCAAAGAGCAAGATGAGGAAGAGCCAGCTATTGTCCCGGAAGAACCCACGCCGGAGGAGCAAGTTGAGGACGCTATTCATTCCGAAAACGCCGCAGAACAATCTGGGTCAGAGGCTGCTGTTAATGAAGCCGCTGCATCGTCTGACGTAGAGCCTGCTCATCAATCAGGTGAGGGTATCCGAACTGATACCGCTCCGTCTGCCTCAATCCCTGGTGATGAATCAACCTCGAAAATCAACGCTGCTGCAGAGTCGATCAAAGAGGCGGTTTCCAACACAACAGCAAACGTAGTAGAGACTGTGCGCAATGCCGCTGGCATGGGAAGTGGTAGCGCAGGTTCTACCAGCGGTAGATCCGATTCTGCTGGGGGTCGGTCAGGCGGCGCGCTTGTCGAGCCAAAGTCAACCATCTACATTGGAAATTTGTTCTTTGATGTCACCGAGAACGATCTTATAAAGGAGTTGACTCGATTTGGCACAATCACAAAATGCCGTCTGATCCGTGATTCAAGAGGTCTTAGCAAAGGGTGCGTGCTCGCGCATCTGCCATGGTAGCAACATGTGCTAATCAATATTAATCTGCAGATTTGGATACGTCGACTTCGAAACCATCGCCTCCGCCACCAAAGCTATCGAGACCCTGAATCAGCAACTCTTCGAAGGGCGCCGCCTCGCCGTCCAATACGCCGCATATACGTCCCGCCAGCTGGACGGCGAGCGCACCGGCTTTAATCGCGCAGAACGACCACAAAAGCCTCTCAACCCACCTTCCAAAACCCTCTTTATCGGCAATATGTCCTTCGAAATGACCGACCGCGACCTTAACGCGCTCTTCAGAGGCATTAAGAACGTCATTGATGTACGCGTTGCCATTGATAGACGTACTGGTCAGCCAAGAGGTTTCGCCCACGCCGACTTCATCGATGTCAAGAGCGCAATGGAGGCGATGAAGGTGCTTGAGACGAAGGAGACATACGGCAGGAAGTTGAGGCTGGACTACTCGTATGGTCCAAGCAACTCGCCAAGGAATACGCTTGGGGCGGATCGGGAGAGAGGCCGTAGGAATGAAGAACGTGGTGAGCAGCAAGACAACTGAAGAAGTGTAAAGAAAGATTGACGTGGGATCTGACGGGCCTGGGCTTGTTGAGTCGATGCTCTTGGAGCGGAAGAAGAGTGCAATTTGTCCGTTCAGCATTCGCCAAACACATCAGCGTATCTTGATGGAAAGGGAAGATGAAAAGGTTGCTACCAACCCCACTGAAGAATTGTGGTTGCGCCCATGGGTTGTACTTACTTACCATCGACGTGGTGACGCTTTTCTTCACATGTCTGAACATCAAATTTCTCTTTCTCTCTTTTCCCTTTGTACAGCAGATGGCGTGCATGGTGGTGGTTGGTTCTTCTGGCTTGCCAGTTTCAAGCACTCGTAGTCATGTAATAGATAAGGGCCTGGTTTAGCATTGCGTGGAAGAAGAAAGAAACCAAGACAGAAAAGTCTCCATTCCTTCAACCCGATTTATGATGATGGTTATGTTCGTGCTTGATTGTAGCATCATCAATGCTGATCTGATGTGCGACTTTTTCAGACGCGGCTCGCTCTGTATGGTTATGGGCCGATGACGAAGATACATACGTAGCCGTGGCTAGTAGTAAATGGCAAGATCTGGGCCTTTTGGAGAGATATCCATCCGCATTGAACCCAGCACGTTTTCCTGCAACCAACAATGCAATCCCATCCCATCCCTGTTTCCAAGCCGATAAAACGCCCAACATCTAGAAATCAAACTCCTCTCTGAACCCGTCTAAACTCATTCCTGAGCCCACCCTCTCACTCAGATCTCTCCTGTTCATGCCCGTGAAAGCCCTCCTCAACGTATCATAGAGATTCGCGCTCTCATTCTGCTGGATTATCCGCTCTAGGGTCTCGTGGTCGATCGAGGAACCATGGCCGGTGCCTCCGTTCCCGGCCGGCCCTCCCGGTCGGCGGACATCGCCAACAATCTCCTTCGCTTGATCAAGCCCTTGTTCCTCCACCACCCTGTGCATGGAGAGCGCACCAAGGAGATGCTGCGCCGCTTCGGGGTAGCAGCCGATATTGATGCATGAGACGCCGAGGTTGTAGCGGGCACGGACGAAATTCGGGTTTATGGTTAGTGCTTTCTCGTAGGCGGCGATTGCGTCTTCGCTTCGACCTGAGTTTGCAAGGGTGGCGCCTAGCCTATTCCATAACAGATGGACCTGTCCTTCTCGGTTGACGACGCCGGTTTCTGTGGATGCTAATGCGGCATTGAAGCAGTCGACTGCCTTTTCGAAGTCATCGTCGCCGTATAAGAGGACTCCCAACCCGACTTGGACGTCTGGGTCCATGTGTTCTCCTGAAGGGGAGAGTTGGGCAGCGCGGATGAAGAGCTTGGTGACTCGTTCGTGGAGGAGGGCGCGGTCGGTGAAGCCGAGTTCGGTGGCTTCGGATACTTGGTCTGGGGGGTGAACTTGTGGGTATTTGACGCTAAGCCAACGTTCGAGGGTGCGGTAGGCCGTTGAGTCGTAGCCTTCATTTGTGTAGGAAACGGCCAGGCCCATGAGCGCGTCGAGGTTGTTGGGATCGAGGAGTAGGGCGCGTTCTAGAGCGCGAATGGCGGGGGATTCCTTTTCATTTTGGGCTTGGGCGGAGCCGAGGAGTGTCCAGGCTTCAATGTGGTCTGGGTTTTGCTGAACGGCAGCTTCAAACGCGAGAGCTGCAAGGGAGAGATTGCCGTGCTCGTTTAATATTTGAACACCCTGGTCGAAAGCACTTACTGAGGCGTTTGCATTTTCGAGAAATGGGTTTTGTGATTCAAACATATAATCTCCGAGGTGCGGATCTTGCTCTAATGGATTTGAATGCGTATTAAGTCCAAGGCTTGAGTCAAAGTTGTCCCACGCAGCAAAGTCCTCGTTTGAGAAAGCATTGCCAAACTCGGCCTCGTCGGCAGCCATTTGTCTGGATTCACGTTCAGCCTGTATCCCTTGCCATATACTTTCAAAATCACCATAGTGATCTGTCTCGGGCTGCACTGACCTGTCGAATTCGTTAAGCTCGGGCTCCATCGCTCGAATGGCTTCATCTGACAGAGCGTCCTGATCTTGGTGCAAGTTTTCCATTTCTGCGAATTGCGCTTCCCAACTTGAGTCATCCAGCTCGACCATTCGAGATTTGCCCTTTGTGTCTACTGTAGATGCTCTTTGCGGCTGCATATTCACAGCATTGTATGTGGGCATACCCATACCCATGCCCATGCCCATTCCCTCCATGTAACCCATACCCATTGGTCGTTGATATCCGTTCATAGCTGAGGAGCTGCGAGCCACTGGGCTTGCTGTCCTCTGCAAATCCGGCCGACTGTGCTGTTGAAAGCGCGCGAAGTCTGCGCTGCTAAATCCGTTTGCTTTCAGGCCGCCCATTGGTTGCTGTGCTGGAAATGCTCTTTCCATTCTAGCCTGTTCCCCTGGGTCAAATTCTGCTGCCCAACTAGGCGAGGGCGTTCGTTGCGTAGGAGAAAGCATAGGCGGCAGTTCCATTCGCATTCGTTCCATGGAAAAAGGTGGTGGAGCAGCTGGCGATAATAGGAAATCATTCATCTGACTATATTAGTTGACCATGTACCGCAATCACAGAAGAGCATACCTGATCTGAACCATTAGTGGCAGGCCTGGATCGCAGGCCTTCCTCCAAAGCCGCTGGACTTCTACCCACCAGCCCATCTCGCTGAAGTGTGTTGTCATGTTGAACGTGCTTTGTGAACTGCGTGAGAGGGTTGCCTGCAGTTGAGCACTCTGCTCCACCAAGGAAGGACATTGGGATGGAGGAAGTGCTAAGGTGAATGAAGATTGTGGATGTAATAAATCAACAGGTGTAGATCCCCGGATTAACATTATTTAAGTGTTATCATTCCCTGCGTTTTAGCCCAGGATGCGACCCAGCTACCACATTCGTCACTTGAACCGCGGTTGAAAAGCTACAGTCCACGTGATGCATTCAGTCAACTGATCTGAACTTGCCCAGATCATTCAACTAGTCGTCATTTCTAACTAGTTTAAGGTTTACAAAACTATCACCTTCTAGGGAGTGGATCAACACAATAGCAGCAAGACTATTAATATGTTCACCGGTTGGAAGGACTATGCAATCCTTTCAAAACGTGATTGAGGAAATTCAGACAATTCTTGATGGATACTAAGGCACGGATCAAGAAGTTGTTGCTGGGTTTTTCGGTCGTGGCTTCATCTATGTCTAGTAATAAATGCAGTTCGCCAAGTTACAAGAATAGATGGTCATCATCAGGATGCCACAGATTCAAAAGTCCAAACCACATATTTTTAAGTTGAATAAGTACCAGGGGCGCAGTAATGTTGTGGAGTGTTATGGTGAAGCAGAGACCATAATATAGGGCACCCATTTGTTGATCAACGTGGGCCTTGGATGTAGGCAGTGAAAATCTAAAGCATTCCTGTTGGTTGTCTTGTCTGACGGGACCCTCCGTTAACCACTATGACAGCTACAATCACTTCTATTCAGACGTACAAAATCACCACCAGGATCACTGTAACTACCACTTGATAGCCATTCACAACATATCGTAGAATTGCACGGTACTGAGAATGATTGTTTTGTTGAATTGATTGATAGCTCCACGTTGAGTTGCCGGTAACTCAACGGTTAGGTTCGGCTAAATCCCGGAACCTATACTACGTAGTGAAGAAATCGGTATCATCCTTTACCCAGTGCCGGTTTCATATGGCTGAAGATGTCAACGAACCGCAACTTCTAACACTTTTCCTCCAAACTACTACCAAAAGCAAAAGTATAGGGGACCTGAAACCAGCTCATCTTCAAACTGACTGGCCTACGTCACTGCCAAACTGCACTGGCCCAGTTGTGCCAGGACAACCTCCCTCCATACTACGTTGCAAGTCCATGGAATGTTACACAGACTTAAAACACGCTTCCACGTGGTGAAGTCGGGGGGTACTCTTCTCTAATACCACGTCATTCTATACTTACATTGAATTTGAGTTGACACAGGTATCTGTACTTTGATTCGTCTCCTACGTGGCCAAGCCTGTCATGCTGCACAAGTCAAACTCGCTCCCACGCGAGGTCGTTTCGTAACTGCTTGGCCATCATGACGTCTTGTCTTGCACCTCGTCACTTTATGGTCATGGCGAGTCTGAATATGTGTATATAGCTAGGCAAGATTTCTGCCTTTCAACTCCACAGTATTGAAACATCAAAGTCTCTTTTGTCATTTCACAACAGCAATTGTATATCTCCTTTCGACTTGGTGAGCCTCCTTAACACAATGACTGGTCCCAAGAAGAAAACTACCTGCAACGGTGCTAACAATAGCGCGAGCTTTACTACCTGGCTGATACCCTGGGCATTCCAGAACGACCCTGGAGATCCTGGCCGTGAGTTCGTCAAAAACTTTTTTCCCACTGCCACAGCAAACCCAACTGCTAAGGCGGTGAAGCTATGCAATCTTGCGTTAGAAGCCTGGACCAAGCGTCAAGGCAGAAAAGGAGGCGCACCACAAGCGAAGGTCTCTATTAAGAGGGCGGAGGAAGACATCAGCATTGGAAAATGCAACGTTCTATTCCGCTTGATCATGCCAGATAAGACGGTGTGGGCGGCGAGAGTCCGGAACTTATTGGCGGATGAGGACGTCACAATCCCACTACTGGAGAGCGAGGTTGCAACCATGAAGTACGTCAGATCCAGAACTCGAATACCAGTCCCTGAAGTCTATGCTTTTGACCTGGACAAGAACAATGTCCTCGGCACTCCGTATGTTTTTATGGAATATATCGACGGCCTGCCATATCCATACCCCTTCTCCGAAAGAAAGGTCATGACAGATAAAGACATTCGGAAGGTCCATGATGAATTGCTCAACATCACCACCCAACTCGCGGGTCTTACCTTCGACAAGATAGGTATGCTACAATTCGACAAAACTAAGCCTGACGGCGTAGTAATTGGTCCAATCATCGATTTCAAGTACCGAGTCTATGGACCTTTTACCACATCCAGAGACTACTACGCGGCCCGTACGAAACTCGTTCAGGACGATGAGGGAAGGAAGAAAATGCCAGCAGACGAGCTAGTAACGCCTCTACTCCAGACGCAAGCCGCTCCGCACGCAGCATGCGCGGAACTCTTGCGAGGCCCATTCCCCCTCAAGCACGCCGACATGCACTGGCAGAACATGCTCTTCAACTCCAGATGCGAGATCGTCGGCGTCATCGACTGGGAGCGGTCTCACACCGTCCCCCTCGAATCTGCCACCGTCCTTCCCTTCAACCTCGGCGAATACGCCGGCCGCGACTGGTCCGACCCCACGAACCACCGACTTATCCAGAAATACGAAGACATGGCCTTGAAATGTTTCCGTAGGAAGGCGCCCCAGTGCCCCGTGACCAAGACCTTCGGAACCCCACAGAGGAAGATCGCGAAATGCCTGGACAACTACAATTGCCCTATGACTCACCAGGCGCATGCTGCGGAGCTGAAGAAAATGATCGCCGCGGCTGCGTCTTCGGGTGCTGCAGAACCGAAGTCGCGATCCGCCCCTCCCACCACTGGGCGGGATGTCCCCACACAGGGTAGGCCCCGACCTCCGAGGAAAATGCCTTTACCAAGGCCGTGGAACATCCAAGAACGTAAAGAGAGATAATGTATGGGAAGAAAGAAAGGACATAGACTTGTGATTAGGGAGTAACGGTGTTGTTTGAGCTACAACCCTTGACTATAAAAGTCAGCTATTCTGTGGCAAGATTGAACCTGTCTGTAGTCCTGGGATTACCAGTTCACCAAATAAACCTTACACGGTTACCCTTCTCAAGGCAAGACAGATTAATTAAGGATTTAAAATCCTGCAATGGTGCGAACACATGCTTACGCTGGACTTTTCACGGGGAGAATTGTCGATGCTGAATCGATGTGTTCTTTTAGGACTCCCAGATGAGGTATGTCGAGTCGGGACGCGCATTGTCATGCCCAGGTGGTCTACCGGACCAAATCTAAGAGGGTGGTTTTTAAGATCAATCACAACTTGAGCTTAAAGAGTACTACTTACCATATACACAGACTACTTCCCATGAGAGACACTGTATGCGTTATGGACTCAAGCAGAAACCGAAGGGATAGAATGATTTTTTTCACAGGTTATACTTGCTATGTGCGTAACATGGGGTGGTCTTCCCCTATGAGACACCGCTATACTAGAAACAAGACAAAAGTCCCTACATGCCTATGCAGTCAGCAACTGGGAAGGGGCCAAACTTACCTGGATATTCGCGCTACCCCTGCAGCCCTAGCTTGAAGATTTCCTAACACAAACTCCTCCACCTAATCTCTGAGCGGCTACTGGGCAACCCGTCTGTGCACCTGTGCAGTCAGCAGCCCAAGGCAACGGGAACACTTACCTGAAGTATCCCTTCCGATCATTCACCGTACTGGAGCCGTTGGACCAAAAGGATCGCGGCCTCAGCGGACCATAAACCAACTAGCGTATGTCTGCCGTGAACCATCCCCACAAAGCGCCAACCCCACACGCCCAGAATGAAATGCCCATGGCAAGATCACTGCTGGTCGTTGACAATTGATCATCACCGTCTGGGCTTCTTCCATGAAGAGCATCTCTGACCCTCGAATCTGAGAACTCCATGCTGTCGATTGCACCATAGCCGCGTGGATCACCGCTACCGTCACTGCTGCTGGAAGCAGCGGCGCCATCTGACGATTCGTGACGGGCAGACGACACAGCATCCTCACGAAGAGTGTGTGGTCGAGGCCGGCTCCACAGCCGTCTCTGATACTCAATTCGCGCTAGACCCTGCTCGAGTTCGTAATCTGTGAGTTGAGAGTTGAAGCGTGCGTGGGAGTGTGGAGTATCGAGCTCACCTCGGCACATGGGACAGGTGGTTGGTTGGCGCTTGTTGAACTGTGTGCGGGCCCAGGCTTCGAGACAGCGGATGTGGAAGGTGTGTTGGCAGACTGCGTGGGTGGCACCAATGCCCTGGGGTGGGTATCCATCTAGGCAGATACTGCATGGTTCGATTTCCAAGGAGGGAACAACCCCGAATCTGATGGACGCGAATTCACTGCTATTCATCCTGCCAGCTCTCTAGTTCACCGATCATCAAAGCCTGAGGAGATTGTGCTCCATGAGGAAATATATGCTCTGGTCATAAAGGTCCATTTAAACAAAGGCATAAAAAACATAAAGAACAAAGAAATGCCAAGTATTCTTGCTTTTGGCATAAAGGGATGACATACCGTCTGCAGGATGGACAAGATGCTATGTGGTCGGTTGCTTTGTTTGCTTACAGCACAATGCTTTGGTGGCTGATACCCATACCCACCTGTTTAGCAAAGAGTGCCCTGTAATTGCGCAAGTTAAGATGGTCAATATAGCTGAATAGTGAATGCTATCTCAACATTCGATGGTTGACTCTCGCAAGGAACCAACACACACCTCCTTTGATACAGTACTAGTATCGATACACTTGTTCGTGTCTGTGGTCGTGATGAGTGGTGGCATTATTGTAATAGCAGCCAGATAATATGTAAATTGCGCTTTGCAGTGCGGGCGCTCCCGCAGCCACCTAGTAGTGCACGGAGAACATGGTAGGTCACATGGCCTACCAGTACGGGAGTTGGCGGAGGAAGATTTCTACATGACTTGGCGGACGTGCACCAATCCTTACCACCACAGATGTGAAATACCAGCACTACAAAATATTGATTCCGAGCCCCTTCCTTCGCACGAGTTAACAGTAAGTAAGGATTAGATCCCATCCGCATTTCCATCCGGCCTGGCTCACATCACAGGAGGACGACTATCTCGGAGGATCGTTGCAGTTGACGATACTTACTATACGGGAACGGAAGAACGTCAGTGCAGCGAAGACGCAAGACCCAAACTCAGAGCAATGAGTAGACCCATACCAAAACGAAGCCTGCCCAAGATCGGGGAGAAATACTGCAGTGCAAGATATGTGGCATAAGAGAGGTGAAAAGACCAAATCAATTACTAGTTCCTAATGACTTTATTCTTGACCGGATGTGATACTCAAAAGAACAACGAGGCCAGCTTGTTATCTCCTCCGTCTCTCATTCCAGCTTGTACGAGGACGGCATCTCATGTGGACAGAGACCATTCCTATCCATGGTGGACCGGGTTTTCGCTCCGTCACTGGCGGCTCCAATGGCCTCCATAGTATCCTTATTGCACTCATCAGTGCGTTTCGAGTTTCTCATAAAGAAGAGCGACAGTCATTGCCAAAGGTACTCCTCTTACATCCATGGGGGAAAACAGGGAAGTCACCACATGATCGCAATACATCAACTTCTTCTCAGAGTCCGTATATCAGCTCGGCTTCCATTGTGACATCACTGCGTTTTCACAAGGCGAGAACGTGGGATTCCACCCGGTCCCAGGGTCCTGTCCATAACCGGTTTGTCAGGATTGTGGTAGGCAAACGTGCATTTACTTCGCATGAAGGAGCTCGATGATGACAGATGAGCCTGCCCTTCCGCGATAGCTCTCTAGCACTCTAGCCCTTTAAATAGGTGACGTTTAGGCTGAATGTTCTGACGAGGGGGTGCAATCCTGAAAGATTCCGGTAAGAACTTTGACGTTCAATGACACGTTAGTAAGCAGAGTTTCCTTGTATCATTGTATCACCTATGCTCAAAAATATCTTGCCGCGACCTCTATATACTACTAGTAGTAGTAGGACATATCGTAGCAAGCCTGGGAATCTAGGAATTTCAAATAGAGAAAAGTTGCTAGATCCGAGCAAACACCAATTCTGCTGGTTTACCCCTTGTGCTTTCGGTTCTAGGTGGCGACCCTGCATTCAAAGATAGGCATGTCTGAACATTCGCTTGTTCCAGTCTGAGGCTGAACTGCTGGGCTTACAAGTAGGTTTTGGCAAACTACTTTCACATGGAGAACTACGAGCGTCAAGATTAGCTTAGACATCGAAATGTTGGATATGGGAAGAGTCACGGGAGCGTGGAGAATTGGGTAGGTGATCAGCAATCTCTGTCCGCCAGCAAGAAGGGCATATCCGCCCGCCATGGTAACTCAGGAGGCTGGTCGGCATAACCACTGACGGCGCGGTTTATAACTCGAGACAACTGGCTGGAGACCGAGTTATGGATCGAGCTGAGTCAGCGAACTGGCGCCGACATCGGGCGAAATCCCTGACGATGGTTGGACCGGTCTTGTTGCGGGTGAGTTTGGCGACCCAATAGTCGCCCTAAACCCGCTAGCCTGTTGTGCACGTATGATCTCTTCTTGACGTCGTATCCGCTCTGTCACTGATATCATCTTAGGTGGTGTAACTCGACCTGAGATTGAAGATCGACGCAAGGTTGTACTTGGGCTTGATTGTTGACTGAATCTGTCACTATCCCTCCAGCTTCCATCTCCACTTGTCCTTGAGCCTCGAGTCCTGTTAGCTGGAGCCCTGTCGGAGGTGGCCCAGGTTTTAGCGGCTTGTACAGCATCTTGGAATCTATCTTGGCGTAACTCATCTGCACCTCTCCATTGGCCTGCAGTGCCAGATGATGTCGGGCACCCAGCACACCCAGTGGACGCACTTGGAGACTGGACTACAGAGGTTCCTTTACTTCGGTTGAACGATAAGGGTTCAGCCGCTGCAATGGACGAAGTAGACGACGAGGGCCGAGGTGATACAAAGGACGCAGCTTCAGACTGAGCTGCAGAAGGTCGCTCCCTTCTCAAGGACGACAGAGACCTAGCTAATATAATGGAGACAGCTTCGGGTTGAGCTGCAGAAGGTTGCTCTCTTCTCAGGGAAGACTGTGTCCTAAGTGATGTAATGCGGGCAGTTTCGGATTGAGCTACAGAAGGCTGCTCTCTTTTCAGGGACGGTTGAGATCTAGTTAATGGAACGGAGGCAGCATCGGATCGAACTGTAGAAGGTCGCTGTCTTCTCAGGGATGATTGAGACTTAACCGATTCAATAGACGCTGCTTGAGGCTGGGCCGTAGTGGATTTCTTACTCTTCTTCTTCTTGGATGAGGAGGATCCTTTTATCGACGTTCTTATAGTCAGACTTCTGTAGGGTTCCGTAGTCTCACCAACCTGAGGTGCTTCCGGAAAATGAGGCAAATATGGTACGGGTCGGGTTTGCACTCTTTCTGCAGGTCTTGTTGCACGGCTAGCTGGAATTTCACCTGCGGGAGGTGTAACCTCGATTGCACGTCCAGCACCTCCCGACTGCGGTGCAGCTGCTGCTTGGAACCCAGCCCGAGAGGTGGATTTTTGTTTTTTTGCCATGGCCGAGCTAATTTGTCTTTCAGGCGCCGCTGTACCCCGAGATGGGTCTGCTTGAATTGTACCCACTTGAGCTTTCCCTGCTTGGGCTGTTCCTGCTCGAGCGGCACATCCTGGTGCAGTTGCGCCCTGATATAGTGGCACCACTTGCAGGCTGCGGGCAGATTGCGCTCTAACGATCTGTTGATCACCAATCGAATCATCCAGACTAGCATAGGGAGGTGTAGAACGTACTTCATAGGATTTTTGAGAAGGTTGGACCGCGCGAGATTTGTCTCGTTGACATCCTGCCCCAGGCGCAGTTTGGTCTCTAAATAAGCTGCTTCCAGGTCGCTCCAACCGAGGAGGAGTTATTAGAGAAATATCGGAAGGTCCCTTCGGAGGGTTAGCCATGGTTGCATTCCTAAGTGATTGACTGGGTATACTGTTAGATGGACGTCTAGGGTCGAGAGCAGGAGAGGGACATGAACGCGTTGGGCTGGGAGTGGGAGAAGTAAATCGCCGCCCTAGACATAGTAGTGACCCCAACCTAGGTCCACATTTCTGACATCGACTCCTTGCAGGTTGAGTTGTTGTAGATCGAGGTCTTCGAAGTGGCATTCCATCAGCCGCTGGCGGGGACAGCACTGCTTCACCTGGGTCTCTCTCGAGCAATGATATGCTTCTGGTCGAAGGAACTGATCGAATGCTCCTAGCTGCACTCGGTTGACTACCTCTAACAGTAACTTGCCGGCGACTGACTGCAGGGTCCAGTTGACGACCTACGGCAGGGTTCGATGGGTCAACCCCACCATAATCCATATGGCTTCTTCCAGCACGACCGAATTGACCTCCCCGATATGCGGCCTTTCCCACGGATGGTGCTTTTCTTCCAGATGGTGCTTTTTCTCTGGGTCGCCCTGTTCTTCTGGACGGAGCGTCCCCTCCTCTGAACGACAATTCTCCTCTGGATTTTGATCCTCCTGTGAGTCTGAGGAGGCCATCGCCTCCTGCTCCTGCTCTAGCAGGAGGTAGACCGCCTTCCATAAGCTGATCCGGCTGGATCTCGACCATTATCTCTCTGAATCCAGCTTGGAACAATTGACCACTTTTAGAGACCTCTTCACGTGATTTGACCACCAGACATCGTGTAGAATTGAATAACAAGCATTGGCTGGACTGGTATTCATGTGTCCTGTAGGTTAACAGACTACCATAAAGCATTATTGCGCTTTTCACACAGGGATGGAGCCATACCCATATAATAAGGAAAAATACTGATACTTATAGCGTCATGCCAGTTGGATTTCCGGTACCGTCTAATGTACTTAAGCCTCTACCACGGGGTAAGAATAGTTAAGCCTTTGCCAGAATGAGTAGTGATGTGAAGCAGTAGTCGCAAGTTGTTTTCGATGTGTTTGACACTAAGATATTCTAACTCCTAATTCGAGCTGCGAGTAGATCGCGCCAAATTTGACCACAGCTTCAAACCGTAGTCCCTCTTCATTGAGAGGTATCCCAATGACTGAGAATGATGATCAGAAAACTGAATAATCGAGGAGTCGGACATGCAACCAACCGGCCATAATTTCTCGACATCCAAGGCGCGGTGAATGAATCTTTGCTAGATTTTACAACTCTAGAGTCTGTAGTTCGACCTTTCTGTTGGCGGCATCCTGATAGTAACGAGCAACAATTTTCGCAGCTTGGCGGACTGCGAGCACCACGGTAAAATAGGTGATGCAAAGACCAGTGGCACAATGATCGGCCTTCAAGTTCAGGGTAAAGGCGAAATCTTGGCATCATGAACAAAGCCCTAAACCACTAACCGCATTTGATCCCTCCTGCCTGCGAAATTTATGGTTGCAAGTTGGATGTTAGACGACCATTTAGTAGCATTACAAACTCGGCACGATCTCAGTCAGAATCCCGAAGTAGGACACTCTCCAGCTCTCCTACTCCTTCCGCGAACACAACAGTCAAGATGGTCGTCGAACAAGGTCACCGATGTAAGTTTGCCTACGTCTATAGAGCGCGCATCCATCAGTTCTGGTCACTGCTAACAGCTTTGTTTTCATCAGTATACGTCAAGTAAGTCTCATCTACTGCGGAAAACTATAGGACACCCTCATAAGATTTGCGAGCGAATAATATTGATTTTGAGGGAATATGCTGATGGAACAATCATTGTAGGGGAAAGCACCTGTTAGTTCCATGTTATCTGTTACAACCTTTACAACTACTCACTCCACAAGATCCTACCAACGAGGAAAACGCAACACAAACCCCAGCTGCTCACTTTTGAAGATCGAGGGCGTCGATGATCCAAAAGCTGCTTCGTAAGCTCTTCCCGCATGCTCCACGAATCGTCAAAGATCAATCCATCGTTCCTAACCACGATCGACGAAATGGAAATGCTAACATACTACACGCCCCAGCTTCTATCTTGGCAAGAAAGTGGCCTTCATCTACCGCGCATCGAAAGAGAGACAGGGCTCGAAGATCAGAGTCATCTGGGGCAAAGTGACAAGACCACATGGAAACTCAGGGGTTGTGAGAGCAAAATTCAGACACAATCTGCCACCGAAGAGTTTTGGAGCTAGTGTGAGGGTGATGTTGTATCCATGCTCGATCTAGGAGAAGCTGGTAGTGATCAGACATTTGGGAGGATCTCAGCGCGAAGGAGGTGCTGGGTAGTGCTGCATAGGCGATGGCAGCGCTTCAGCTCTTGGGTGACTGAAAATGGCTTAGGCCTCATGGCACCACTGATGGTCGAGGCGCGCCTCTGCTGCTCATTTTACAGCGATCAATCTGCTTTTGCCTATTTGTGCAGATCCCAATTTCACACCACATTTCGTGGTCAAGGACATACCAGGAGCTCCGTACATGCTCTTCTCGTCACCATCATCTGCCAGCATACCTCTCCTTTTCATTGTGCACACCCATAGCCTTTCCTGCCTAAACCGCTTTCTCGAAACACCCTTTTGCCCAGATCCAGTCATCTCAATTTAAAATGGGTTGCTTATCAGCTTTCCTTTTGCAGGAGATCATGGCTAGTCTTATCCAGGCTATAGATGTGGCTCTTCCCTTTGAAGGTCCCAGGCCTTGCACGATCGTCAAGACCACCAAACGCACTTTTTTGGGGAGAGCAAATCTCTTCTGATGAAATTATTTTGAAAGATACATACCTGAAGCAATAACCACAGCTGACAAAGACCGGGAATGATGACGAAAAGGATGAGGCAGGACTTTGTTGAGAAGCCAGGTTGTGTTGTTGGTATTGTCGATGCGTCTTGCCCCTTACCAATCACGTAGCCTTAGTACTGATACTATGAACCTAAGCTTCTGCAGATGTACACATGCATGCAATTGACATAAGTAGCCTTTCCTGCCGTGTTTACACTTCATGAGATCATATGCAGTCTGCCGCCTCTAAGAGTGCAGTGGCACAACCTACAATGACTTGCTGTTTTCAATGGAAGCCACATAATTTGGTCGTACATCATTTCATGCCAGCTTAGACGCATCTTGAGGTGGCTCTGCAGATTTTTTGTGAGAATCTCGAGAGTTTCTTCAAACATTTCCACTGCAAGCAGAGAAGATAGATTTTATGACGCTTCAGGCTGCGAGTACTGGATTGGAGAGGCCACCCTACCTTGACAAGCCCTTGACAAGCCATTTCTGACATCCAAGCTGTGCAGATCACAGATTCCAATGCCCTGCCACGGTCTTATGCAATTATCTTAGGTTAGAGAATTAGTTATTCATTACTGGGTGAGCCGTATAGCCTTCAGCAATTCTTGGAATGATTCCCAGTATACACTGGTGCCCCCCCGTGTATGATTGATTTCATTGGGGATATTCCTGAGTATGAACAAGGAGAGCTGCAGTAACTGACAAGGTCATAATAGAGGAGAATGGTGGTAGTGCTAGAACAGAAAGTAGTGACTTGATTTAGATGATTGGCCTAGATGTCTGAATGAGGGAGAGACTGAAGCCGTTAATGCCAATGACTATAACTCCAGTGAGCAGCTTATCATTCGAAGAGATGGTTCATATGAAATAAAGGCCCAATGCCGCCACTGGAGTATCTGAAAAACATCCAAATATAGTAGCCAGATGCTTGATAGCATTATGCCATGGCATGTCACCAAATGTCCAAACTTGAACATAGTACTTCCTATCTTAAATGACAGCAAGGTATGTCAGTGTTGCTGAAAGAGTGGTGGTGATCCAATTAAGGACAGAATATGTCAAAGAGAGCATTATCCTTGTTGCGGATGTGAAAACCTCTCAACACTTCAAGTAAAGAGAAGTCCGGGGGGAACGCTGAAGAGGCAAACAGACAAGTATCTGAGATGCTTCTCATCGTGCTTCTGATAGATATCAAAGAGTCAGGAGGCCCCTAGTAATGAGATCTCCATGCTTAGGAACCGACTTATTTCTCACCCTTCAAATTTCATTAGACTCAACAGGTTATGAGTTCAGTAATGTCCATGTGTGGCAGTTTCCACATCCTGGCTTCGAGCAGACTGTGTGTAGGCCGTCTCGTAGCCACACAAGCTGTAATGACCTCATCAAGGAATGGATGACTTGTTTGTGTCTGTGTGGCAAAGCAAATCAGATCTGGGGCCATCAATTTGATTTGACCTCATACATGAACATACATAATTCAGCGTATTCAGGCCAGACCAACGGACACTTCACATATTGCATAGCTTCATTGATGTCTGGGTAGGTACTTTGAAACATAGAATGATACGCTGAAAACGATCAGGATCTCCAATCATGACCCTCTGGACATTCTTGCTACGTAGTACACGGGCTGAAAACGATCAGGATCTCCAATCGCGACCCTGTGGACATTTTTGCTACATAGTACACGGTTTGAGAACGGCGCTAGTCCTATGTTAGCAAGAACAGGGTTTAAAATAGGACTAAAGCTATCCCTGCTCTCATCATCTGGGCGAAGACCCTGAAGCGGACCAAGATAATTTCTTGCTTACGTTTCAAGTTTTCGCTTGACAATGCTGGCCAGGGCTTAATGGCAACTGTGAACCAAGAAATGTTGAAGTATAAGAAACACAATCACTTGACAAGTCAGCTAACATGCTCTTTAATGTGCTGAGTAAGGTAACCATAAACGTAAAATGTTTCAAATAGTGATGACATGCTTACTTGGCCGATAAGGTCAAAGTGGATCTGGGGGTAAATAGTCGAAGCACAAGGGCCACGTACTCTAAGGTGCTGGGTGGGCCAACCCGCCCAAATCACTGGACCCTAGCTTGTGTACTCCGCAGATCTACTACGTACTGCAAGCTGATGTGGGTGCACTGTTCTGTGCTAATTCTGTAAGCCTTGTCTCCCGCTGTCTGGCTTCGTTTACTATGGCGCGGGCGGCAGGGTTTACGGGTTCAAAAAATGCCATCTCCAGTCGAAATATGCCCTGCAGGAGCTAGCGAACGCTTTAATGTGTTGGGGTCTCGGCATGGAAAGGTTCTCGTTTGGCTTCCCATTCGTCCTTTGTTCCCAAACCTCATGCATCTTGCGTGTCTTATTTTTCTACCGTATCTCTGGGTCCTGCAGATCGAATTTTCATCTGTCCGGCCTGCCGTTCGTTATATCTATTCTTCTCACACCTTTAATGAAACACCTTTCCGCCATTGATCAATCCGGGGGCATAAAGATTACAGTCCAAGCTCCATTGATTGCTGCAGGTTCACAGTCACAATCTGACTCCAAACTTCAGATACTCCTTCTTTCATTCTCATAGTGGTCTCCAAGGCATATCTCACTGCTGTGAAAACCCATCTATCTGCCTCGTTCCACCCCACAATTTGCGCAGAGCACACAGGATGACCGACAGCAACATGACAGAGACACGGCCACGCCCAAAGTCTGTGCTGAGCTTTGAATCCAAGAGATCCAGACGAAGCAGTGGTTCTAGCCCGAAACTGGAATTGACAGAATCCCACAAGGACAAGAAGAGACTCTATACCAAAGCAGACCCGTCTATGGCCATGAATGAGGCTCAACCTGGTGAGTTCCTTGCTCACCAGCTCATTTCAGCGCTGCACTGACCTCTGGTAGCTGCTGTTGCTTTGGAAGAATCGAACCTCGACAATATTCGCAAAATTACATGGAAGGATGCTCAAGGAAATGTTATTGGTTTGTCAGAACTTGTCCTACTGTGAAATTAAGAGACTCACCACCTTTTGTCACAGCTGACCCGGACCTATCGAATCCTACCCGCAGTCGCATGGAGCGTCCTCTAGATACTATTCGCTCTTTCGAAGCTGCAGTTGAAGGCACATACAATTCCAGGAGATCTATTCCCAGCAGACCGGGTATGCCGTTGTCTCAAGATCGAGGAAGATCAATGCTAAATGTTGCGCAGTATCTCAGGCGACATATAACGTAGCCAGCCGGCGAAGCAGCTATTTTGGAGGTATGCTACATTTGAAACACTTTGCAAATATCCAAGGATTATCTGACTGCTAATTGCAGGCAACGGCGGCAATAAAAATGGTCGTTCGCAACAACCGGGCGGTTACTATCAGAATGGGCGTAGCTATGGGCCAAGACCAGAGAGCGTTGCCGAGGACTACTACGAAGGCCAAGATCCACGACACAGCTATCCACCTCGCCCTATGCGACACGGATCTTCACACATGATGTCGGCCTCAAGTCCGGAGAACATCTATCCTTCACATGGCCACCAACCGTCTTATGACACATTCACCACGGGCGAGGGCAGCTATGGTACCGATACCAGAGGCAATTCTACAGATCCTAGCTCTCAAAACAGTTCCGTGGACCGCTTTCCCACAAAACCAGAGGAATACCCAAGTGACAACAACCAGGCTATTGGCTACTCCAATGGTCCATACTCTCCTGTTTCCCCAGTCTACAGCAGCGAACATTCTTTCTGGAAAGGTGCGAATGGACGTCCGCAAGCTCCGTATGGGGGAACCGAGTACATGAATGGAGGTGGCAGCAATCATCAAACTCAAAAACCGGCTGTGCTTCGAAAGGAGGCACTTTCACCTCCGTCAGCGCCCATCAAGCTCGATACTGGATCTGATGCTGGCTCTCGCCCGACTCCGCCGAAGCGCCAGAGTTGGTTGAAGCGTCGTTTTAGCAGGAAGGGGAGATCTCCATGAACTGGATCGGTCTAAAACAGGGCCGACGACTTGGAATCGGCGTTCTTCGATTGCACTCGAAAGTTGGGCGCAGGCGTTCCGGATTAGCGAGCCGCGAGATGGCCTTCATGTTGAGCTTCACGAGTGGCGTGTCTTGGAGGGACAATGGCATGAATAATGCATGATGAGCGGATCACACATGGCATTTTGTACGTGGCTGGCAAAGCTTGCTGCCGATGCATTTTACGTTTCGAGATGGCTAATATTGAAAGCTGCTTGGGTTGAAGGTCGCAATCTCTGGTATCGAGATGTTGTCACATTGGAGCATGGACAATGAGTAGACCTTGAAGAAGCAAGTAAGCTGTTCATTGAGCCTTTTTCGCTTTCTGCTCCGCCTCCATTTTCTCGCTTTGATCTTCCTTCATCGCAACAATCACGTAGGCTATCAACACGACATTGGCCATAAAAGCCGCCAACCCTCCTGCGTAAGTGGCATTGCCTGTACAGCATTTTAATCAGGTTTAGTTCCGCTAGTAGTGATCTTGATCTACCTCTGAAGAATAAGTCGACCGTAGCGAAATAGGTACCGATCGGCACTACTACCATTCCCAGCGTAAAGCCCAAGAGCTTGTAGACAACCAGTCTGTGGACGAATATCAGTGCGACCTCCGACAACGTCTGGATCTGAAGAAGATGCTCACGCAGGCACAGCTGGTGCAATGTCCGATTTGGCTGAGCTGCCCGCGTCCCTCTCCAGTGGAGTCTTCTCCTGCGAGGTAATTCGCCGAGATGTCATTTTCGCACGCAGTGAATTGCTGCAATCCTCTGGGCAAGGTGGGCAGCTTCGAGAGGTATCAAGAGTTATCCGAGGGAGGAGAAGCAGGGGTGGGCAAGGTGTGATTGATGGCAGCACTTTTTGTCAGATTTTATTATCGTTCCGGTCTAACAACTCTGTAGCATGTCTGGGGGGGCAGCAGCTCGAATTCAGAGATTTCTCAATCCCAATAGACGTGGAAGCTAATATGTAAATTCATGTCACACTTTGTAATATGAGACTGATGACCGCCCGTGATGTTGAATTTGTAGGGAGCTGGATATCCACTTCGTGAGTCAAGCAAAGTAAAACCTGCTTTCACTAGTTGTAGATAAAGTATATTTAAATATACTTAAAATATGGTGTACATTTAAATTCTTACAGCTCTTCTCAGTCAGATCCTTGCTTTCAGTGCTACAAGGCATCCGCGAAATGGTTGGCTACTTACATGAATATCAGATCGAAAGTACTCGTCCAAGGATGAACCTGTATTTCATGACCTGTTGAAGAGATGTTTGTACTTGTTGAAAGAGGTAATGCGCCAAGCTGCTAGTACAGTACTACTACAGTATTGATATTGGCGATTGTTCCGTCGAAGACTTCTTTGTCCCTGATTTGGCCCGCGTTGGCCCGGCGCTCAGGTTGATATTCGTCTTCACCCGTTTCAAGTCTCTAAATCTATCGTTCTGAGTGCTTTTTTGGTCGAGGATTTCCCTACGGATCGACTATAATTCCCTCCGCAACCCCTGACTCACGCAAAAGGAATGACAGCAGCATATGCTAGCATTCGCTTTGGTCCCATTATTCGATATAATCTGGTCTCATCTTATCGTAACCTAGATGGCCCGCCATAGTATAACGGCTACGTTTACTGGTTCAGGAAACCAGGGTTTACAACTCGGACAGAATTCTTACAAGTGATTGTTAACACTCACTTCTCCCTGGGCTTGCTCAAATGTCTCACGTTCCTTCTCTAATTGGCCTTGACCAGTATACATACAGATTGTCCAGCTTGTTGAGGGTCTTGATCTTCCGTGGCAATTTGCGATATCAAAAATGATCACATACAATCCCGGGATGCGGCACCGCGTCTTTGCTATTGCTGCGGCTCATCATGTGCCTAATATCCGTCTCGACTCAAAAGTTCATTGAGCCTGCAGTTGAATGTGCCGGAGAATTGGTTAATATGTGTTGGAAGCTGGCGTATTTCGATTGCTTCGCGCCTGGGCCCTTCACGTTTCCCATCTCTTGCAACCTTCCCACACAGCGACATCTGTTTTTTCGCTGGCTGGGATTCCACAGAGAAGGCTTGATAATACCTGAATATGGATCCCATTAATCTAGTCGGCTTTGCCTTTGCCGCCATCACTCTTTTTCAGCGCAGGTCTTCAGCGGCTGCGTCCTGGGTTATTCCACAATTTCTGATCTTCGAGCCGCAGGAAAAGACGCCGTTACCCAGGTCGTCTTATTGAAATATCAGCAAACACGATTTCTAGTCTGGGGTCAGAGTTTAGACATCTATGGCCCTGGCATCATCTCAGACCGAGTGTCAGATCCGGTACGAGAGACTATCATCGCCACAGTTGTCCAGATACGGGCCTTGGTAGGTGATGCCGAGTAGATCGTTGCACGCTACGGATTAGAGAGATCTGGAGATACCACCCTAGTAGAGCCCTAGATTTGAGCTCGTGAGGTCGATAGAGAAGCAAACTTCGCCCAGAAGGTTCAGACGAGCTGTTCTATTGCACGCCGTATGCGCTGGGCTATTCATGATCATGCGCGATTTGCCAATCTAGTCAGCCAGCTCACGATCTTGAACGACGTTCTTTATCAGTTTTGCCCCGTCAATGAACGCCTATCTCTTCCTACTGCAGTCACCGCTGAGACATTTGCTCGGACATTCACGGAAGAAGAACATGAAGGAGTGCGGTTGTTGCAGAGGGCAGCTGTCGGAGCGGAACGCCCTTTTCTTCAAGATGTGGGAAACAGGACAACAGCTTTTCTGGCTGGCAGCGACCGAGAAGCCGCCAAATCTTTGACATTCGGACCGGCGAGGCGTCCTCAACTAGATAAGAGTCTGTGCATTGACGTTCATCAGCTCTGACGCCGTTCTAACCTTTCAAATGACATTCGCAAACGAAGAACATGGGCACAATTACCGTCCACTAGCCGTGGCGGCGGTCTGTATCTTAACACACTGATTGAATGGCGTACATTCAACCCTCTGAATGTCACGAGTGTTTCAAATCCGAATTGCAATTTCGCATCGAGGCACTAGCCAGAATGCTACAGCAGGAGCCGCGAGCGCAACTTGATTGTCGTGGATACTTAGAAGATAATGAGAGGCCGAGATACGGGCTTGTGTATCAAATTCCCTCGTGGGCACGAACAACAGCACGCCCGCGTCCCCCAGAAATTGTATCAATTTTTGACAAAGGAGAAACCATACCCGTACCTTGGACAACACTTCGAACTTGCCCCGTCCTTGGCTGAGTGTGTATACGATTTCCTCAGTAGTGGATTGCTCCATCAAAGTACAAATTCGCATAACATCCTCTTCTTCAGAGAAACCGATACTGGGATACCCCCAGAGCGATCGACCCCGGCCTCTCACAAAGACCCATATTTTACTGGCTTTGCTTTATCTCGCCCAGATGACCAGACAGCCTCGGAACCGCAGGGCGCAGTCGAGCCCGAAGTCGACATACATCGCCATCTGGACGTGCAAAGTGACGCTGGCGTGTCTGTTGCTCGATTCCATGTATCCTACGACATTACAGTCTTGACACAGTGCTGCTGGAGATTGGATATGGATGCAGCTCCGCGACCTGCATCGAGAAGGAGTCCGGCTTCGCCTTCAGGGATTGGCTTTTGAACATGTGTGTACCGCAACTTGGGCCATCAATGGGGGAGAGATATATGACAGCCATTCGGAAATGTCTGACGGGGCGTTTTGACGGCGTGCATAAGTAGTTAAATCATGAGCGCAATGAGCAAGATTACTTACATCTCGAACTTGCAGCGCAGCTAGTACTGGGAGGTTGAAAAGATACTCCGAGACTGTAGGGTGTGACAAGTCAACAGCAAGCATATTAGCATACTTATCAGCATATCAGCATATTTTGCTCCTCTGATCAGCCGTGAGGGTCAACGCAACAGTGGCGATGGACCTGAGGCAGAGCCGCTCGACGCTCACCCACGAATCATATGGTACGGGTGACCGGGTATGTTGTGTTGGAAGGAATGAGGTAGTGGCCAAAAAGGTCGTCTGGCGGGTGGATGTTGGGGGTGAGGGCGGAGCGTGTTTTACCTCTCCTTGGGCTACTTTGTTTCATTAATCGACGCGTCGCGCGTAGGCGGTTTAGACATACTATGTAACTTAGATTGTCGGCTACCAATAGACAATTCTTGCCTCCTCTCGATCTTTCGAGCTAAGTACCAGGGCCAAAAGCTCCTTGTGATAATACTTGGCCTCTGCATTTCATAATCTTCGTCATCTGTCTATCCGGCTCAACTCCTTGGTATACTGCCGACGATGATATTCCCACGCCCTTGAGTGACAAGTCCTGAGATCATGGATTCACTCGAAGAGTCTCCAGCTAAGCGACAGAAGTTCAGCGATGAGCCTATTGACTTGACTTCTGACGGCGAGAGCGAACCATACAGTCCACCGAGCGAGACTCCAGTATATGAGACCGTTGCCACTCTTCCATTACATTCCACCAACAACAATGGCTATACCCAACCCACCCAAATCATTGATCGAAGCGAACAGAATTCGAGCCCAACCCCTAGTCGCTCGGTGGTTCAGGTAGCAGCGTCATCACCCGCACCCACTCCTGTGAAGAGAGCAGGTGGGTTATTGTCGAGTGCTATGGCACCTGCAGGAACAGCTTTTCGAATACCGAACGGAGTGGTCAAAGCTCCTCCGCAGGCTTGTACAGCAGTCATCGATCTTAGCGATGATGATGCAGGCCCGCGATACATGGGAGGAACCTCTGACGAAGATGAGTCTCAGCTGAGGCGCAAGAACGACATCAAGCCTGCCAAATTCATACGTCGGCATGAAGAACGAATTGCCGAATCACCTCAGGCCAAGAAGCCTACAAAGGACATCAAATCTGTCACAGCTGGAGCATACTACAATCCGGCTACTTCTGGCAGATCGCAAGGCTTACAGGGTTCGGTATACGATTCCCGGAACAGAAATGCTACCTCTACCAAGACCATTGTCACAGGGGGTGCTTTTACGAAGTCCTCCTCTGACACTATGTCTTCAGCATATGGATCCATTCGCAAACTACCTCCCAAGGTGATCCGTCAGGTTGCACCCTCCCGGGCTGTACCAGTTCAAAGTTCTGAGCCAGACATGTCTCTAAGCGATATCGACGATCCTCAGGAGCGCAGAAAGGTTGAGAGGATGAGGGTGGTCCTACACAACAATTCCGTTCGAGACTGTCACCAGGCGCTGCTGGCTAAAGGTGGTAACCATGACGATGCTGTTGACTATCTTGCTGGGCTTAACGAACGTCGGGATAAGATTCGCACACCTGGGGCTGGGAAGGTCGTTGATCTGACTTCGGAAGACGAACTGCGCCCAACTCCTGCGGCGCCCAAAATGAGACAAGAGATCAAAGCGCCGGCAAAGTCGATGTGGGAGAAGTTTGGCGGTTCGACTCAAAATTCAAAGGCTCCACCTTCTTTAGCGAGTGGTTCGCAGGAGAACAAACTCGTTCCGAAGATATCAGGGCAGCCAGCGAAAAGAATGAGGAAGCTTGTACGTGGCCCTCGACCTCGCTCATCTTCGCCAGCCGAGTTGAAGCCGAAGCTGCAACCACTAGCACGCAAACCGGCAAGGGTGGCGGAATCAAGCGACTCAGACGAAGCAGCGGATGCCGAATCTTCTTCGGACGACGAGGACCTCCAGACTCGACTTCTCTCGTACTTCAATAAATGCTCCTGTGCTGATCTTGCCGACATTGCAGCCATTACTCCCGCGACTGCAAATTACATCCTATCTAAGCGGCCATTCAAGTCATTGAACGGGGTCCGGTCCATCCCTGCTGAGAATGCGAAGCCTATCAAAGGCAAGAGTCGTGCGCGGCCGATTGGTGAAAAGATTGTCGACAAGTGCGCAGACATGTTGAGCGGCTATGAGGCGGTTGACAGTCTTGTTAAACAATGTGAGATAGCGGGCCAACCACTTGCTGCTGAGATGAAAACGTGGGGTATTGATATTTTCGGCGCGAAAGAAGGCGAGCTCAATTTGGTGGCGCTAAAAGAATCTCAGTCGAACCACGATTCTGGCATTGGGACTCCTTTGAGCGAGCTGAGCGAGGAGACCCCGGAGAAGAAACGCCGCTCCAACTTCATATCACAGCCATCTATCATGAATAACGACCGGCAAATGAAAGACTACCAGGTAGTTGGCATCAACTGGCTGCATCTGCTGTTTAAGAATGGCATGAGTGGAATATTGGCTGATGATATGGGTCTTGGGAAGACGTGTCAGGTTATCGCGTTCCTCGCCCATCTGTCCGAGATTGGTGAACAAGGACCTCATCTCGTGGTTGTGCCAAGCTCAACGCTTGAGAACTGGTTGACAGAATTCCAGAGCTTTTGCCCCAGTCTTGTCGTGCGACCTTTGTATGGAGCTCTAAGTGAGCGTGTTGTAATCCGAGATCAGATCGAACAAGAAAGGGCCAACATAAATGTTGTCATCACGACCTATACACTCGCGAAGTCAAAGGAAGATTACCCGTTCCTCCGGACTTTTGGTTTCTGTTGTACGATATATGATGAAGGGCATTTTCTACGAAACAGCACCTCTCTACTTTACGAGAAATTCATCAAGATCAAGTCGCGATTCCGACTGCTGCTTACTGGCACACCTTTGCAGAACAATCTCCAGGAATTGATCTCACTTCTTGCCTTCTTGATGCCAAACATCTTCAAAGACAAGAAAAGCGACCTGCAGGTCATCTTTGATCACAAGGTCAAGACCACCGACACAAACCATGAAGCTCTTTTATCAGCACAGCGCATCAATCGAGCCCGGTCGATGCTTACACCATTCATCCTACGCCGTAAGAAGCATCAAGTATTGAAGGATCTACCCAAAAAAATTAGTCGCGTAGAATATTGCAGCATGACCGAAGTGCAACAAAGCATCTACAGTGAACAACAGGAGAGAGCAAAAGATGTGATGGATCGACGAGCTGCTGGGGAACAAATGAGTGCAAAGGATTCGGCCAATATTCTCATGAAACTCAGACAGGCTGCCATTCATCCATTCCTTTTCCGCCGCATCTACACGGAGAAGACGTTGCGCCAGATCTCCAAGGCTTGTTTGAAGGACGAGCAGTGGGCACACTCGAACCCGAACCTCATCTATCAGGAGCTGATAGCTTATTCCGACATGGAAATCCATCAGCTTTGCGCAAAGAGTGCTGCTCTCAACAAATTCATGCTCAGAAACGATGAGTGGATGATCTCGGGCAAAGTCGAGAAGTTGGTCGAATTGCTCAAACGCTTCACGGACGAGGGTCATCGAATCCTCATATTCTCCCAATTCGTGATGGTGATGGACATCTTGGAGTTGGTGCTGCAGACCATCCACATGGAGTTTTTCCGTCTTGACGGCAGTACCAAAGTCGAGGAACGACAAGAGATGATCAACGAGTATTGCGACGAAGGAAGCACGATCCCGGTATTTATGCTGTCTACCAGAGCCGGTGGTGCGGGCATCAATCTTGCCAAAGCTAATAAAGTAATCATCTTCGACTCAGGCTTCAACCCTCAAGATGATATTCAAGCTGAGAATCGTGCGCACCGGATCGGTCAAGTCAAGGAAGTGGAGGTCGTGAGACTGGTCACCAAAGGCACCATTGAAGAGCAGATCCATATCATGGGACAGATGAAGGTCAAGCTCGATGAGAGGGTTGCTGGGGACGAGGATGCGGAGAGCAAGAAGGAGCTAGAGAAGAGGGAAGCAGAGGGGCAGAAGATGGTTGAGGAACTACTCTTCCAGAAACTTGAATGCGGCGACGAGGTGGCTATGAAGGAAGCAGAAGCAACCGTGACCGAGCTCACGGATTGAGGTGTGGGATACCTAATGCGCCGCCGCTGCGCACATCACATCGTGCTTTGTGACAAAGGATGACTCACGCTTGGTCCGACCGACAGCCTTCTTTGCCAACACGACTTGGGAACAGACAGACTTGGATTCTAGGGTTGGGACTGCCCGGTCTGAAATCCTTGGTGCTCGTCGCAACCCGCCATCACCACTCTAAACCAAGGCCATTCGACGACGACAACGGGAACCATTGTGCCAGCCTCACTCCTTGGACAGTCCGTGCCCGTATCCGCGGCAGCCTGGGAACGCATTGGATGAAGAAAAGCCCACGCGCGATTCAGACGTCAAGACTTTCCAATGTCAAAAGACTTGAAAGAAAACCAGGTTGATGATTGGGCGAGCTTCTTTGTATAAGCAATAGACCATAGCGTTGGGGTCGGAAATATGGATAGAATCAATAGAATACGAATAAAAATTCGGCTCTACGTTTGGTAGAATGATTGGTTTTGTACTGATCAGTGCTGTTGTTACCCATGCTTGCTTGCTTGCTTGGCCTTCTCCTTCCTCTTGTCCTTCTGACTGGAATATAATGGCACTCCCCAACCATTCAGCGGGTCAAGGAGGGGGGTTGGTTGATGTCCAATATGTCATCATTCAAAGCATTTGAGTATTTACAAGCCTTTGAGTATTTACAAGACAATATATATATATATATATATATACACATCTGAACTCGACCGAACCCCATCGCTAGATCCCTTTACTGCAATATACAGAGATACCCGAACCCGGAAGGCGGACGAAGCATCTCGCACCTCACACCTCGCTGCCCTTGGCCTCGCCACTCCTCCTGCTCGCCTCCTTGAACTCCTTCCTCGCCCTCCTCTCCTCGGCGCGCTCCACCCTCGCGCGCTCCTGCTCCTGCAGCCCCGTCACCGTCTGCTCATGCGTCTTGCTGAGCACCTTCTTGCCGATCAGCAAGCTGACCAGGATCGCCAGCCCGCTGATCGCGGTGTAGAAGATCCACATCTTCTGCAGACTGGCCGTGTATGCGATGTTGACGATGGCCTTCTGATCCGGGGGCAGCGTCTTCAGGTACTCGGCATTCGAGCCCGACGAGGAGGCGCCGAGCCGCTCGACCACGTTGCCGGGCAGGACAGAGGCGAGGTAGGACGCCTCCCAAGACGACGGAGAGGGAGGTGGAGAGCTGGCGGATGAAGCCGAAGGTGCCGGTTGCCACCGCGATGTCTTGGGGTTTTATGGTCGATTGCAGCGCGATCAACGGACTCTGAAAGTTCGGTCCGACGCCGATTCCGGCGATGATTTGGTAGATGACGATCTTGGCCCAGTTGGGGGTGGGGTCGAGGTCGATGAACAGGCCGAATCCGAGCGTCATGCAGACGAAGCCGAACCAGATGGGTTCGCGGTAGCGGCCAGTTTTCTTGATAAAGACGCCGACGAAGGCGGACTGGATGGAGAGACTGATGGCGTAGGGAAAGATATAAACCCCGGAGAGTAGAGGGGTGGCGGAGAGGACGGTTTGGATGGAAGTACAAGGGCAGGAAGTAGGAGCCGGAGATAAAGACGAAGCCTTGCAGGAAGGCGGAGGCGAAGGATGCGCAGGCACTGCGGTTGTTGAAAAGGTAGAGCGGCATGATGGGGTATTTGGCGAATTTCCATTCGTTCACGAAGAAGAGGCAGAGGGTTAGGATGCCGAAGATGAGGAGGCAGAGAGTGTAGGCTGAGGCCCAGGGATGGGTGACTCCCCCAGATTCCAGACCGAAAAGGAACATTACTACGCCGCCGACGATGGTGACGACGCCGACCCAATCAATGGACTTGATGCCAGCGATAAAAGGTGTCCGTGCATGTTGGAGTTTGAGGAAGAAGAAAAGCATGAGGAATGCAAAGCCGTCAAGAGGAAGGTTGATATAGAACTGGATGAAGAGGTCAGCTAAGGGCTTGGGCAGAAAGATCTTGGAGAGTACTTACACACCACCTCCATGAGACTTTTTCTGTGAATACTCCACCTACAACTGGTCCCACAGCAGACGCCAGAGCCCAAGTCATGCCCACAATACCGAAATACTTGGCACGTTCCCGCATGGAGAAGAGATCCGAGATGACAATGTTGACCAAGATAATCAAGCCACCACCCCCAACTCCCTGAATCACTCGACCACCAATCAACATCCCCAGGGTGACAGAGACACCGCACAAAACTGATCCAACAAGGAATATCACATTGGCCAGCAGGATCACAGATTTGCGACCCCATATATCACTCAGTTTCCCCCATAATGGTACAGACGCCGCACATGCCAACAGATATGCAGATCCAACCCATGTGTATCCAGAGGTCGAGGCCGAAAAATGCCCAGCGATTGCTGGTAACGCAGTAGTTATGATTGTCATATCCAGAGCGGCAAGGAAGAGTGCAATGCACAGAGATAGCATGATGACTGCGATGCGAGCCTTTCCTAGCTGTTCCGACTGCGAGGGCGTCTCACTTTCCTTCTTCTCCAGTACGGCGCCATCATTTTCTTCTGGGGGACTTTCCGAGGACGAGGTAGAGATATCATCGTGCGAGCATATTGATGGCGCTGTTTGTGATCCTTCCGTCGGCATCGGCTCTGCAACTGCTACTCCAGCTTCGGTGTTCTTCGCACGGATAGACATTTCCGACCAAGCACTTATAGTATAGATGGGAAAGAATTAGATTATTCGACGTCAAGTTCGTAAGGCGAAGTCAATCGAAATCACCCCTCAATGTGAAGTCACACGCTTGCCAACAGTAGATGATTCGAGACAAACTGGTTTCGCTCTACGCAAGGATTAACGAAATATCCAATAACAATAGCCGAGGATGAATATTAAAATAAAATGATAAGCTTAGGAAGGAAAAAAGGAATGATCGAACAGAGGGGGGCAAAGCAGAACGATATGTACAATGACATCGCCAATTCGACGATTAAAAGCGGAGATCGGCTATTCGGCTTCCAATCTGAGGAAAATAAAATGCAAGCTAGACTGATTGCGGAAGGTAGATCTTGTAGAATGCTATTAACAATGAACGTCAGTGGATGACATGGTTTGGAAGGAAATAGGTCTTCAAACATCATATCACGTCAGGTAGTCTGTCCATACAGAGCACTTGCCACAATAGTCTGAAATAAGAAGAGCAGTGTGCCCATGCTGAACTCTTCACTATTGGAGATGATCCGCCTTGGCTGAACATCAGCAGCACGACCAGACAAGAATGATGACTTAAATCATCATCATCAGGGCGCTCGCTTTGGCATCAGATAGATGGATATGTCGTTTTCAAGTCTTAATGCTTGAGCAAGGAAGTCATAAAATGTGTATAAGGAGACAAACATGAAAACCGATACCAATGAGCAAGTGCTCTCCTCAGTACCGGCACGCAGGGATCACAATTGTGTAACAATGCATGATGAGATAAAATGTGAAAACGAAATTGACAAGACAGATACAAAGAAAGCCCTGATCACAGCATTGTATAAGATCTGTCCGATATGATCGAATATTCAAGATCGAGTAAAATGTTTAAGAGGGGGTAAATATCACGATTCTGGGGCGAACAGAATTGGGCCTGGCATCAGAGACACAGAGCCTGTGCGAGAGAAGATGGCTTGAGGTGTGCTGCACTGTAGTATGTATATCAGGTGAGGGGTGTATGTGACCCGGAGTTCCATAACAGTTTTTCTTCGGAGGTCCGCAAGATGCAATGACGAACGAACCATGTTAAGCACAATTAGAGATCGCTCGCAATCAGTCTTTAGGGTAGGATAGTGTTTCGGGATACATGGTTCTCGAATCTATCTGTAGAAGAGAAAGCAGACGCCTTAGGCGGCTGATGATGTTGATTGAAGAACGCTTTGATGTAGGAACCCTATGTATTGGCCTTGTGATTGGTTTATGTTGGCAGTGGCAATATGAGATGCTTAGACAGCAGCGCCAGAGATGAAGAACCACTTGTCAACGCTGCCATCAATCGTTGCTGGTGGCTGGCTGTCCCCCCGAGGAATGTTTTTGAGCTGTGCTGGATCAACGTGGTCTGGAGATGATTCGTTGAGGACATTCGCGCTGTTGGCGGCGTTAGTGCTTGCAATATACGTAACAAGAATGCACAAACTTACAGATTGATGTCACCCGGTCGTTGTTTGCCTGTGATCAATCTCTCCCAAGCATCACTGCACTCTCGGATCACTTCCAGAGCGTATTTCTTGTTCTTGCATTCACCGCTAAAGGCAAATTGGTTCTCTGGCTTTCCATCTGGGATCTTATAGATTCGGAACCACTCATTTGTTGCTCGGAGCAGCCCGGGAAGGTGTCTCTCAACATCCTCGATGTCGTTCAACTTTGGCGCCAGTGGGTCATTGACATCGATCACAATGATCTTCCAGTCCGTCTCTTCTTCATCCAGTAGTGCCATGACGCCCAGCACTTTGACTTGCTTGATCTGACCGGTGTAGCCGACCAACTCGCCGATTTCGCAGACATCAAGTGGATCATTGTCGCCTTTGGCTTTGGTTTCGGGGTGAACGACGTTTGGATCTTCCCATGTCTGCATAGATAGTATCAGCCGGTTCTTACATGTGAAGTATGACACAAGAGCTTACTCGTGGGAAGGCACCATAATTCCAGAGATAGCCTTTGTGAGGGAAACAGTTGCGAACGAAGCGGAGCTTGCCCTTCTTGATGTCTTGTTTTATTGGGTTGAGAAACTCCTCTTTCGAGATCTAGTAAAGTACAAGGTTAGTTCTGTCAACTGCCTAAACTAAAATTGAACTGATTGGGCTCCATCCCTGTGACAGACATACCTCTAGCTTGGCATTTGTCCATCTTGGAATCTCAACGATCATATTCAACACGGTCTGCTGCTCATTGGCATACAAAGGCACGTCATGGAAAGGTGAGACTGGAGTGCCATCTTTCTCAATGAAAGCACGGAAATCGAGTGTGTTGGGAGCGCCGACCTTGCGGACACTGAATTCTGATGGTTGCTTGCCGTAGGACATCCTGTCTGACGATGTCGACGAAGATGTAAAATGGCGAGAAATTTGGTCTGTACGCCAGAAAGCTATATTGTTAAGTTGGAGCAAGTTGTGCGAGGAATTTTCGATAGTGGGGGGAGCCAGGGTGGGGGAGGAAACTGCGGTGGTGAAATTCAATGCTGTGCGGTGTAGCTTAGCTGCTGGGGTTGATGCAATTGTCATGCAGCGTGAAAATCGCTTTGACTGTAATTGAGCCAGGCCGGTAGCAAGATGATTAGATCTTAGCATCTGGGATGGGGATACTGTTTTGGGCAGATTCTACGATCTATATAGCCTGGCTTACCTCGTGTTCTCTCAAGCTTCATAGGAGGCAGCTCCGGACAAGGGGAAGGGGATTGATGAGACTGGGCGCCCAGAGGCCCATCCATCGGCTACTTATCGCTATCACCACGTGACCGAGCAAGAAGGTGATTCCATCGAGTCGTTCTGTAGAATCGCTACATAGGTCAGCCAGAGTATGAGTTTCCAGTCATTGCAGAAACATCATGACTTACCTATATGGGCCTCGACATCAGAAGATCACTACTGCGCTGACTACCGTCTTCCAGGCGACTTTCGTGTCAGACAAGATATAGAGAAAAGTTATAACGCTTACACCAGAGCCCGATACAAAGACATGGTCTAGACCTATAACACCGATCAAAGGGCTCAAGGCACTGAGGTTAATGAAACCACACCGACCCTTTCTTCTGGTCACCCTAATGCATTTTACGATAAAGAGTCAGGCTACAATATCGCCAGCGCCGCAAGAGGCCGTAGGTCCATTTATGAAGCCCCTGGATATGCAAAAACGCCGGCGGTGGTCTCTTGCAGAGATTGCTGGGACAGCAAGAAAGAAGAAATGTTGAATTGCTACCTCTCCAGGCGAAGAAGAATGTTGTCTTGATTAGGTTTTGACAGGCATCATTTCTTACCTTTGCCTCGTACGGAGAGGATTATGGTAACAAGGCCTTATACTACTATACTTCTCTCCAAGTCTGTGTAGGAAACAAATTGCACTCATCTAGTCTTCTGCTTTATTTCCTAATTCTTCTACAGTTGAAGCTGGATTTTTCTCATCTCACTTCACTTCCAGAACCTTCTGTCTTATTTCTTTCATAGATTCTATTCTTTGTTGTAGTGAGAAATATGAGAGGATTATATTTGCGTCTTGGCTTTCTTGATTGCCTCGCTATATTGTGCAACAGAGTAGGACTCTGAACAGGTTGATTCTTTGAATCTGTACTGTTCTTCTAGCCTATGCAGCATTAAGGTTGCATCCTCTAATGCCATGTGATGCGAGAGAACAGTCCAGCTTCGACAGTCATAATATATCGTCCATCTCCTGCATTTGTTCCATCTCTGCAGATCTTTGTTTTACGAATGCTGCGCCTTGCTTCCGTTCTTGATTGTACCAACAAGTACTCTCCATGCACCGTTGAGTCTCTCCTTCTGGCCCCGTTGTACCATCTGTTGAAGTGGCTGGCAAACCTTGAGCTTTGGCATTTGGCTCACTGTTGAGAAGTTGATCCGTACCACGACACCATCTCCCATACATAACCATCGCCCCTGTTCCTTTGACTTCTCGAAGGCTCTTTTGTGAGTTACACGTACATCATCAGTAGGTACACTAAAGCTAGGGTAGTGCTAACTCAGCATGCGCTTACACTTAGCTTGCTATCCAGAGTCTTGTTAGCCTGTTAGTCCAAATATCCTCGTCTTGATCTCCACGGTGGGCTTTACGTTTTGTCCCTTGTGTCACTGAATATGGTACTTCTTCCTATAGAGAATAGCATTGCCGCCATTTAGCGTCATAATCTTGCTGCAGGGAAAATTTTCGCCAAGCAGGGGATAAGTAAAAAAAATGGAAGTAGCAAGTCACATGACGCCGCGGTGCAACAGACGTCAAAACCGCCTGCAAAAACGGTCAGAATTGCGCACCCAATGTCCCGGAATGTAGCATTGAGAGATACTACGTAGTCTTCACAGTGGAAGTGGGTATGAGCATCTCCCTTGGCTGACCTTTCACCATGCCATGCAATCTTTGCTACGATTCGCTGAACCCGTCATGACCTCGATTACTCGTATCATGTCTTCAGTCTCGCAGGAAGCTCTTTCTAAAACCACCCCTCCTCTGTCTACGAATTTCATTGTGCCCCACGTCCCAATTCCTCGAAATGGTGTTGATTATAGGGGCAAAGTCGTCCTTGCGCCTATGGTCCGTAGCGGCGAGCTCCCGTCCCGCTTACTTGCTCTTCATTACGGAGCCGACCTTGTTTGGGGCCCTGAGACTATCGACCGCTCGATGATTGGCACGACACGCAAAATCAATCCTCGCACGTCTTGCATAGAATGGGCGCGACCTATCACGAACGTTCCGCAGGGTATGCTCGGCTTCAAGAAAGAGAACGTCCTGTACAGGATAGATCCAGCGCGCGAGAAAGGGAGGTTGATCTATCAGATCGGTACATCCAATCCAGACCTAGCAGTCCAGGCCGCTAAGGTGGTCGCAGCGGACGTGTCGGGTATAGATGTCAACGCAGGCTGTCCGAAACCCTTCTCAACTTCCGGTGGTATGGGGGCTGCATTATTGCGAACACCAGATCTGCTTGCTTCCATACTGCGTGAGCTTGTTGAAAAGGTTGGAAAGGTCTACGAGATTGGCATTTCAGTCAAGATTAGATTACTGGAAACGCCAGAGCTGACCGAGTCACTTGTGAGGAAGCTATGTGGCACTGGTATCATCGGCTTGACTGTACATTGTCGCACTACTCCAATGCGTCCAAGGGAACGTGCAATCAGAGATCAATTACGGATGATCGGATCAGTCTGCCGAGAATATGGAGTGGCTTGCCTCATGAATGGCGACGTAAAGAATCGGGACGAGGCACTCCGGCTTGCGACAGAGTACGGTGTCGATGGTGGGATGATTGCTACAGCAGCAGAAAGCAATTCTAGCGCCTTCCGGACACTCGCACGGGGAGGACTTGCACCTTGGAGAGAGGTTGTCATGGAGTATCTAAAGTACGCCATGAACGTAGAGAACAAATGGGGAAACACGAAATTTTCGCTAGGACAGTTGATTCCAGGACGAGAAGCATGCTACAAGGCAGTCAGTATGTCTAAGAGCCATGTTGAATGCGTCAAGCTGCTTGGATTGGACAGTGCTGAGATGATGAGAGACGCGGAGGAGGCAGATAAAGTGCTGGGTTTGAACGAGCCGATCCCAAGCAAGCAAGAGCGAAAGCAGATGCGGAAACAGATGAAAAGGGCTCTGGAGGGTGGTGATGCCAACGGAAATACCGGTGCTGGCCAAAATGAGAAGAAGCAGAAGCAATTTGAATTGGGGAATAGCACGAAAGAGGCTGAATATGAAGCCCACCAACAAGTGGCTGTGGCCTAGATGTTGAAGGAATGAAACCGCTTTAGTACAAGCATCGCATGCAGTCACGGTATGCATTCTAGGTGTTGCTACTAGAAGATTCCTAGAGGATGATAAATCTGCCATACTAGGGTTCAAACCTACGGACTGGACTGTAGTCGGGGCTTTGCTTATGTTTCATTGAGCTTCAGGATGGCATACCCCTTTCTCCTCTTTTCCCTAGAGCTGCCAATATCCAGACACGAAATGGCTCCAATTTCATGAGTACTCCCATATCGTCTCACAACGACACGAGTGTCTGCACCACGGCGATACCACCACAATGCTTGCCATGTGTCATGTCTTTGTGCTGGGTTGGTACTCCTGTCTCTGCTGGGGTCCCAGCCTCAAAATAGAACGTGATTGTGGAATGCCTAGTCACTGTGCTAGTCCAGCGTTCTTCAGCACGACAGCCACCCGAAGCCTCTTAGTCAATTAGACTCATCCCATGAACATTCCATGGACGATATTGGGAATATTTCTATCATCCGGGTCGTCTCTTCACGAACTCCTCGAGATCAGATCTCGTCACCACTCCCAAGACAAACTTACGACCACCATCAGTGACAACAGCGAAATCCTGAGGACTCTTTCCGTCTGGGCCACCGTTGAAGAACGCCTCTAGCTCTTCTAATTCTGTCTCTGTTGTAATGACAGTGTATTTCTTCCCTTTGCGCCTAAACTTCATCATGGCTTTCTCCACGGGGTCATCTTCGGTAGTGATACGTTGTTTGAGCAATTCCTTCAGTCGTGGTATACTGAGGTATCCCAGAAGGGCTCTGTTTTCTTCAGAAACAACCGTAAGATGGGTATAATCGTGTTCGTAGGCAGACAACAAGGCGGATGAAATTGAGGCATGTGGAGAAGTGGACAGCGCTGGTGGTAACTCGAGGTCCGCAACCGTTGCCTGTATATCAGATCATGGTCAGCACTCACCTGAACGGGCCTTTCAGTTTGGTGTAGGGTACGTACACCTCGATACTTATGGCCCCAGTTCAGAACAGGCGGAGCGCTGACTCCGTTAGAGGTGCTGGAAGGGTCCATGACCAGATCGTGGCAGGTTGGGGGTCTATTGCCAACTTGGATAGTTTTCAGGCAAAATCGGTGGGTACCTGATCATCAGCTTATCGAGGACTATTGTAGAATCTTGTTCCACTCCGAGTTGGCAATATTGTGAAGTCGAGTACATCAATTAGAATCATTGCGGCTGCTCGGGATCACGTATCCGCTCTAAATATGAACCTGGCGTAGCTGTTAAGTCCTCAACCACTATCAGCAGCATCTTTCCAGGCAAGGCATGATAATCATGGTGCTTGGGCGACTCCCCCAACAAGTGGGAATGCCAATGACTAATCACGAGTACTACCACGGAATCGCCGATAAGCGCCACTCGCGCAGATCTTAGCAACCAGAGTTTTGTACTACGTATTATGTGCTTTTACAATCATGTTACCTGGTACGAAGCGGTCCCTTCGTACCTATTTGATGTGCCGTATGTACAGAGCGATGTTCAGGAACCTGGTAAGGAGACTCCCTGTAGAGATATATAAGCGGCCTTCATCAGCCTTCAGGGTGAAGTGGAATGCAAGATGCTTATTGCCGAAATTCTCGCTAAAAAGCCAAAAAAAAAGTTCGACAAAACTGGTGAGAAACTGAGAAAGAAATCCTTTAAAGCAGCGACTGGACGTCGGTTCCATCTGCCAGCATACGGACCATAAGTATGTGGACCGAAAATAGGGGTTTCAACTTTGGTTCCGCTCTGGTGATGTCGACGGTTTGTTGCCATATTCTCCCCCTTGGTCTTGCTCAGAGAAGCGGCTACTGCGCAGATTGCTGGATCTCGCTTCATCTCCACGACAGCGCAATGTGCCCCGACGTCTATACCACATAAAAACGAAAAGATCAATGCACGAGCACTCAGCACAACCCTTTGGCGTTAGCGGATGTCGAACCAATATCAACTGAGGCTCTGAAGCTTATGCACAGGAGTAGTTGCAGTTGAATCTTAGCGGAGTAATCATGAGGTATGTGGAAATAATGCTGCTTTTGTCTGTTTCGTCCGGTCTTTGGAATCATTACCCAGAAAGTGTGACAAGACTGCGGTACCGTATGCTACCGATGCCTCATCGATCAACGAAAGTTGCAGCTCTTACGTACAATTCGGCATGTACTAGCCAGTGGCCACTACAATATGGACCAAAGCGTCGCTGTATTGGAATGTTAGCCGTCTGGTATGAAGGACTTTGGATAGGATATGCTCTACAGAGTGTGACTTGTGGTCCACCATGCCGTGTTGCACAGTTGAGTATTTCGATCTGTCAGAAAATTTTCTTTGAATCGTTTCTTGTTCACTGTCGGTGTGAGTGAGCCAAGGAGTCCCAAAGCCTCGAAAGCGGTCGTCGCTCCCCATGGCTGCGATAAGTCTGTATGGGAGGTTGGAGTTCTCCCACAGCAATCTCCTCACCTACATCTTCGACCGCCCTGAAGATGACGATGACTTCCATTCTTCAAACGTACCAACCATTATTTCCGCCGAAGACCCCAATCGTAAAGCTCATACTTTCAACGAGCATAGGCGCCTGTCATTGGAGGCTTGCGTTAGGATTGCAGATGATGGGACTAAAGCCTGGTGAACGTATTGCGCTGGTCTCAGGAAATACGATCTACTTCCCTCTCGTAGCGCTGGGAACCATTGCAGCGGGCGGCGTCTTCACAAGCCTTCTCCCAGAATTCAAAACCCGAAAGATCGCATCCTATCTACAGGACACCAGTGCCCGCTATATTCTAGCTTCGAAGGACTTTCTGGACATCTTGCTTGCTGCTGCCGATCAATCTAATTTCCCGAAAGCCAGTATTTTGGTGTTCGATGATAGTCTTAAACAAATGGAGCTACAGCCTCCATTACACCATTGGAGCACCATATTCAGTACGCAACTCGATCCTCCCTTCCGATGGCAGTCCTTGGAAAGCGAGGCCAAAGCAAAATCCACCACTGCTGTGATCATGCATACGTCAGGGTGAGTCTCGCGCATGTCAGCAATATATTCATTCTGGAACCCGAGCGCCACATTCAGCGACACCGCATTTGCAAGGCATGAAGTGCTGACCACTTTATTTTAGAAAACTTCGGGAAATGCCAAAGGCGAGGAGATCTCCCATTACGCGCTCATTGGCCAACTGGCGCAAGCACTTCGAAACATCGATTCAGCCGCAGCAATTCACGAGAGCATCCTTTGCGATTACCAGATGGGCCAATCCGTGGGATTGATGATGAACTTGTTTATACCGCTTAAAGCACGTTGCAAGCTCATTGTAATGAATAGCTCCAAGTCCGACTTCCGATCCCTTTGCTTGGTCATTGAGAGATATCGACCAACGTTTCTCACCGTAAAGAAAACCGCGTTGAATGCTTTGGTAGCTGAGGGGCGTCCTTTAGTGGATCTATCGAGTGTGAAAAGCTGTACAAGCGGATTAACGTTCGTCAGTCACACGGAAGATACGAGACTCGTGCCAAGAAATATATGGGAAATGATGTGTTATGGGATGACAGAGTACGTTCCGTTCTATCCTATATCAGCAACCTGTGTCTGACCAAGAGGGCCTGGGCGCACGTAGATGTGGCTTTGTCATTTCTCCAGATCGGTTCAAACTTCACGACGCCGGCAGTGTGGGCGAGCTACGCCCTTCTATCCAAAGAAAAGCGGTAGACGATCGAGGACAAATCATCGCCAAAAACCAGATTGGAGAAATTTTGATACGCACGCCTTTTGGGATGACGGGCTAGCTGAATGATACCACTGCCACATAAAATGCCTTTACCAACGATGGGTGGTTCAAGACGTGGGATCTCGGCTATGTCAACAACAAAGGCCAGTAGTTCATCGTGGATCGCAAAAAGGTTCTTCGCCCCTGTTCCCTGCCCTTGGTCGCATCAGTGTCCCTGACCCGAATGACTAGGACATGTTCAAGGTCAAAGCAGTGTAGATCGCGCTAACAGACATCGAGGACGCAATCATGAACCAGGCCGGGGTGCTGCAAGCGGCAGTGATTTCGTTGCACAGGGACGAAAGAGGGCAATGACCGTCCGCGTGCCTACCTCGTTAAACGAGCTGACACGAAAATCGACGCAAACGATATCGACGCATCGATTGAACGTGAGCTCGGGTCACTACACCAGCTTTCGGGACGCATCTCTTTTGTCGATCGCCTTCCTATCAAAAGTGTAAGTATTCCGTATCACGTGGACCTTTTAAATTGTGGCTCACGCTGCTCAAACAGTCTGGCAAGGTAGCTCGCGCCGAGCTAAAGCAGTTAGCACAGAAGCAAGACGTCTCGGAAAGCGAATGCGAATGCGAGAGCCATCCGGGCTCGTCTCTGGGACCTTACAAGACAACTATACGAGTTCGTTGAGTTCGCGAGCAGTATACTTTATGGTATACTACAATAGAGAAGTTGTATACAGAGAGTGCTCCATTCAGATAGCAAACCGTTATATACATAGCTACTGTCTAAATAATGACCGTTATACAATCTTCGCAGAGCGGCCTCTATTACACTATACCAGAACATAAATATTATAGGTATAATATAGCACGATACCTGAGCTCGGGGGCAGGGATTTGAGGGAAGCTGTGCTGCGCTGTACCGACGAGTTGCAAGACACTGATGGTTCCTGCGATACGTTGTTTGGCGCCAGCGTGATGCTAAAGTAATCATTTCCCTGCTGTTCAGCTGCTCTGCCAGTGTGCGTATTTCCGGAATGTCTCATCGGCACAAAGACGGTCCAAGTGCACTTCCTGCAGTCCGAGAACCACTTCCAACCCACCTTCCTGAGCAGTACACCCCTTCCCGGCAGCAGCAGGGATTCGTGGCATGATGGCGAAAAAGCCATCGAATATTTCCAGCGGCCTCGTACGAACCTTCTCACACCTCCCACCTAGCACGTCGCCCCAATCTAGTCCAGTTCATAGTATGCCTGATTCGCCCAGGAAGTGCACGCCACGTTACGCTGGAAGGAAGGATAGGCCGGTCGCGTCACGGAGCTGATATTGGGGGCTGATCGGATGGTCCCGATGAGGTCTTTGATGTAAGTATCATTGACGGCGAGAAGTGAGGTTCGGAGCATGCTGGCTACGTCGGCGAGTCGGGACGGGTCTGAGGAGAGGAGGTAGCCGAATGTTGCGTGGGTTTTGGTGGCAAGAACTGAGTTGCCAATGTAGTCGGCTGGAAGGGGAGGCAAGAGGCGGCTTCGGCAGTCGATCATCATGTTGAAGTATGAGACTGTGGTGATGATATTGTTGTCTGAGGACTCGCCCGCTCGTGCTCTTGTTATGCTGCACCAGAAGAGGGCGCAGAGGGCATCATTGGTAGAGATCCACGGCGAGCTTTGGCCAGCGATGGTTGCGCTCGCGGCAAGTTTGAGCCGAGCCAGGGAAGAGTTCGAAAAGAAGAACACTGCGGGCCCAACTGATGATGGTGGCAGAGTTGACTGCATAACAGAATGCCCGCTTATGGTCTTGGAGCTGCTAGTCGGCTCGCCTTCGGGTGATATAAGGTTTGCTATGGTATCTTCTGATAGTGCTTTTCCTTGTTGTTGCATCAATGCTTTTCTGTCGGTCCAGTGCGGTTCAACAAGTGGTACATCTTGACCTCCTCGACACCGCGTTGACCAAACTCGAAGGATATTGAACAGACCCCTTTCATCCACCACGGTATGGGCAATGGCAACAAATAGAAATAACCCTCCATGTAGGAGGTATACTTGCGCAAGCATCACTCTTTGCGGTTTTTGGGTCAGTTTGGGCAAGATCCGGTCCATAGCAACAGCATCTAAACTTCTTTGCTCGAAGCTCCTTGAACTTACACATATCCCGGAGATCTTTCACCAAGAGTATGTCACCAGCACGTAGATACGGCCCTTCAACTAGTAAAGAACCTCTTTGCGCACCAGTCGCGTTAGGACCGACGCAACCAGCTAGCATGGGCACCTCAGTGATCGTCCGTGCCAATGCGTCTCGAAGAGTGGTAAGGAGAGCAGAAGGGTCATCGCGAGCAGGAATGTAGAGATGTTTCTGGAGGTGGATACTGGGTGCAACGTTGTCTAGAGGTGTAAGTAAATGAACAGGATGCTTCTCGTTGGTCATGGTGAGGATGGAGGCATCGGATAATACTTTCCAAACAGTGAGTCTTTCAGTACTTTATAAGACCGAAGATGCCCGTATACGACTAGAACTTAGCGGAGGACGGTAAGTGACTCTCAAGCACCCAACAGACAAGAATGTCTGCATTGGCTCGGAACCGCCTACTCTAAGGGCAGCCATTTCTGACAATCATGGTACTCAATTGGGATGCTGGTCAGCCTTTGAACCATGGCATTCCTCCATATCGGGTGTCGGGTGCCGGGTGCACCCGGGAAGATGAGGCGATATCATTACGTGCGTCAGGTCCTCACCATACCAGCAATAATTGATTGCTTTTGGACAATATTCTCATCTTTGCATTCACCTGTGGAGTTGTTTGCGGATGACGTGCGCCCGCTAATGCCCGGCTGGATATAAGAACTACGTACGGAGTACTCCTCTGCTCCATAAGTGGAGTTTGACGTGTGGCGCTAGACTGTATTTGGAGCTTCCCCAGCTCTCCAGCACGCAGCAAGCAGCAAGCAGCAAGCTGCCGTCGCCTCGGCCTGCGAGCCTCTATCTCAATTGATCTGGTGTCTTTCTGGCACCAGCTAATCCTGCCCACTGTCGCCGTACCTGGATTGCACCACCTTACAACATCACCCATCTACCAAGTGAGGTATCACACTCCCTCTGATCCAGGCCTGCTCAACCACGGAGATAAGCTAATAGATGGCAGTGACGACATGTCTGTTATCTTTCCCGCTCAGAATACGCTGTGCGAGGTCTTTGGGTCTTCATCACCATTTGCAAAACCTAGGCTTAAGACTCATTCCCTCGTCCGAGATCATCCATTAAAGAGCCCAATCTTTTCCGCCTGGAGTGCAATCGATAATGTCAAGGACAAAGCGGGAGGATTGACCAATGAGGCTGCCAGAGAATTTGAGAAAGCCAGCAGCATAGCCCAACAAAAGGCTGGTGCTATTGAGTTATACTCGCCTAAATATTATGCTGCTTGCACGGTTGGTGGTATTCTCGCCTGTGTAGGTTATTCCTCTCTTGTTCGACAGAACCCTTCTTATCGTCCTCCCAGGGCACAACACATACAGCTGTTACTCCGCTCGACCTCGTCAAGTGCAGACGTCAAGTCGATCCGAATCTCTACAAGGGTAATTTCGAAGCCTGGGGAAAGATCGGCCGGGCTGAGGGTATGCGAGGAATCTTCACTGGCTGGGGTCCCACATTCGCCGGTTACTCCGTTCAAGGTGGTTTCAAGTATGGGGGATATGAATACTTCAAGCACTTCTATTCCCAGCTTGTGGGAGAAGAGAACGCCGAAAAATACAAGACCAGTCTCTACCTGACTGCCTCTGCTTCCGCCGAGTTTTTCGCCGATATTGGTCTCTGCCCCTTCGAGGCTGTCAAGGTCCGTATGCAGACAACGATTCCACCTACTTTCACCGGTACCTTCCAAGGGATCAACTCCATCACTGCAAAGGAAGGCACAGCAGGGTAAATAGCAAGTGAAACGGAACATGATGTCCAATTACTGACCCCAGCAGTCTCTTCAAAGGTCTCTACCCTCTTTGGGGCCGACAAATTCCATACACCATGATGAAGTTCGCCTCATTCGAAACCATCGTTGCAGCAATTTACGACTATCTGCCCGGCCAGAAATCTGATTACGGCAAGGGCTCTCAGACAGCTGTCGCTTTCGCTGGTGGTTACCTTGCCGGTATCCTTTGCGCCATTGTTTCTCACCCAGCCGACGTCATGGTCAGCAAACTGAATGCCGACCGAGCCCCTGGCGAGTCTTTCGGTGGAGCTATGAGCCGCATCTATAGCAAAATTGGCTTCGGCGGGCTCTGGAACGGACTTCCGGTTCGAATTGTGTAAGTTTTTGCTGAAGCACGAAACTCCGTTGAAGACCTGTAACTGACCATACCCGATCGGGACGGCAGGATGATTGGAAGTCTCACAGGAATTCAATGGCTTCTATATGATTCTTTCAAACTTTTCATGGGCTTGCCAACGACCGGGGGTGGTGGAGAGGCGAAAAGAGGTTCACATTAGGAGATATGCGAGCTCTTGTGACGATTTATGTCAGTTGCGGGAGAGGAATGACAGTAGATGTTCGCTCTAACGATAGCACCGATAGTATGAATAGCCATGTAATACACTCAGCTCGTTTATGCACAACATCTCCTTGTAAGAGAGGATACGTCTCTGGTAACACATGGGCAATTTCAGGTGACTCGAAAAAGGTGCCAAGACGGACACACGTGATGACCCTTATCGGAAGTTGCCAATTCTAGTGCGTAGGGAACTTTTGCATTCATCCGATATTTGTGCCTGAACATTGGAGCCAGACACCTGTGGTACAGCTTTCCAGGTGTGGTGAGTGACGGACGAAAACGGCAGGATCAGATTTCAGGATCGCTGCCACCGATTCCGATCTTGAAGATCTGGAAACAGTCCATAATCACATACTAGTATCAAGGGTTATGTCTACTACTTAGGTATGCTAAAATCTTGGCTGCTAAAGTCTGTGGTAAGACTCTTGCTGCTCAAATCTCTGCACAAATGGTCCTGGGGAAAGAGAGACCTCGACTCGATCACAATTATACCAGGTTTCAGGCCAAAAACAGTAGAAGGCATTTCCTATTCTGTACTACTATTGGAACCCCAGCCCGAGAACCCCCGGATCGCCCATGCCACATGCCAAGCCAGTTATCTTATCAGGGATTTTATGTGACAGTGCAACCTGAGCAAATCAGATCACGGTATAAGCGGAACTGGGTCGAACAGCATGCCTGATGCGTTTCCTCGGCCTGGAATGGTGTCATACCTTGACCTGCATCAGCCGACCCACGTGCATGCACTCTGGCCTTGAAGGGCTATTTGATCCGCCCTCTTTCCCATGCATGGTTGCGGAGTGAGTGTTGTTGATAAGACTCGGCGCCTGTGAGCAACAATTCAATTACCAGAACCCTTCTAGAAAGAGCAAGTGAGTATCCAGTCTGCATGTTCATTAGTAGGATGACGTTGATGTATTTGCTGCACCCTCTGCCTCGGCTTGCGCTCCAGCCTCCTTGATCAGGAAAAGTCGACCTTTCTTTCGCACAGGGCAATTGTCGCGATGGAGAGCTTCTGGTGTACATTTCGCCTTCAAGCGCTGAACTAACGACAGACCTCAGACCTTCAAGTAGCAAGATGGCAAACGTTTCTCATGGCCGCGGAGGTGAGCAACTCTTGCGGTATCCGCCTGTTTCGCCTGGCCTCGACTGACGTGCAATGCAAAGGTGCGGGCAACATCGAGCCTGATTCACAAGTGTATGAGACCATTCTGTCATTCGAGTCTCCTATCCACGAATGCGCTCAGCTGCCAGTGCATGTTCCGAAATACTCAATCTGACCAAGCATTACCCAGATACACGGATGGTGGAATCGTTCGCGAAGGACGTGAAGGCGATCAGAGGGACGGGCCATTCTCCACCGGCGTATGTTCACACTTCCGATCCATCATTGCTCCATAAACTAGATCGCTTGTATTGATGCGCTTCCAGCGAGGTGGTGCAGGCAATGTCGGTTCACCTCACACGAAGGCTTCCAACAAACCACATGACGAGGAGGTAATTCCTGAAGTTGCACTGCGTGATGAACACATCAAAGATTATCATATTGGAAGAGGTGGTGCAGGTAATGAGCATCGTGACCACCCCAAGGATGAGCACGTGCACGAGAGCCTCGCGGACAAGTTCAAGCACAAGATGATGGGGAAGAAGTGAGAGAACTTGTCTTGGACGGCAAGAGCTTCAACCCTGGGCATTTGATCGCTTTCGGGCCAATGATGATGGTGGCATCATAGGGATGTAGGCGAGGAAGCCCTGTGGAATTTCAGATCAACATATACCCCCCTTAGTTATATCCTTCTTCAACAATTCTAATATCCCTGATCGACTTGCCTTAGGCCAGCTGGCAAGATGCAATACAGCCATCCTAATTTCAGTTCCTGTCCGCATCGGAATATACTACCAGTAGATGATTTTCTTACCACACACTAAGTTAGGATAGAAGCTTTAATGCCAAGACTGCGTGTTCTTCCATAACATGGCGCGTCACGTTAATCCGTTTACCTTTTCTTGTTGATAAGCTTTGCTGGTTTGTTCATCGTTAAGGCCTATTAAAGCCTGGGTCGACCCAGGAGTTTGGCTTCCACTCCTTCATCTCACGAATCCACCCAGAATTCAATATGTCTCAACCGTCGAACAAGAAGCGCAAATCGAATCCCTTTGGAGACAGTCACACACCTTCAAAGAAACAGCGGAAACAGCCAGACGCAGCAAAGGACGAATCCTTCACTTCAGATCCATCCACTCTTGTTGCCGAGGAAATACCATTTACTCTGCAATGTCCTGTGCGCAGTCTGTCGAAGAAAGGCAAGAAGCAGGCAGTGAGAGATGATGTATTCGGACCGCAAACGGAAGACGGAGGATTTCCAAACCTGAAGATCAATTACACGATCCGACCTGGGAAGGCATGGACAGATATGAAGACATATCGCAACTTCAGCAGTATGTTCAAGTCAATGCGCATCCGGCATGGGAAGGAAAATACTGACTCAGCAACTCCAGTTCAGAACCAGAAGTTTTCATCAGGATCGTTGGTGTACGTCAACAGGCGCATACCACCCCCTATCCCGCCCGATAAAGATGCTTCCGAAGCCGAGATCCTCGCGTTCGACAAGAAGAATCTTTGGGTAGGCCACGTCCTTGAAGTCAGGGCCGCAAGTCCAAGCCAAGTCTTGCTGCGTGTGTTCTGGTTGTACTGGCCTGAGGAGCTACCTGGAGGACGGCGCAAATACCATGGCAATCAGGAATTGGTAATGAGCAATCATATGGAGATCGTGGATGCCATGGCTGTAGCAAGTGGCGCAGACATCAACCACTGGGATGAGCGGATTGAGGACCAAGATGTGGGCCAACGTTTCTGGAGACAGTTCTACGATGTACGACTGGAGAAGACGAAGACTGGCGGCTTGAGCACAATCAGGGAACATTGTGTTTGCAATGGATATTACAATCCGGACAACACGATGCTGAAATGTCCCAATCCACGATGCGGTATCTGGAATCACGAAGAATGTTTACAAGATGCAATCCTGGCGCGCACCTATGGACGACTGGTGGGGGACAAGAACTCTGTCAAGGCAGAGCCGATATCGTTACCGGCTTCCAAGATGGCTCAGCTCAAGGCCAATGTCAAATCCAAATTAGGAGTTGGGCAGAAGAAAAAGGGCACAGCTGAAGGACTGCCGCCGTTGACGAACTCGACCCCAGACTCTTCACCCTGGAAAGGTCTCTTAAAGGCTGAAATTGCTGTGGATGAGAAAGGAGGCAAGACACTTGTGACTATCACTGATGAAAGAGCGCAACATCCAGAGGTATGGACCGAGGGTATTCAGTGTCTCAACTGTGGAACTACAATCGATTGAAGTGTAAAGTCGCGGCGTCCACCCACGAAATTCGCTTGCGAAGACGCTTTATTGCTCCGCTCAAACCAGCAGCTGGTACGTCCCGCGCATTTCCCTGGTTGGTTCTCGTCCAAGCCTAGCAGCCAAGCTCAGTGTATGAGCTTAGCCATCTGCGCTCTTGTCAGAGTATCCGCACCTTTTTCTTCCGATGATCATTCTATGTAGCGTGGCGTGGGTATCTGGTGTGGCCAGGAGAAATGCCTCACAGTCAGGTGGCATTTCACGACTTGTGCATTATCTGTGCGACTCTGTTTTCGAATCATACTCCCAGAGCCGATAGTACACCAATTATTGTGGTGTGCAATACTAGATATGCACTTGAATGTACTCTGCTCAGCAAGTTGACCCAATCAGAGCTCTCCCTGTAGACAGACTCATCAGCTACAGGCAGATGACACTAGGCACGGGACGTGTCTGCTTGCTCATAGCCCATCCGAGCGCGGTCCCGTGCGTCACGACTCAAGGGCTGCTGGATCAATTGACTTTCTTCCATCTACCAACCACACACATTCAAGATGTAGCCCATTCAATAACGTGCTCATGGGCCCAATGTGATCTTGTGGGCCAACAAGCTCATATAAACCTTTGTCCTGCCTTGAAAGAAAACCTCGACGTTTGCGAACAGAAAGCCCTTCGCGATGCCTCAGACAAGCTCTTGGAGCGGCACGCCCTCCATCAGGGGCTCAACCGAGTCACTTCGCATGATACTGCTCACTTTTGGCCTTATGGGAATTACGTACGTCTTCAGGTGATGATTCATCGCATCTATTGAGTGACACGTCTTACAGGATCGTTTGGGGCGTCGAGATTACATGTAATTGACCTCCTGCTCTATGCCCTACCACACCTCACCCAACTCACCATTGAACACGAAAGCCAGATTGCACCCCGTATCTACTTCAGCTGGGACTTTCCAAGTCCGACATGTCGTTGATATGGGTTGTGGGTATTCTGTCTAATCTCATCATTGTGCCTGTGGTCGGAGCAATCACGGACAGATCAACATCGAGGTGGGGAAGACGGAGACCATTCATGATTGGTGGCGCAGTGGCAGCTGGTATCGGCTTGCTGTTGTTCGGCTGGGCAGAGACGGTTGTGGGCTATTTTGTCCGTGAAGAGCCTCTGGTATGGGAAGAACCTACAGAGACGTTCACGAGGAAACGCAATTGACGAAACATAAAACACAGAAGAGTCGTAGTACAATCGCCGTTGCTGTTCTCAGCATGTACACCTTCGACTTTGCACTCAACACTGGTATGTGCAGCTCAGGATCTCACTCCATCATCTTGACTGATCCTTTCCAGTCGGGTCGTCTTCACGGAGTCTTATTGTTGATACTCTGCCTTCCAGTCAACAACAAGCGGGTTCAGCATGGGGTACGTAGGAGACCTAGGCTCCGCACGATCTCTGTGGTGATCTACCGTGTATCACAGCTAATTCTATTCTGTTTTGTTCAGCATCTCGCATGGCTGCCACAGGCCACTTACTTGGCTACTTTATAGGCAGTCTTGACATAGTGAGTATTCTGGGTTCTGGCTTCGGTGGCTCCCAGTTCAGGAGCATGATCTTGATTGCCGTTATGACGCTTAACTTCGCTATTGGCGTCACATGCATTTCTGTTTCCGAACGGCGTCTGATGCCCTCTGCATCAAGTCAAGCCAAACCTGCTTTAGCTGTTCTCACCGAATTATTTCAACACGCCATCAATCTCCCGCCTAGAATGCAATCGATTTGCTGGATACATTTCTGGTCATGGGTCGGCTTTTTCCCTTTCATGATTTACAGCAGTACCTGGGTTGGTGAAACCTATTATAGGTATGAGCTTCCAGCCAGCGAGTCAGCCTCAGGGTCGCATGATGTCTTGAGCAAGGTCGGACGACTTGGCTCGTTGTCGCTGGTCATTATGTCCACTGTTCAATTTACTGCTGCTGTCGTGCTGCCATATATGGTTGAGTCTCCCAAAGGGGCCCCCGGGACGGCTTCGTTCACGCCACGCCTGCCAGAAGGCTTATCTAAAGCATTCGAGGGGGGGTGCCTGCACGTATCAAAGTTTCGACCCAATATGGTAACAACTTGGATGATTGGGGAATTGCTCTTCGCCTCAACCATGTTTTGCGCGCCGATAGTACGAAGTCTGGCATTTGCTATGACAATTGTGGCAGCAGCAGGAGTTCCATGGTGTCTGGCCAGTTGGGCACCCTTCGCCGAAATGGGGGTGGAGATTAACAACATGAGTGGACTGGAGGATTCTACAATGATGACCGCAAACGGCACATACCAGGCCGTTCTGGCAGAAGATCCAGTCGAGGTCAATGACGTAGATCTGGAGAGAGAAGTGCTCCATCATCGTCGTCATTCTACTAGCCTCCTCCGACCTGAGCCGGCGTTGACCGAGCATGAGGACACTTTGACCGGGGAACAAGCAGGTATCTACATGGGAGTTCTCAATGCTTGCAGCACGCTTCCCCAACTCTTGGGCACCTTTGTCTGTTGGGCCATTTTCAGCATCTTAGAACCGGGGAAAGACGATGTGTCGGACGACGACCCTGATCACAAATGGCTTGATTTGAGGAAAGATGCACCCAACCCTATTGGAGTCTGCTTTTTCTTCGGGGGCTGTCTTGCACTGGTGGCAGCAGAATGCATGAGGAGGTTGAGATCGAGCGACAAAGCAGTGGATGCCTGTCTTGTCCAATAAGTACCTTGAACATATAGAAAGAGGGATATATTTCAATCGAGCTTGGGTATCTCGGTGCTTTCTATGTATCATATGGCTTTGTACAAAATATTAATCTTGTGATTGAAGCCTTAAGAGGCGGGTGACCCCCTTCAAGTTCCCACTGGCACTGGCAGTGGGCGTACCTGCCAAGCCCTGGAAGGTGTGAGCGCCAAGGCGTTCGCAGCTTCAGCCTTTTATTTTTCGGGGAGACATCCTCTACACCCAGCATTGGGGTTCATATCTATCCACCGATCCGGTGATGAGTGTTGCTTGCCCTCACAGACATCTTTCATACGCAAGATGGCGCCTACAAGTCTTTCAAAGTCTCTTCTGCACAACTCATTTTCAGAGCACATCACGAGGAATGGCCGGTCGGGCTCTCCAACTGCTACCTCGAGACGGCCACCACCGTACTTTCACTGCCTCCTCTATCACACTGAAACGTCGTGGAAGACGTAAAACCTCCAATAACGATGGGAGTGCCGACGAAGATCCATTCGCAATCCTGGAGGAAGCAGCGAGGCGGACCACCACTCCGCAGGTCATTGATCCAGCTACGACTTTTCGTCCCAAGCCACTGCCAAACCCGACTATGCAGCAGGATGAAGAGCACTTCCCCACGTTAGGAAAAATGGCAAGCAAAAAGGCACAGGGCAAGCAGGCGGCTAGGGTACCATCAAAGACAAAAAAGCAGATAGACGACGAGGAGGCTGCTGCTTTCCTAGAAGAAGCAACCAAGCGCGTCACCAGTCAACGCGCTCCTGCTCAAACGATAGCTCCGGTTGAAGCGCAGAAGAACTTGCAACGTGCGCCTCAATCGGGTGTGAACGTAAGACACGGGGTGGTGGCGAGCATTCCATTTAGAACACCAAGTCAGATCAGAGAAGGACAGCCTACGGTATTTGAAGACGAAGCAAGCAGTGTCACTAGGCTACAGATGTCTGAGCAGTCAAAAGTTCCGGCTCAGACGCACCGGATCTCATCCCAAGGCCACCAAGCACAAGAGGAAGAAGAGAACGAGAAGGCTGCTTTCGTAGAAGAAATTCGGAAGCACGTGAACTATAAAAAGATGTCCGATCTACTGACAGCATCAGTTCAAACGCCGCAGTTACTCACCCCTGCATTGTGGAACCGAAAGAAAACAGGTGAAGAAAAGGCCACGAGTCGCGCCAATCATGGAGGCCTTTCTGAGCTGCGAGGAAGCTCAGCTAAATCCCCCAAGGGAATGGCTGGTCCGAAACAGACTACCAGAGAGGCGCTTTCTCGCAAAGGTGACTCAAGTGCTAAATTAGGTGCTCAGAATGCTGCAGGCTCTAGTAAAGCTACAGTCGCTGCGGATGGAAAGGCTTTTCCGAGCCATTTAACCAATAATCGCTCCGGGGAAGAACTTCAGAAATGGTACAAGGAAGCTGTAGAGCGCGTCATGAGCCATGAACGGCGCTCGGAAATGGCTACGTCGCAGCGTGATCCGTATTCCAATCTTCATCAGCCTGCCAAAAGAAAGATGCCTCACCCACGGGAGCCATGGGTTTTCCGGACTTCCAGACGGACGATATCAACGAAGGCATCCAAAAGTGATCCAAGTGGAGGCGAGCCGCAACATACAGGTAAACCATTGGAGTCACCCTCGTGCGCAGGGTCGGGGACGAAAATGGTTGAACCCATGGTCCATGAGGTCGCTGCTGATAATCGACTCGATGCGGAAGCCCACAGCTCGTCCGCATCCCTACAGAAAAACACACACCTACCGTCTGTCTTTCTGGAAGAAAGCAATCCTAGTCCAGTGTTAATAGACAGCAAGCGCTCTAGTGGTGTGTTGTCGAGCCTTGAGCGCGAGGAGTTGTCCTCGCTGCTGTCATCATTAAAAGCAAGGGACACGGAGAAACAATACACAAAGCCAAAAGCGGACGTGAAGGCATTCTCCAATAGCATCCCCATCTCGCCCTATCAGCGTGTACAGACCAATGAACATCCAGTGAAAGCGCGGGCCAGAGCAGAAGCAAAGCAGCGACTCTTGGACAATCCTTGGGCAGTGTTGCTCGCAAGCCCAGTCCGCATGTGCCAGGCTACAGGAGTGAGACTCCCCAAAAAGATAATGGTGGGCTGGAGTTATGTACGCAGTCCAAAGGATGACCAGATTTACCTCATGCCTGAGGAACTAGCAAATTTGTCGCAGTTGGGTGCAGAGGGAAGGAATAATTCATTGTCCAACAAGTTTTCTGGGGAAGGTAGACACCAGCGCACCCTAGGCAGTGATCCTACGGTACCTGCTGACGTTACGAAGTCTACAGTCACCAACGTCTCAGCACCCTCGACTTGGTCTGGAAATGGTCTTGACGAAAAAGGACAGGGTCATGGAAGTGAGAACTCAATCGTTGCTCAAACAACCTCGGAGTCTCATAAACCCAACCCTACAATTTCCCCTGCCAAATTACATATGCGGCCGTCCTCGATCCTCCTACGGGAGCTCAGTAAGAGAATGCGTGGAACCGGCGAACGCGCAATCAAGACCACTCCTGGCACTGTCAACCGTCTCGTTCCGAATCGATGGAGAGAGCAAGCCCGGAAGTTTGAAAAATCTGCAGAAGCAAGGAGTCCTCAAGTAGGTTTTTTGACGACGCAGGAAATGCACAAAGTTCAGTGGCATCCGAACATTGAAAACATAATGTTGAACTTGCTGCAATCAAGGGTCTTGAAGGCGCTGGAGGTTACAGTGATGAGGAATGCTCACCAAACTGGGATCCACCGGCGGATCATTCCCTTGCCTTCGGTAGGATCGGGAACTTCCGAGGAGCGTTCTACGATGGTCACTTCTCCTGGCATCAAGCAAGCAGTCTTGCTGTGGTTGGGTAATGAAGAGTCCAGCAGAAGTACCTCACCAGATTCCGAAAGCAATACGCGTCAGTCCTCGCACCCTCCACCAGCAGCTCCGTCGACTTCCGCTAGCTCGATACTTCGATTCGTGCCCCATAATGACGATAACAAAGTCGTCACATCGCCATCTGGAGACGCGCGGGGCGAACCAGACCATGTCTTTATCCCAATCTGGACACACGACTCGACCGCACATGCAACCAATCAATCTGATCATACCGTTCAGAATCCGTACGCCCCTTCCACCATCTCCCTCGAGCTCTACAACGCCACCAACAACCATAGCCCTACAGACAAGCCAGTCACCTATTCGCTCCCGGCCTTCGACCTCCACGCCCTCTTGGGCGAATCATCCACCATAAAACTCCACACACTCTCCCAGTCCAACCAAGCCATCGCGGACGCTTTCGGTCTCAATCACCAGAACGAGGCAAGCGGCTGGGTGATGGTAAAAGGTGGGTACGGAGTGAAAGGTTTCAAGAAGCTGGTTCAGGAAGTTTGGAGGTTGTGGCTTTTTGTGGGTGGGAGGAGATTGGAGGAGAATAGAGACGAGTAGGCGAGGTAGGAAATTGAGGATGAGAACTTTGAGTTGGGGGAGGCTAGATGACGAGAGCTATAAGTACATGGTGTAGACTTGGAAAGCAATCTTAGACACCACCTCTTCATACATCAACACGCTTCAAGTCAACGGGTCTTTTGCTCTGCACGATACATTCCTAGGTATGAAAGATAGCGCATATCACTCTTTGGATATCTTACTGGAATGGCTTGCCAGATTGGTGTCCGAGAACACCGACATGGTTATGCCGCGGTATCGTGGATGGGAAGGCCCTCGATGACGGAGATATCATTCGTTCTCGCTATCATTATTCTCATTGAATAGAAGGGTGCGCCTTGGTTGCTTAAATATTTAATATTTTTGGGACTATTACATATAACTTAGCTGCATAGAGTAATCCCAGAAATATTGAGCTGGGCAGGTCAATCACAATAGAAGTGATTTCTTGATTGAACCATACCGCCGACGCATACCCTATTCTATCGAATACATGCCAGGTGGTTCCTTTCTGACAAAGCTTGTTGCAAGAAAATACTCCACAATGCCAGCAAATGCTACTGCGGCGGCAAAGGACTTCCTCTCCTTCGTCAACGCGTCTCCCACACCTTTTCATGCCGTGAAGGGCGTGAAGGCAAGGCTCGCAGAAGCTGGATTCCAGGAGCTCAAGGTCAGGAAACTGATGAAGTAGCTCTTATAATACGATGCTAATACTTTGAGTGAAAGGAGAAAGAATCTTGGGCACCCAGCTGCGTTCCAGGCGGAAAATACTACCTCACTCGAAATGGATCAACCATTGTTGCCTTCGCCATTGGAAAGAGATGGAAGCCCGGGAACTCTATCTCCATGATAGGTGCACATACAGATTCGCCATGCTTAAGGATAAAACCTGTGAGCAAGCGGCAGGGTGATGGTTTCATCCAGGTTGGGGTTGAGACGTACGGTGGAGGCTTGTGGCATACTTGGTTCGACAGGGATCTTGGTCTTGCAGGAAGAGTCATGGTACGAGGGGCCAATGGATCAATCACGCAGAAACTGGTTCATATCGAGAAGCCAAGTGAGCGGGACAATCCCACTCTGTTGCCTGCGGCTGACCATGCTTCAACCAGTCCTTCGAATACCTACACTAGCGATACATTTGGACCGGCAGGAGACGTTCTCATTTAACAAGGAAACTCAGCTATTCCCAATCGCCGGTCTGGTTGCCGCCGAACTGAGACGACAGGATGGTCTCAAAGCTGATAGTACAGACAAACCTTCTGAGGTGGATACAGAAAGTGAAGGTTTGAACCCATTGAGAGCTGTAGCACAGCGGCATCATTCACACATCGTCGAAATGGTCGCGGCAGAAGCTGGTGCCAAAGCTGAAGATATCATGGACTTCGAATTGGTTCTCTACGACACGCAAAAGGCCTGCCTTGGTGGCTTGATGGATGAATTTATCTTTTCCGCAAGGCTTGACAACCTGAATCAGACATACTGCGCCACAATGGGCCTGATCGATTCCGTCTCGAAGTCAACGGCGTTGGATGATGAGACCTCGATGCGCTTGATCGCCTGCTTCGACCACGAAGAGATTGGGAGCATGACGGCCCAAGGTGCATTCTCCATGATGTTGCCAGCCATCCTGCGACGACTGTCCGTACTACCGTCTTCCACGTTCAGCGAGTCAGATTCCGAGCAGTCTTACGACAAGGCCAACGACCCGGAATCATCGACAGCTTATGAACAGACACTGGCCAGCTCGTTTCTGCTCTCTGCGGATATGGCTCATTCGGTCAATCCTAATTATTCGGGCAAGTATGAATCTGATCACAAGCCGGAGATGAACAAAGGCCCCGTCATCAAGGTCAACGCGAATGCCAGGTATGCCACCAATTCACCGGGAATAGCGTTGCTGCAGGAGATTGCTCGGAAGGCGACCAAGACTTCAGAGGATGACGCGGACTGCGTTCCTTTACAGCTCTTCGTTGTGCGCAATGACTCGAGCTGTGGCAGTACGATTGGGCCCATGCTCTCGGCGCATCTGGGAGCTCGCACACTTGACCTGGGAAATCCTCAGCTATCGATGCACAGCATCCGAGAAACAGGAGGAACAGAAGATGTGCATCATGCTATCCGACTTTTCAGCGGTTTCTTCCAGCACTATTCGAGCTTGGAAAAGACAATCTTGGTTGACTAGCTGCTTAGATGCCGTTCTTAGGAGCGTCGCATCCTTTACACATGGACTTCTTGGTCTATTCACAGCTCGTGTCACACATCTTCTAGATTCTTGTTCGTTCATGCCAATTTCCACCTATGGATGGGCTAGATCCATAAGATGTTTGTGGGCGCAATGTCCGTGTAGGTCAATTTGCCCTATCAAACGCTCCTCAGAATGGTCCCTCTTGGTTGAGAATACCAAACCTCGCAGATGGTGGCTAAGTGGGCCTTTTCAATTGGTTTGACAGTTTCATTTCTATGTTTCGAAGGATGAGTCAGATGCTCGTCTTCTGTGCATCTTGCCTTTCTCAATCTGTCAGCTTACTTTTCAGCCCTTCGGCCCCACGTTGTTCACTGTCAGCCCCACCAACTCCGATTACGGAATACAATCTTTTTTCTTTTTTGTAAATCCCACTCCCTCTTCGCGCAAGCAGATTGTCTTTGGGCAGCTTCATTCATTCACATTTCCTGCCAGCATGTCATCCGTACCGCAGTACCTGACTGGTGACAAGCAAGGTATCAAGGCATTTCTGGACAAATTTGACGTGTGTCCGACTTCTACTTCCGATCATTAGACTCGCTGATATCGCCCAGGTTTTCCTCTTCGACTGCGATGGTATGGAGCTCAGAAAATGCCCCGTCACATATGCTTCACCTTCCGGCACTAATGCTATGTCTGTCCCAAACAGGTGTCCTCTGGTCCGGCGACCACGTCTTCCCCGGCACGGTCGAAACCCTCTCCCTCCTGCGCAGCCGGCACAAACAAGTCGTCTTCGTGACCAACAACTCGACCAAATCACGCGCCGACTACAAAAAGAAGCTCGACTCGCTCGGCATCCCCGCCAGCGTGGAAGAAATCTTCGGCTCCTCCTACAGCGCCGCTATCTACATCTCCCGCATCCTGCAACCGCCGCCGCACAAACGCAAAGTCTTCATCCTCGGCGAGAGCGGCATCGAAGCCGAGCTCGACAGCGAAGGCATCCCGCATCTCGGCGGCAGCGACCCCGCCTTTCGACGCGACATCACGCCGGCCGACTACCAAGCCATCGCGGCGCGGGACGCGTCGATGATCGACCCGGAAGTCGGCACCGTGCTCGTCGGCCTCGACCACCACGTCAACTACCTCAAGCTCGCCCTCGCCTACCACTACATCACCGGGCCGAACCAGGCCACCTTCCTGGCCACCAACATCGACTCGACCCTCCCCTCGGCCGGAGCCCTCTTCCCGGGTGCGGGAAGCATGTCCGCGCCCCTGATCATGATGCTCGGCGGTCCCGGCCGCGAACCCCTGTCGCTGGGCAAGCCGAGCCTACGGGGGCAAATTTCGCTTCGACCGCAAAAAGGCGTGCATGGTGGGCGATCGCGTGAACACGGATATCACCTTTGGGATCGAGGGCGGGTTGGGCGGCACGTTGGCCGTCTTGACCGGTGTGGACAGTAAGAGGGATGTGGTGGAAGGGGAGGTCAGGCCGATGGCGTTTGTGGAGAGGTTGAGTGATTTGTTGGCGGGTGAGGATTGAGGTGAGATTAGGTGAGCTAGCTTCGAGTTAGGGTGTGCAAGGCGTTTTGGGTTTAGAGGCGCGGGAAGCAAACTATGATAGACTGATAGAGCACTGAAAAGGGAACTATAGATGGGGTGGCGTATGGCTTGAATGTGGAAACTAAGAGAAATAAAAGAGAAGACCTACAACGAGCGCCCTCCCTCCCTCACGACATCATTCTCATATCCTCCTGACGCTCCGAAGCGCCGGGGTTCTGGGAAGAAGAGAAAAACATGGCGCATGAAAGGAACGTTGCCGCTGCCGCGCGCTGGAAGCTTACCTTTTACAGTTCGTGTTGCCGTCTGTCCGTCCTTACGCTTCGATCAGATAAGATCCAAGACCGGATCAGCGATGAGATGATCGGTCGAGGACACTTTTACATTACAGATCGACCGTAAGAGCTAGATTGGATGGAGCTCTGGAGATCACGTCGTATCTACAAGGAGGAGACAGGGAGCTTTCTGTTTCGGCTAGGCTTAGATCGAGAGCAAAAGCAAGAGGAGCTTGTAGAGATGAGCTGATACAACGCCATACATACATATACATATATATGTGTATGTATATATCTATATATATTGTTGAAGAACGGACACGCCAGCTACGACTCCGTCGCCTGGATAGATGGAATAATGAAGCCGGTCTTACTCCACTCCACTTCGCTGGGCAGGGTTGGGCGGAGCGGAGCGGAGGGACGGGAAGGGAAGTCTTACATACATACCTCTCTCCACCTCCGTTCTGTTCCGTTCTGTTTGATGCCATCACCCACCCACCACCTACCCATCCAGGACGAATTCCCAAAAGGTTGCTTACACTTAGTTCACGTTACACCCTTTGTGTAACTCCCGTGTCAAAACAAAATGGCATTTGAGTGAGGTCACTTTGTCCCCCCATATATCACTCGACATCCACCAAGGAGCTCTCTTGTCCGGGGGGAATTGGCATCAACTTGCTACAACTGTCAAGGATCTATATCATTGGCTAAAGGCTCTTGACTTCAATATCTCGGGGCTGGCTGTCTGCGTTGATATGTTAATCCACCTATAGATACACTGATACATCTCACTAAAAAAAAGTGTTTTGGGCTTCACTTCTTGAGACGTGATTGTGCCTGATTTTCACAAATACGCATCACTATTAACGACTTCCAATTTAAACAAGGGCTCGGATTCAGACTCGGAGGTCCCTCACTGCGTTTTGACTAATGCTTTCTTTGGATCACCCGCCTCCTGACGGCTTTTGGCAAATCTTGCCGTCCTCCCACTTGGCGCCACCTGTTCCATAAGCTGAAGATAGACATACATACCCCTGTCTAGATTCTTATTGTCCCACTCTCTCCATGTCTCAATCAAAGTAGTTTGGAATATCGAGAGAATTTTGCCATCAACAGGCACAAATCTTGCAACACGGCCTTGATCGGCACAAATCTTGCAAGTCGGCTTTCGTTCGACATACATTGGATGGTTGCCGATGGTCCATCGCGGATCTTTGTCTACATAAATGGACGATCTATCGACAGTCTTGGTGTCTTCTTTGCATCTGTGACACCAGGTCTCAACTGTCTGTGGAACTTCCGGATCTCCAGCTGGTCGTAGTAGAGTTTCCCATCCACTCCCAGTGGTTTTCACATGTCCGCTAAAGCTGGGTGTTGGAAGGGGATGTTTTGGTCGATTGGCATTGGCCCCTTCCCAGACCTGCACTGGCATCTCTATAATCCGACCACGTAGATGTCAGGACTCAAAACGTCCCACCGTGGACTCAAGTCAGCAGGTAGCTGCACATCGCAATTCCGGCACTTCAGTTCAACGGGCTTACAGTCAAAGCGGAAGACCATAATTTTGTCGCTTGTATGCTCTTTTCATTCATCAAGGTACCTTTTCTGCCACAGGAGGATGCAGTGGAGCATTTCTCGCAAAGATGGTGACTGCAATGCCTGGACCCTGAGGAAGCATGCGCACAATTTGTACGCAGAGACAATATCATCAGGACCTCTGACATCGATATCCTGGAAAAGAATCTGCTTTAGGCCTCTGAACCACGCGAGTACAGAGTCTTTGAAGAACGAAGGGTCTGTCCACTCAGCTGTGTCTTGATCCTTAAGAGAGCTAATACCCTCTATCGCACTGGGGATAAGCTCTCGAAGGATTTTGGAGCTGTGTGGCTATTTATCGAAGCAATCTTCCCATGTATTTGGTGTCCACCCTTGCAGCATAGCAGTGGATTCCAGTTGCGACTTTGGCTTCTAGGAATCTCCTAGTTTCATGTGTTGTCGAATCAGGTCGGTCATAGACAGGCATTTTCGACGCCATTTCTTGCGGCGAAAGTACTCCTCATCGAGAGGTAGATTGCCACCAGCTATCTTTGAGGCAAGCAAGCAGGAAATATCTTGCTTAGCGGCGACCTCACTGTTCCCGGGTTCGTAGTACATTCTCTGAGGATGCATCACGAAGATTAGAATGCGACGATATTTGTGTCCGAACTCCTGGTTCTTGAAGTTTTCTTCGTGTAGAAGTCCAATACTGATTCCCTCGGCCTCACGCCAGAGCGGGATATAAGTGATTTTGAATTTCTCGTTGAGGAAAGTCGCGCACCACCTTACCCCAAATAATCTCAACTTTTGCCTCAGAAGACTCCATAATTGCTTTTGTAAAGTCGTTGTGACAATTCACGACTGGCTCAGGAAACTCCTCCAAGCCGCTACTCTCTCTCTCTCTCTCGTCGATGAATTTGGTCAAAAATAAGGCCTTTGTCCCGATCAAAGAGATTGCCCATTACCATTGCAATGCAGCCGATGCTAGGATCAGCCGTTTCCAGACCCTAACCGAAGTTGGATGTGTACGATGGCTGATTCAGACGGTGGATGACTTCCCACTTCAAGGATCCAGTGGGTCTTAGAAGGTATCGTGATGGTGGGATTTCCTGTGCAGTGCCAGCCTTGACTGAAGTTTCCCAAGCCTAGAGCTCCTTGTCCGAGAAGGTTTGGAAAGCTTCGCTTATGTCTTTGATTCTTTGATTGGCTTTCGAAAGTATACTAAGTAATAGCTTCGAAATTTTAGGTAATTGATTAAAGAATTCGAATGAGTAATCTCATAAAATTTGAGCTTATTTTGATAGGTGATTGTTGAGATATTTAGTTTGCGAGGTGATGGGGGCGGGGTACTAATCATACATAAAACTTTGAATAAATACTGTATTCAGAACCTAGCACACGTTCATTCCCATGAACTATGCCTCAACAGATTAGTAGATTGATGCCGCCAGAAATTCCTATCAATTTATCTTGACAAAAAGTATGAGAGGAGTGGGACTCGAACCCACGCGGATCTCTCCACTTGAATAGGTCCTAATCTAAGGATAGGAAGTCGCTTGAGTCAAGCGCCTTAACCACTCGGCCATCCTCCCAAACAGCATTCCTGCCTTATTGAGTTTAGTTGAAAAATAAGTGTTTTTTAGGGCGTTAAGGCTGCAGAACTTTGCCAAGTCGTACCCCATCAGAATCAGAATGCGCATACAGAATGCGTAGAAAGAGGGCACAGAATTGACACGCAGGATGCGCAGAAAGAGGGCATAGAAATACACAGAAAGAGGGCACAGAATTGGCACGCAGAATGCGCAGAAAGAGAGCACAGAATTCGCACGCAGAATACGCAGAAAAAGCGTACAAGACGATCTTCTATCCTCCTATCCTCCTATCCTTCTATTCTCTTACTCTTTTATCCCTTCTTTTATCTAAAAAAAGTTACATCTAGTAGATCATCTATTGCCTTACCACACAGTCATACAGTAGTTCATACGCAGCTATTTCGTGACTCTCTGCTCCTATAGCACCCCCTCATACCCTGTTGCACGGCCTTCTGTGTAACAGCACCTGAGATGCTCGTAGAAATAAACATCACTTAGTGACTGATATAGGCTACCATAGGCACTGACCCCCTATGCCATTAGTTGGTGAGTCAAGCTATGTCAAAGCTAAGAGACGCTAGCAACGCCACAACGTCCAGGAGGGCCAACTACTTTTGACGCACGACTCCGTATCAGATGTGATATTAGGGTAAAAGTATCTTAAGGCTAGTCTTTAAAGAGTACGAAGCGGAATTCATTCGCCAACATCCAAACCCAAAGCGCCATACTGAGATGAAAGAAATCCACTCGACGCTCCAATCCAATAGCAAGACGTTCCCTCTAGTTCACAACCACAATCTTGGGTCCATCCGTGCCAGGAGTCCACGTGATGTAATCGGTATCATACACGCCGACAAGCTCGCCACCGTAAGCGTGCCCAGCAATTTCCGCGCACGGGATGTCGGGTGCGACAAAACTCTGCTCCCACGTAGCCTCGGTGCCGGGGGCAGCGAGAAGGCGGCCAAAGTGGATGTCGCGGAGGTTTCCCGGAGGCCAGGAGGCGGTGGACTGTTGGGCCGGGGAGAGGGAGGTGAAAACATCCGCGCGGCCGGAGCCGGAGACGGACGAGGTGGTGGCCGAAGTGAAGACGAGCCGGCAAGTGTTGTATGAGGACCAGGCGGCGGGGATGTTGAAGGTGACGAGGGTGGTGGTGTCTTGGCCGCCGTTGGTGGGGGACTTGCTGATCAGGCCGACGCCCGTGTCGTAGGTAATGGCCCCCGTGCCGACGTTGTATTGGGAGGTGAAGTCTGGGTAGAGCTCCTCGATGTTGCGGCGTTGCAGGGCGCCTGGGGTGGGGGCGGCGAGGGTAATGCTGACTGTAGCAGCGAGGAGGAAAGCAGCGGCTGATTGGAATTTCATGTCGACAGACTGGAATTCGAAAAACGAGATATTATGCTAAAGGAGATAGTAGTAGGAAAGGGGGTGGTATGAGAGGAAATGATTGAACTTGAAAGATATTGTTTGATGGGGTAGGCAGACATCTTTGGGAAACAACCCATCCTAATATACTTGGGGCGGCCACACTGACAACGTGAGGCACTTCGTATACACCTCATTAGCATCTGGTCGCAGTTCTGGAGGCGTTGAGGATTAGCTAACCATGGATCAGGCGCGCTGGGCGGAGTACTCCAAATTTAGGTGATCTCGGCGCCGCCCACAATACTACTACTAGTAGTAGTAGGCGAAAGGTGGAATGGCGGAGCCAAGCTATTCAATTCCAATACGGGTTTGTTCTTTGAAAATAACCACTAGCATAAACAGCTATTAGCCTATTCCAGCCTCGCAACGCCCTAAGGCCCACATCCGTCGACTTCGGCATCGTGCTACAGCACGCTCTAACAATGCTTCGAGTGTCCTCCCATGGCTCCCTCCGTGAGTCCACATTGGAAGCTGAACCGTTCGCCACGATTGGTGAAAACCAACATATCCTATCCACATGCGTCTGTTTGCTGCGCCCCGCTCGTACTGTTCTTCGGTATTTGGACTTACACTCCCATAAACACCAATAGGAGCATGACCTTTCTCGTTCAATCTTCGCCCCTCAGCCACCATTTGGAACAGGTCATTCGTTGATGCTTACGGTTTTCGAAGATGGCTTCTGTACTAGTACTTGCGGGGAGAAGGGCTCTGAAAGTGACACGGTTTTGGTCCTTACTACGTAGTAATTTAGCTAGCGTCTTATTATTTTAAGGATGGTCAGGAGACTCAAATGACCATAATTTAGCCATAATTTAGCCATGATTTGAGCGTCATTTTCTCAAAATGACGTCTGAAATAATACAATTTATCAGGTTTCAGATGTTTAATTGCATAATTCTATGTAAACTAGATCATATCATGGTTAGGCTGGAACTAAGCACACATTGATGGTAATTTAGGCATAGTTTTCAGAGGGCCTTCTCCTGCTAAGTACTAGTAGGGAACCCTCTAAGTGTCTTGGTGGAGCGAATTCAAGACAGCGTGAATGTAGTCACCTCAGCAGCTCAAAATAACAACCTGAATGGTGGAGTCATTTTTTGGCGTTCCAAACCCCAATCATGAGTCTTTCGACTACCTTAGTTGGACAAAGCAGCTGCACAGCTATAGCAGAGTTACAGAGAGGCGGTGTCCTTTTCCAATCCGAATGAAGTCGTGGTGAGAGATCGACCTGTCAAGCTCAGCGCAACTCATAAAGACCTGCACGGTCGCAGCACTGCCGTGAACCAGAAGCTCTGGACATCTTCGAGGCGGGCTAATTGCTCACGCAGCAGCAGAAAGGAACTTTCCCCCTCGGCAATGCCTAGTCACGGATTTCTAACACCAAATGATCGATTGCTAGTGGTTTGCCGGAAATGGCGTCCCGAGCTAACCCATTTTCCGAAGTGGTTGCTCTGCATGGCCGGCAGCCTCAGTCTCGACATCTCGCTCAGGTGGTACGTATACTGGAGAGCACGTAGGCTTAGGGCATCCTGTTTTGAAGAGTGTCAGCATGAAAGCTTCTTAGTGGCTGGCCTGCTACAGGCATAGTCCAAGGTGTCAGACTTTGGTATGGATTCGGCTCGCCTTTAGCTTCAAGGCTAGGAGATGTATACATTTGCTTACGTTGTGGATTCCTTGTCAACTTCTGCGGCATCGTCCTCCGGAATCGAATCCAGACCCTCTGGTTTAGAGCATGCCACCGTTTTACTCCGAATGACGGGAAAGCCCCCGGGAATCCGGAATTGCTCGTTGTAGTAAGTCATCTCTGCATCTTGCCGATTTTTTCTTTCTAAGAGGCAGTCCTCGCGTGGCCACCTGCCACCTCTTCACACCTACATTTTTGCCGAGCTGTTTCCCCGGCAACCTGCTCCCTTTCTAACAATGGGAAAGGGACAGTGGCTCCTTGAATTTATTCCAGTCATGATGGTTAGACTGTAAATCATCTTCACCAACCTCTCTGTTCTCCAATAGGGCGCCCAGCAGCTCTCCCACCAAGGCTCCAGTTCGGGTGAACGCATCTTGCTTCATAGCGACCACATGCTGTGACTACCTTCGGGTCACACTCACGGTAGACGAAGGTGAAATCGAGGGCGAAAAGTGTGAAGGAGAAGCTTTTCATCTCTTTCGCCACAAGTATCCTCGATGTAATGATAAAACTTTGAGAGGATCTGGACCTCTCTGTTCACGAATGAGTTTGACTGGCTGAGTTGATCTGATTCTCGTGCGTGGGCGCTTCTTTCTCGTGCATGGAGATTAGTCAGTCTGATGACTACCGAGAGCGAAACAGGATGAAGTGATTGGGCTACTGGCTTGATAGACCGGATCTTAGCTAAGATGAGATTGGAATATCCCTAGGTGGGTAGATGCAGTGCTACTCCCGATAGACTCGACAAGCTATAACGGGCGTCTCGCTTCGTGTTGGGCCTGAGGCTAAGTCCATGTTGGTTTCTCTCGCCTAGGGTTTTTATGAGGGGCCAGCTGCTCAATTCGGTTCCAAGGCGTGACGGGACTGGGTTAAGGAAATCTTACTCCATTAATGCAGCGAATTAAGGTGTACCGGTTGAAAATTTTCGGGATACATATGGCGAATAGAGGGTTGAGGGTGGGCAGGAGCGGAGTTTGACGCGGCGGACGTGTGCGAGGTGGTGGTGAATTGTGTAGTGAGTTTCGTTTAAAGGCAGAATGGAATAAGTGAGGGTCGACCTAGTTGGACAAGGCAGGAGAGGCAACAACTCGAATGATGGTAGATGATGGATGAAACATTGTTTGATTGCCAGGTACAATAATGGTACTAGTAGAGGACAAAAGTTGTGTGGCGAATCAGGAGGATCCTGCTGGGGCTTGGCTTGGCGCTCGGAGATACTTGGTGCCGCCGAAAAGTGCGTCCCTTCCTAATTGGGTCTAGCACCACGCTAGATCCATCTCCGCCAAATTCTGGCGAATCAACAGCCAATTTCAAACAGTTGTATCTCAACAACAACTACTCGAAATACGTTGCCCTTTAGCTATAACAAGCAGCTATAGCTATGCCTCCTCATCATGGCGAAATCCCTTACGAAAAGCGCGTTGCTGTCGTTGCCCTGCGACTTTTAGCAGGCTTGAAATTCGCCGAAATTGCTGAAAAACTCGATCTTGAAGCGAATTCGATTAACAAGCTCTACAATCGTGCCCTAGAGCGTACAGAAAGGGACTCTCAAGACTCGTTTCTCGCTATTGCACAAAATTCAAGAGATGGGATAAGGGCAGGGAGGCCACCAAGGGTACCACCAGGGTCAGAGGCATCTCAATTGTTAAGAGAGCTATTTCATGAGCATTTTGAGCTTCCTATTGAGGTAGTAACAACCTATATTGCAGGACTCAAAATGGCACGCAGCACAGCCGAAAATATCGCTCACAAGCATCGCGATCCTCTGAACAATCACGAATTAGTTCGAGTCGTACAGCCAAATAAGCCTGTTCTTACTCACGACGTTCGAGATTTACGCGTTGAATATGCGGAATGGGCTACTAAGGAGCAAGAGAATAGTGCTATATTCATCTTTGTCGACGAAACTTACTGTCATTTTGGAGGGCATTTTAGGAACAAACCAAAGATTACAAAGCCAAAAGGTGCAGATCCACATCTCTACGCACGTTTTGATCCTGCAGAGCAGTTTCAATTGATGGTATGGGGTGCAATTGGTCTGTACGAAGATGAGATCAAATTCCCTTTTTGGATATGGGAGCCAGAAACAGAGGAGGATAAATAATAAGCAAGGCAAGATATTAATCAATACAATGCGAATCACAAGCGAGAAGCCCTATCTCAACAGGCTAATGCCCACGTCTCTGGTACTGTTGAAAATCACGTTCTACAAGAGATAAATAATAATGTTATTTCTCACAATCAACAACGACGAGCAGAAGGTTATCAAGGCAACAAGGGATTCAAAAGAAAACGTACAGCAGAACAGGTGTTTAAATACGTTGAATTTAAGAGAGATAACAAGAAGGGGGGCATTGATTAGTAGATATATCGCAACGAGATTTTGATCCCTCTCTTGATACCCTATTATCAAGATATTCAACGTCGTCATGGCAACCAAGGCAATGTTTGGCTTGTTGAGGATAATCTTGGTGTTCATAAGAAGGCGTGGGATTCTCTCGGAGATATGGGTGTGTTGAGGGCTCCTTGGATGAGCAATTCTCCTGATTTGAATCAAATTGAGCCAATTTGGGGGTATCTCAAGGACTCACTATGGGATATGAGAGTAACCTCCTCTTCTGAGAGCATTAAGGAGCTGGCCAAGGGTAGAATTCGTTACGAAATGCACTCTGAGGGTATGCGACGGTGTGCTAAACACCATATTGAGGGCTATCGTGACAAATTGGCCCAAGTTCAGAGGCACGAGGGCAATAACAACTTCAGAGGATAGCTGCAATTGATTGGCTAACAGAATCCCTGCCCTCTCCACTCTAGACCCTCTATCCTATACCCGATTAGGAAAGATATACAGCTTCAAATTAGCGCTAGGACGCACTTTTCGGCGGCATCAGTAGCTCCCGGTGGAAGACCAAATCAAAGAGGATACCATGGACACGATCAAACAGGGTTGAGTTTCAACAATGAGGACAATAGGAAGCATATCAAACTACTCACAGATATCAAGTGATATCCCCATTCCCACGCTAAACGCACGGGAGTACTAATCTATTTACGAAAGAAGGCCCACTTAGTGACACAGGGGATATTAGAATTCAATGACCGACAGTCATTTAACTTGTGCTTTTTGGCCCGTGGATGGTGCAGTGGTAAATCCAACACCCGATGTGCTGTTTCACAAATATCCGATAACTTAATTCGCTCGTTCACCGCTCACGTGATATGAGAGCCAAGCTATTAGTCACAGCTATACGAAAGCTTAAGCTTAGTTAGAGTTAGACTAATCAATGATTTATATTATTCTTTACTTAATAAAATGACTCTTACAATATTTAAGATATAAAAAGTTAAAAGTAAAGTAGTTATCCTTTTTTATTTCTTAATTTTTGTATATTGTTCTCAAAAGTACTCCGAAGTGTAGATTACGAATGACAAGCAGGCTATTTTTAGCGATCTTCAAGTTGTCCTCAGACTCTGTAGACAGCCGTGGCTTAGTCATACAGAGTCTGAGGGACTGACCGCCCCCATGCATAGCCAGTTTCAAACGGCATACCAATTAAGATCCAGCATCCAATTTCTGCCTCGAATTTCTGCCTAGTCAATAGCTTTTTCCTATTTGCCAAGCTACAAATGAGGCCTTAATGTCTCTGATTGGTAGTATTTTCTTTCCTTAGAGAATTCTCTCGTTTAAATAATTTCTCCTCTTCTTGTCGTCCCCAAGCTGGCAGCCTTTTGCCCTTGTCATACGGAGTCTGTATTCCCCGCTCCGTATTGTGATTCATTTTCAAGTCATACAACCGGAGCTCGTGCGACTCTACCTCCTCCTCTTAACTGTCTAGTTAGTTTGGTTCTTTCTTCGTCTTCTACTCTCCCCCATCGCAGCCATGTCCTGTCGCCGCATCGTCAACGGGACGTTCAACCTTGATCGCTCCACTGAAGACATCCCCTGCTCCAGCAACCTCAACGACGGCGTGGTGCAATGTTGCCAACGGGGTCACGCCTGTCTAACTCACGGCTTATGCCGCCTCCCGGAACCAGGTCCCGGCGCGAGCGGTTATTATACCAGCAGCTGTACCGACCCGCTGGTCAGAGACCCGGCATGCGTTCACTATTGCGGTACGTTTTGTCAATAATTCTTTTTTAAAATACCTATCCTCTTCCATCTCAGCTTTGCCCGCAGAAAGGGATCCCAAATGCTGATCCTGATGCCAGAAAGCGAATCCTTCATCGACGTCGTCTACAACGCCACAGCCCGGAACTGGGTCTGCTGTGGCCGCACCGAGGAGGGCATCCAATGCGCGAACCCTATCGGCCCGACCTTTGACGCGCCCGCACCACACTGCAGCAACATCTGCAGCCGCCTCATCCTCCTCCACAAACTCCGTGTTACCATCTCCCACCTCTGAATCAAGATCCATCATGACCCCCGGCGCCGTAGCTGGGACCGCCATTGGGGCTGCTGCCGCCGTCGCCCTCCTCATCGCCCTAGCGTGGTTCCTGTTGCGACGAAGAAACAGAGGCAAACAGGCCCTCCGAAACGGGCAGGGTCTGATCTCAGACCAACAACCACAAAACAAAAACGGGATCGGCGCCACAACAGCCGAGGAGTTGAGACAGAGACAAGAGCTGGGGCAGGGGCAAGACGACTCATCGCAGCGACCACCCGAGATGTCTGGCACAGAGACGAGACCGGGGCCGGCGTGGTCTGAGTTGGATTCCTCGTCCATGGCACCAAACGAGATGAGTGTGGATCGCTTTGGCGAGCGGATGCCGGTGGAGATGGATGAGGGGCAGAAGCCGGGGTGGAGGGCGTGATGGATCTGGGTTTTTTGGGTTTTGAGTTTTTAATTCTTGTGATGCTTTTTTGAGGGGTGAGGTGGGCTGCTCAGGCTTCTTCCGCGACCAGAGAGAGAGAGGAAAGAGAGAGATATGATCCTGGCACAAAGGCCACAGAGAAAGATATGAGGATGGGATATCGGATCAAACCAGAGCAGATCCGACCACAGTATCCCAAAAAGGGGGAGAGAGCATCCGCTTCTTCAGTCAATCTGACGGTTAGCTAAGGTATAGTCGGTCCGTGGCTGTGGTGTCGCGCTCACAGCTCCCACTCCTTGACCCACCCGGGGAGGGGGAAAGCCTAATCTCAGAGCTCAGAAGGGAGAATGGAATGGATCGGCACAAAAACAAAATATCATGGCAATAATGAATGATACCACAAAGATATCTATCTACCTAGGTAGGGAGGAATGAATGCCTCCTCGCCTCCTATCCAGGGAAAAGACTGGGGAACGTTATGAGATTTGGACATTCTGATTCAAGCTAGATTTCTGACTAGTTATGGATTAAAATCCTTTTATCTCCCAAAGAGACATACATCATCCTCTTTCATTCATGTAACATGTGTATCCAGACACAATGATAGTGAGTTCAAAGACCCACGCTACTTGCTGGTAGAAAATGAAAAACAAGAAGAAGAAGAAGAAGGTAGGGAGGGAGGGAGGAAGGAGGGAAGAAAAGGAACCCGTCCTCCGTCCCTAGGAAAGTAATTACCAAACGACCATAGAAGATGCTCGGGATCCGAGAAACCTGATCCGGAAGAATATAATCACCTAGGTGCCTCGCTGTAACAAAACCATCTACCGGAATCCTCACCACCCACAATCACAATGCCCATGGGAGACTAGACGATCGATCGATCTGTCGAGGGAACAAATCGATTGTTTTCCCGTGTTTCAGTGGCTCACCAACCGATCATTTTGATCCTTCCCGATTGCTGTCGTTAATGTTCAATTGGTCCGTATCCCAATTCCGGCAACAGCAAGTCTTTGCGGCCAGGCCATTCCATCCACGCGTGGGTCTCCCCTCCTTTTCCAGTTTTGGTTCAATGCATCGACTGATCGATTTTCCGAAATAGGGAATAGCTCCATCGGACCTACCTCCGTGGCTTGATGAATTAATCCGTGATTTTGTGTGAAACGTCCAAGAACCTGTGAGCATATTATGATTCGCGCAAGCATCCTTTTGGCTACCGGACGAGGCGTTCCCGAATGGATGGATTTATGTATTACTAGCTAGTGGGTATTTGGTAGTTCTCCAAGCTGGGGTCTTTTCCTTGCAAGTCATGTGTGGGGAGGTAAACGGGGAGTAGAATCCCGTTCGGCCAAATAATGCTCGGATAGATAGGGAAGGCGAGGGAATAAAGGCAAGTACTTCTCAGGAACCTCAGCGACAGAGTCAATACCATCACGAGACTCCTGGCACGATAGTAGCAGAATTGAGAGTAGAATGTGATCCAATTCGTTTGAACAAAGAACTTTCTTTTCGTGACCAGGAAAGAGGCCAAAACCAGCGGTTTCACCTGGCTAAAGGGTGACTGGAGCTCCCTCTCGGCAAAAAGGCCGAACAAAAAACCTTTTCGATGCCTTGGTGGCGGTATGGACTTCTTCTATCAGATTGACTGCCGGGTTCGGCCGGCGCACCTTTTAGTTGGGAACAAGG